CGTGGTTATACTGCACAAAATTAGTTATAGCCTTTTGTTACTTTAATTAGTAATTATGTTTTAATTATTCTTTCTTTAGTATTTAAATATTTTATTAATTTCATAATTACTTAACAAATAGTAATTAATTATTTTAAATTATTTTGTGGAATTTTTTATTATACAAAATTAGTTGTTTAGTTTAATATTTGCAATTAAGTAATATCTTAGCCTTATTTAATTATATTTATTATTATTTATTTAATGAATAATTAGTATTTGAGTATTTGAATTAATTTCTAGGGGTTAGTCGTTTTATTAGTCCCTGAACTTAGACCCAATTTGCATTTGAATCTTTCAATTTCCAAAATCGTTCCCGTTGTCCTTTAACTTTACTTTTGTTAGGACAAATGGTCTTACCATCAATTTTGTTAATTTTTACTGTTAAATGCAGGGGCAAAATAGTATTTTTATATTAAAACCAAAAATGAATAAAAATTATATCTTTAAAATAACAATATAAAAAAGGGAGATTCACTATTATACCCAATATAGGGACCCAAATTATAAAAATACTCCATATGAAATGGACTTTAGAAACACATCCAAAGCTCATTTACAACATAACAAATAGGCTTTTAACTTCTTATAAATTACAAAACTATCATCAATTTCTTAAAACAAGCCCAACCCCAAAATCTTATAAAAATACCCAAAACACTCAATAGGCATCAAAGTAATTTAATAATCAATATTAAATTCAATAAGGCCAGCTGTCATTTTTTGGGTTTGTTTATAAAAATTCAATGATGTAGGGTTTATTTATAATATTAGTGCTAAGAATGGGTATATCATTAAATATCTCTATAAAAAAATCAAATAAAAAAAACCAACCAAAAAAGAAGTTTGGGGGGAGTAGAAATCTGGATAGAGGGGGAGAGATTGTGTTTAATTTTAATTTGTTATTCATATTTTAATCAAGTGCAATGAGAAAAAGGCTGTCATTGAGCTTTAGTTCATAATTACGATGGATACATTTTAGAAAGTAAATTCTTACACAAGCAATTTTATACTTTGAAATTCAAGACTCTTTTATCCCCAAAATGTTTGTGGATCCCTATTTTTTGTTGTTGTATTTATGAGTTTAACCTGTATTCTTTCTCATAAATAAAATATATTTTTTATTCTTGCCTAATAGGCTAATAGCTGGAAATCATTAGAATGAGAGGTATAAGAAAGAATTTAAATTCTCATTCCTCAATATCACTGGTATAAATAAAATAATTGAAGAAATAACTCTATCCTAATTAGCTAAAGTGGTATTTTAGCCCTAAACCCTAAAATAACATGACAAAATTGTATATTTAAAGAGTATAGATTATTTTAAAGGAATAGCCGTGCGGCTATACGCTTTGAATATATTGGAATATTTTAACGGTGTAGCCGCGCGGCTGTACTCTGAAATATATTCAAAACGAACACGAAGCTTGCACTCGCAGTCACAGCCATTTCCTTCTCTATAAGCGCTTCCAAGCTTCAAAGACTCTGTCTCGAGCCCCTCTCTCTGTCTCTCTCTCAATTCAAGCTTCGAAATTTTTTCTTTCGTTTCGGTTGTTGCGTTGATTGGATTGGATTGGATTGGATTGGATTGGACTCTCTCTATGAAAACCATCAAATGTCATTCAGCTATTGAAATCTCCACTAAGATAACAACTCTGATGCTATAAGGGAGTTAGGCGGCGTCTAGGCTTCCTGGGCGGTTCTAGGCGGCTCCTAGGCGGCCTAGGCGGTTCTAGGCGGCGCCTAGGCGGCCTAGGCGGTTCTAGGCGGCCTGGGCGGCGCCTAGGCGGTTCTAGGCGGCCTTTTTTTCCAAATGAAGACAGACGAAGCTTGCTCTCGCTGAGGAATGTGGTGTGCGAGCGAAATGAAGAGACAGAGAAGCGAACACGAAGCTTGCACTCGCAGTCCAATCTTCAAAATTCAAATACTCGGTCTTGAGCCTCTCTCTCAACTCAGGCTTGGATTTTTTTTTCAGTTTCGGCTGCTGCGTTGATTCCATTTTTTTTGTGCTTTTCTGTTATTGAAGTTGGCAAAGTCAGATGAATATCCAATGCAGTTTCTTAGTATGCCAGAAGAAGCCCGACAGATGGTTCTTTAACCTGAGGCACACCTTGCAGTTTGGCATTGGATTACACCATGCCGGTCTGAATGACAAAGATAGATCTCTGGTTGAGGAACAAGATTCAGGCATTTCTGTTTTACCTCAGTAAGCATGAGTCTTTCCTGAAAAACACATTAGAAAAAGAGAATATGAAAAGATCATTTTCTTACTCTATATACCGATTAGGCATATGTATTAAATTATAGGTATTGGTTTGTACCAGCACATTGGCATGAGGTGTAAACCTTCCAGGTCATCTTGTCATTATTCAAGTTAGGCAAAATTTGTGCAGTATCTTTTTCATTTGGTTCCTATATTTTCAAAGGTTTCTAGTAGGAGTATATTGCAGCAGCTGTTCTTCAGGACAAATTTACGCAAGTGTTGATTCTCTTGCCGGGAACAGAATATTATGATGGGAAAACAAAGAGATATGTTGATTTTCCAATATCAATCACAGATATATTGCAAATGATGGTTTTGGTCACACATAAAAAATAGAAAGAAGAAATATGTGAATCAAATTTCATGCTTTTCTCCCTTACAATCAACAGTTGCTCAGATTCTACAAGAAAGATGGGAGTAGATTTCCCTCACAGTCCGCCGGCGCCTAACAAATCGTATTACTTTCTGAATATTACCTTAAATACTAGGAATCTAATAAAGTCAATGGATGAAGTCTTGCAATCCTATATCTAATCAATAAACCATTTTCCTTTTTATTTTTGCAATACTCTACACCTATCTTTTTTTTGCTGTTAAAGTTCAGAACGCCCATCATTTGCATTGCTGCTGTGACAATGATCCTCTTGTTCTTAAATGTGGTGAGGACACAAGTTAAAAGCCTTTGGTTTTTATTATTTTGTGCCCTTGGTATTTGATTTATTGAGCCTGTACAAAATCTTACATGAGCGTAGTTTTCTACAGATGTTTAATCCAGCTTACTATGGCTTGGACAATACTGAACCTGAGTTTGATATAAAGTGGATAAGGACCGCTTAGATGATCCACATGTCAAAGCCAATCTGCTATTTCAGGTCAGAGTTGCCTTCAACTATATGTTTTTCTAATAAAAACTTCATGTCGTTTTGCTTTTCAGTTCTCTCATCGTTTTATTCTCTTACATGCATGAATTCTGCATTCATGCACATTTCTCGCAGTTAGAATTACGTCACAGACTTGAAGTCAGCATTGGATCAAAGTATGCGAATCATTCAGGCCAGGCCATGATAGATTATAGATATATGTGCTAATAGTGGGTGGATTTGAAGCTCAATTACTTGCATGCATCAGTTGATTAGTTAGAGATGTGAATCGGGGATGCTGAGAACCCTTGAATGTTGTTAGTCCATGCCTTTTTCCTGTATTGTTTATCTTGTTTTGTTTTTTTTCCCTTTGTCCTCCAAGAGAAGCTCTTCTTTTGTGTTTTTCCTTTCCACAATACATTACCCTAAAAAAATATAGGGCCATTTCAGCAGGACTCAAACCTTCAGCTTCTCAGCAACTTTATATTTCTCTTTATTAAAATTGAGTATATTGTGGGCTGTGATTGCCGGTATTAATGTATGATTGGATATAGCTTGCCTCTATATCCAACCGGCGTCCTCATGAAAGGTTGGATCTCCTATGCTTTCAAGATACAAGATAGGCACTGCACTTTTCTCCCCTCTTAACATTGGGAATTTCATGTGCACGTGGGTATGGTATATGTAAGAATGAGATGCTTCTTCTCATCTAACACGTTGTTTGAAATCTCATTTAGAATAGTTTGTATATATCAATGCCATATGACCTCTGATAACTTCAATTTATTTCAAAACTCTTCTATTCGTTGTCCCATTAGAATGTTTTGTATCCAATTTTTCATATGCAAAGAATATACTGATGTATCTCAAAGCAGAAGAGCAGGGTTGTCGAGTGCAATGAGAAAAATGTTGTAATTGGGTTCAGTTCATAATTATAATGGATATATTTTAGAAAGTAAATTCTTATATAAGCAATTTTATACTATGAAATTCAACATTCTTTGATCCACAAAATGTTGGTGGATCCCCATTGTTGTTGTTGTATTTATGGGTTTAACCAGTATTATTTCTCATAAATAAAATCCATTTTTTATTCTTGCGCAATTGGCTAATAGCCGGAAATCATTAGAATGGGAGGTATCAGAAAGAATTTAAATTCTCATTCCCCAATATCGCTTGTATAAACAAAATAATTGAATAAATAACTCTAGCTCAATTAGTTGAAGTGGTATTTTTGCCATAAACCCTAAAATAATAAGGCAAAATTGTATATTTAAGGGGTATAGCCGTTCGGCTATACGATTAAAATATATTCGAATATTTTAACGGTATAACTGAGCGGCTAAACTCGTAAAATATATTATTTTAAAGGTAGACTCTCGTATTTTAACAGTATAGCCGGCCGGCTGTACTATTTAAATATATACGAATATTTTAAACGTTTAGCCGCACGGCTGTACTCGTTAACTATATTATTTTAAAGGTATAGCCGGTCGGCTGTACACGTTAAATATATTCAAAACGAAGACCAAGCTTGCACTTGCAGTCAAAGCCATTTCGCTTCTCTCTCAACTGAAGCTTCGATTTTTTTGTTCTTTCGTTTCGGTTGCTGCGTTGATTGGATTGGATTCGACTCTCTCTATGAAAACCATCAAATGTTATTCAGCTATTGAAATCTCCACTAAGATAACAACTCTGATGCTATAAAATCTTAAAATCCTTATGAGAAACTCTCTAATAATCGTTTTTCCATTTAAACAAACAAAAAAAATTGCAAAATCAGAAAAATACATAAATTGGACGCCATGGTAGCCACGGATAGGGACTCGAACTCGTAGTCAGGCGGCCTGGGCGGATCTGGAAGGATCTGGGCGGCGCCTAGGCGGTCTGGCCGGATCTAGGCGGCGCCTAGGCGGTCTGGCAGGATCTAGGCGGCGCCTAGGCGGTCTGGCATGATCTAGGCGGCCTGGGCGGATCTTGGCTGCTCCTAGGCGGCCTGGGCTGCTCTGGGAGCCAGGGCGGGTCGTGTCTTTTTTTTTCTTTTCCAAATGAAGACAGCGGGAGACTCGGCCATGACTTGGTCTCTGCCTTGTATTCTCTACGCTACTTCAGAATCAGAGATGGGCTTATTGTCTATCAGTCGCTCTAGATTCTTCCTTCTTAAAACTAGCTTGACCTGTGAATAAGGATATTAATCTTCCCTTTTAATTAGTGTGTGTGTGTGTGTGTTTACTCTCGCCAACATTTGGTCTGACCTGGGTTTGTGTAAAATTGCATGCAAAATAAATAGAGGAAGAAAAAGAAGAAGAAAAATGTACCAATTACTTTGCAGCTAATAAGAAGTTTCCTCGTCTCTGCAACTGCAACTTGGTCGGAGTAAAAGGTCTTCAGAATCAGAAGGACCTTACGTGTCTGCGGAAGAAACGAGTAATGGAGTCACCAACGTAACGTGGAACCTACGTGTGTAATAGATATCTCACTATCTGAAACCTGATCTGTGAGGCTGTCACCTGAGAAGAAAAGGACAGAAAACCCATGCCATATATATATGCAACATTCCGCCATTTTCTCCTCTCAACTCTATTTATTTTAAATCCGAATTTGTAGCCTTCAATCCAGTTCTCTCTATTTGCTTATTGCACGTAATATTTTCCGAGTTGAGAAATAGAGTGTTATGAAATGATGAAAGAAAGCATGCTGAATTTGAAGTCCTTGAATCACATCTCATTGGTGTACAGATCAGTTGAGAAATCCCTTGATTTCTACCAGAGTGTTCTTGGGTTCTTCCCAATTAGGAGGCCTGGCTCCTTTGACTTTAAAGGTGCATGGTATAATTCTTAAAAACTTGGAAAACCAACAACAACCACCCTTCATGTTTATTGAATTGGTTTACTCTGTTTTTGAAACATTATAAATATTGAGTATTAATTTGGTTTTTGGTTAATTCTGCGACATTTGAATCATAGGCTATTCAATTATGGCATTGGCATACATCTTCTCCAATCTGAAGACCCTGATAAAATGCCCAAGAAGATCACCCAGATTAACCCCAAGGATAACTACATTTCTTTCCAGCTCTCTCTCTCTCTCTCTCTCTCTCTCTCTCGCTCTTTTATTCATTTTTTGTATGCTTTTATACATATATATAATGTCCGCATAGGAGAATTTATGTACATATATCTTCTACGTGTGTACAGTATATTTGTCATGTGGAAATGACTAGAAATACATTTGAATTGTTTTTAGTGTGAGAGCATGGTCACAGTGGAGAAAAATTTGAAGGAGATGGAGATAGAGTACGTGAAGCGCATGGTGGAGGAGGGTGGAATCTACATTGATCAGCTTTTCTTTCCTGACCCTGATGCCACTATGATTGAGATCTGTAATTGTGACAACCTTCCCGTAATATCCCTCGCGGGAGAGCCAGTCAGGCCCTGCAATGCCTAGAAACAACAGCAGCAGCAGCAGCAGCAGCAGCAGATGGCATGCCTCCCTTCTATACACATCAAGGAAGATTACCTTCCTTGTTCATAAATTGTAAGGTGCGGATCATTACATGTGAAAATTTGATTAACCAACTTGAAAACTTATCTAGTTTTTTAATTTTTAGTTGACACAGCCTGAAATCTTGTGTGTTTTGACTTTTCTAGCTGTCTTGATTGAGTAACCAAATATGAAAATGATCTTACATATAAGAGCAAGGGAAACCAAAAACATGAGGCATAAACAGATAATATATAAGCTGGCAGTAGAATGAAACTTACCCACCACATCACAGGATGATGAGGACATCTGCTTAAATGAAAACAGAAGAACTGGGAGCTCCCTTCAGTCCAAAACATAGAGCAAGTGCATCTCATCATCTCATAGCCGCGCCGTTCTGTTTTGGGCTGCAAGGAGCACCCATTTCTGCAATTTCCCCATGAAGTCAAGGAGGAGAAGAAAGACAAAAATGGAATGGCTCATGACTTGGTTCAAGCTCTTCAACCACTCTTTCTAAAACATAAATGCTTGCATGACAGCAACAAAATGAAATACAATACAAGCATTGAATTGATGCCTAGCATGCATTGATTAGAAGAAAGAACTGGGCACCATGATGACTTGATGAGTGACATCTAACTGACAAGAGAATCTTCAGTAACATACAAAGGTAAAGGTGACAACAAGTTTTCAATTGTTTCTCAAAAACAGTAAAGTAATTCCCAAGTGTGGTTGCTAACTACACCTCAGGTTTCTTTTTCTTCTTCCTCTTAAGGAAATGAAATAATTCCCCATATTAGTCTTATGATACATGTTCTTTGCATCCAACATTAATTCCTTTCTTTCTCTTAAATGTTTCATTGACTTTATTCATCCCCCTACTCTGACTCTCACTTCAATTTAGCTAATAGATTTAGTAAGTGGGATTGAGTTGGATTATTTATTCCTCTAAAACCTCACAATGATGCATTTTTTTTCTGTCTCTCTGCAAGCCTAACCAATTTCTATCTACTTCAATTCCCTACTGCTTGAAATGTTGATGTAGCAATTATTTTTGAGTTGCTTTGAGTGGTAATATGGATGGCTTGGATTATATAAGAAGCCCACATTCACCAAAATTTCAAATCTCAGATCCTCAGGGCCTCACTCACACACATCACACACTGTTTATGAATGTATGAGAATGAGACTTAGGGCACCCCTTGCCTTAGGACCCTCTCACTGAAAGGTCTGTTTGTTGAGCTTTTAGTCCACAAATGTCCTTTGGATATGGGGGCCTCACTTGGAGCTTCCAAGATTCCAAGTCCAAACAACCACATGGAGACTATATTATTCTAAATACTAAAATACAACTTCTCCCATCAGACCATCAATGTCAAATTGTCTACTCTAACAAACATGCTTATGCTAGCCCCACAATGTATGTGAAATTTAATTTGGAAAGAGATATGTTGGTGATTGTGTTATTTTATATATGGGCTTTTGGATGTTTATCTCCAAACTGGCTAAACTTTTGCGTCTAGGGGACGGTAGACATGTTGTTTTCATATCCCAAAATCATGTAATATATATTCAAATTGGGTTAGATGGTTTAGCCAATTCTTAAAAGTATAAATAGACATTATGAAGAGCCAATTGGGTCTGACCTAGTGAAAAATGACATTGACTTACATATCAGTGGTCTCATGTTCGAACCATATGTCACCTTGATAATGTGTGTAAAAACCTCCATCTCCTTGTAGTTTAGATATTGATTGTATTAATGTCTCAACATACTGACCCTGGACAAGGGTGAGAGGTGTGACCGACCAAGGCCTATTGTCTGGAGGGGCAAAAATAAAAATTGTGTGTTTAGGGCCTTGGTATTATTAGTTCCGATTTTGTTGGGCCTTGTTAATTATCAACTCCCATTTTGTTTGGACCCTTTTTCTTTTGGTATTTTCTACTAATTTAAATTAGGATTGTTTGTGAAGCATAAATATCGGAATGGTTTCATGCGTTTATATCCCATGAGAAGGCCCTCATGAATCTAAAGCCAATCTCTGTACAGTCCTTCCAATAAGAACTCAAGCTTAATTGGACTTTCTACTACTGACGTATTTTTATCTGACAGTAATGCATTTGCGTATCTGCCATTCTTCCACAACTTTTTATCGAAGACTTTGCACACATTTGTAGTTGAGAAGTGCTACATTTGGTCACGCATACTACCGTTGAGTTGATCATGTCGATTGATGCATATGAAACTCACAATACATTAATCCTCCAGATAAATCCACGCGAGTCGACGATTACTGTAACATTCTTCCTGTATATTTTTTGGGTGGTGGAAATGAATGACGGCAAAGCTGGCCAAGTGTCTCTGGGCATTTGGCCTTACCCAAAATGACAAAAGAGGCGTTGGACTTGGAGATGGTGGCCTCACAAAACAAAGACACGTGTAATAGGCCGATGGGCCCAATTGCCACCAAGGAGGGACGGTGAGCCTTGCTTGGCACATCGCTGTGGTGAGGATTGGACCCCATATAGACCAGCTGAAAATTAGCTTTTATTGTTTATAGTCCAAAAGAAAAATTGTTGACAAACCCTAAATTTGGGTTCCCTCTGAAACTCCCTTTCTATTTTGAAATTTTCTATTTAAACCCTACATTTTTTTTAGTTCACCCCATGTTTTTTATACAAATTTATAAATAAACCCAATCCTAGACATGTATTTATAAAAAAAACCCAAGCACTATTTAAACATAGAAACACACCCAAAATCAACCCCAAAGTCAACTTTTTGGGTGTGTTTATAAATGGGTTTTGAGTGTATGTAATGATGGGTTTTGGGTGTGTTTATATGTTTAAATAGTGCTTGGGTTTTTTTATAATTTCAACCCCCATGTTGGGTGTTTTAGTAAAACTCCCTTAAGTTTATCTCAACTTTTAATTTAAATTTTCACAATTTCTAAGAAAACCCCACTATCTTCCCAAACTACCCTTAAATACACCCCAAATTGAAAAAATAAGAACTAAAAGAGATTTTATATTTAAACCCCACAATTTGTTTTGTTCCCAGCAAAAAAAAACACAAACAAATGAAACCCCATATCCGAAATTTAATACTTTCTAGAGAAAGAGAACAACTTTACCTCTCTCCAAGAACTGTAACTAGAATTCTAACACTTGGGTATTGTTGAGTTGAGAGAGAGAGAGAGAGAGAGAGAGAGAGAGATTGTAAACATGAAGTTGGAATGGGATTTTTAAAACTTAATATGAAGAGTGGTGGGGTGTGTGTATAGATGTACTAGGGTTAATTATTAAGTTGAATGACCTTTTTTGTCTTTTTACACAATAATAAAACTTATAGCTAAATGATTTAAGTAGTGGGGTGAACAAAGAGAAGTGCGGGGTTTAAATAGAAAATCTCTCTATTTTTTCACTCTATTTTTAGTACGAGTGATAATCTAAATTATATGACTCTTTTGGTACACGGTATTAGACTCTAAATATGAGTAAATAGTCCATATGGGGTGTTTGGTGTCATTTTGTATTATTTAGGGTCTGTTTGGGAGTGCTTTTGGAAGGGCCAAAACGGCTTTCTGATAACTAAAAGTACTTCTGACAGCGTTTGGCAGAAAAGTTTAGAAGCGCTTATGGGTCATAGAAGCGCTTCCTGAAGAAGCACCTGCTATGTGCTTCTTCAGGAAGCACTCCCAAGTGCTTTTCCACGAAGCACTTTAATTTTTTATGAAAATTCTAAATTTTTATAATAAAAGCACTTTTGTTAGAAGCGCGTATGAGCAAAAGTACTTCATAGAGAAGCAGTCCCAAACGAGTCCTTAATCAGCTGACTATTTTATACGAATTGAGTTTTTAATACTCTCATTACCTGACTAACTAATACAATCCACACACTCCAATTTATATAATATACGCTTAATTATACGCTAAAAAGAAAACACGCTTTCGCGTTACTTTGTTCTTGGCACGAAGCCATCTTTGTTTCCTTGCACGATGCCCCCTTTCTCTTACCTCAAGCTTGTGGCACAAATCCCTAATTGATATTTTCTCTCTGATTTGCTCAAAATTCTTTCTTTGTTTGGCACGAAGCCCACTGCAATTGTGCAATTTCTACAGACTGAATGTTCTTGTTCATTGTTGATTGAAAGAATTTGTTTTTTGGTGGTTGCTATATGGCGTCTTCTTCATTCAAGATCGAGGTTTTATTGGTATGCTTACTATTCACTTGCAAGATGATAACTTCATTAAATGGTGTTATCAATTTGAAAACCCATTATTGAGTAATTGCAATTAGTGTTTCAATTAATCTGATAATTTAGAAAGATGAGCTATTATGCCATGAAGGAATTCTCAAATTCTGTTGTATGATATGTTATGTGTGATGCAATGTGTTGTTGATGATTTTCATCAAATACAGATAAAGGATTTGTTTTCTATGTCCACAGGTTATTCAAGGAGATGTGGTAAAGACTGAGCCATATGAATTCTGCCAAAAAAAAAAAAAAATCGTGTCAAATTTCAATTTTCATTAAAATTATTAAAGAAATTTTTTATTTTTTTTATAAATAGTTTGATCCGATGTTATCCGACAAAGCACCAAACACAATATAACTTAATCAGACGATTTATCCGGAATAACAACAAACGCCTTATAATATTATGGATAAACAATCAATACTGTCATGAATAAATTAATACTATCCGTCAGAAATTAGCCAGTACAGTCCGATGTACCAAACGAGCCCTAAGAGAGAAGGGTTTCTCACATACACACACAACACAACCGCGATGTCATATAAATTCGAACCTGATACCACTGGTCTACAAGTTTATAAATTTTCACTGCTTATGGGCTGGTCTTTGATAGTGTAACACTAATACCATCTCACCATATAAACGTTTATTTCTTTTGAATTTTGGGTATAGTATTTCATCATATAAACATTATTGGTTGTAGGTCCTGAACCGTCTTGATTGATGAACAAACAGTAAAATGAATGGTCATGGCATTTTGGTTAGGCTGGCAAAAAATTGATAGGACAAAACAAAACCTGACCCAAACTGAAACTGCTGGATAAAGTACAAGAAGACTGTCTCTAGCAAAAGAAAAATAATTATAAAAATTATAAAAAAATTGAAGTACAAGACACAACATAGAAGAAAAGGAACTTCCATCATAAATAGTGGTGGATTTGACTTTTTTGTGTGGAGCCTTCCTGCACACTCTTTTAACACAATTTTCCAGCGGTTTCAAATCATTTTTTTATAAAGAAATTATAACCAAAAATTAAAATTAATATAGAAAGCAAACCTTCATTATTTTTTTAAATAAAAAATTAGTATCTATAATATTATTGGCTAAACCTAGGTATGATTTGAAGCCCTAAATTTGGTAGCACCGTAGGCAGAGCCATCAGTTAGGACTCAGGTTCTATATGATTTTAAAATTGACGGATTTGTTTGTTGGGAATTTCTTCAACTTCTCCTGATTTTGACAAAGACCTACCAAACTCATTTTTCTTTTATTATCAACAATCAATATGATCATTACATATACACACAATTTTTCATATATTCGAAATTTCACATGTTCATACTACATTTGTGCATAAGTTTGTGTTTTTCTTCAAGTTTGCGTGATTTAGAAGTTGCTTTAGAGTCTTCCTATTAGCTATTCGTTGAGGTCTTTCATTTTCAACTCGTTCATACTTAAATTTTCTCTAAATTTCATCATATTACATAATGAAACAGTATGTGAAACTTATATTCAATTCGCAACTAAACAACCTAACATAACTCACAATACGAAATCATATCATTTCATTCAATACACTTGATTGCATTGCCCCCTATTGTTTGACCTAAATTTTACACGAGTGGAGGCGGGAATTAAGGATTGACATGATTGTGCTAATTAATTTGTGTTACATTTTGGGTTTGCTTTAATGAAATAAAGTGGTGTTGGTCCAACTCATAATACTCATTGACAGTGTGGTTAATTTGTGTGGCGAGGAAATTGAATGACACGTGTCGAATACCCTAATCAAATCACACATGTCCTCCTCCTTTCCGGCCACCACCACACATGGCAATGATGCGAATTCCCATAGCAGTCCTGGGTCCCGCACCTTGTGCCTTGGACTAGTGTGTTACTGTAGGACAAGATACAGGTGATTCTACCCCGATTTGATAGATACTGTTTTGCATAATAAGACTCTCTGGTCCACTGCTCTGCTCTCTCTGACTGTGCGCACGAGTTTATGAGAGCGAGTGAGCGAGTTGACTCGGTTGAGTAAGTGCAGTAGTCAGGAAGCTATCTGACGCGTCATTCCAGCTGTTTATCCTATGGATTCCGTGACCGTATACATGAGGAGAGGGGGCCCACCCCTCCTTATGGGACCTACCACATTTCATAATTTTACAATTTAACTTCTCATCTCCATTTTTTTTTCCTTTTATTTTTGTTGCCAACAGATCAAATCTTTCTTTGAGATTGATTTCAATAAAAAAATATCTTTCTTTGAGACCACTCAACTTATAACTTTTTCATCCCCTTTATGTTTAAGAGGAATTATTGTATGGTATTAAAATATAGATACGTAATATAAGTTATTCACCTGTTATAATATGAGTAGACGAGTAATATCACGTAATCTTACTCATCTTACTCAAGTATCACACTATTATTACTCATATTTTGTTTATACTTTCAACTTCACGTTGTGAACGTGCGAATCAGAACCATTCGAAAATAGTGAGATTTTTTTTTAAGTGGCTTAGTAAGATACATTAAGCATTTCATGTATCCAAATGTAAAGGAGTTTCTTTACCAATGATGTCAAATAATGACATGTTGTGAGTCTGTGAGAAGATTCTTTTTCTTAAAGTTGATTTGTAGACTAACCTACATACATTAAGGTTTAATTCCAATAAAATAAAAAGGATAAAGTGAGCAAATTAGGTTTAATCACATCACATCATGTTTGATAGAATAGTCTTGGATTTATTTATGGTATTCCAGAAATGATGAAACATTGCATTTGTGGGCTGATGATGCAATAAAGGGAGAAAACAGAAAAGGGTTTATAAATAAATAAATAAATAAATATTTTTCTTGGTCAAGGAAGTTTCATTGGAAAAAAGTATTTTAGAAACAGTGGGCTGAGAAATTAGAATGGACCGAGAATTCCGAAGTTTTTTCTTTGCTGAATTGAATTCATTCAGAAAAACCAGATAACTTTATATTTATTGCTTGGTCAGTGAGAAAGCTGTGGAATAATAAATACGATTTTCAATTTATTTATTTACAAGCCTTGTAAATTGGCTACCAAAAACCCAACAAAAAAAATAAAAGAGAGAAGAATGAAAGTCCTGTGGAAATTCAGAAATGAGGATAAATAACGAAACCGTAACAAAGTTTTCAAACTTTGGTTTAATTAGACTATTTATAAGAACACCGTAGTTCGGAGAGAGAGAGAGAGAGGGAAGGGTGGGATGCGTGTGTGTTGTGTCTGGTTTTGGTATTTGACTAAAATTGGCTTCCTTCAGTTTCTTTCCAGTTTCATACTCATTCTCTTGCCTTTTTACTGAACGAGAACAAGAACAAGAAAAAACAGAGACAACAATGGCACCCACTACCATTCTCTTTCTCTGCTTCACCATTCTCAGAACCCACAATTCCATTTGATCATTCAATCCTAACAGAGCGAAACCCAAAACCCAGTAACCAAAATCAACCGGAATGGCCAAGACTGGCGTGTTTGATTCTGATCCGGCTATGGTGGCCAAAGCCACAGAATTGAAGAAGGAGCTGCAGAGGCTGGTGAGGGCTATTGTTGACGACGAGGATTTCAGCACCCAAACAATCGATCAGGCCAAAGACACTCTCTCGGCTCTCAAGGAATTGAAATTCAAAAAGAGATCGCTGTCTCTGAAGCTGAATGATGTTCTTTCTTGCCCTGAAGAGTTTCGATGTCCACTTTCCAAGGAGTTGATGAGAGACCCTGTGATTGTTTCTACAGGCGAGGTTGGTTTTCTTTGCCACTTGGGTGTTTACATTTTGCTCCGTTTTTTCTGGTTTTCAATGTCAAATTGGAAGCTTTTAGTCTTTTGTTGGTGCTTTCAGTTTCTGCAATTTCCCTTCATCTTCTGTTTTGTTGGGCTGAGAAAATGTCGGCAAGGAAAAGATCTTAGATTCTTTATTTTTATTTTGTTTTCCTTTCACTTTCTCAGCAACCAAACGGAGCTCTGAGGATTTAATTTGTGTGGTACGTAAAAGGAAGGTGATTTATTGTCTTCTTCCTTGGTTACAGTTTTTTACTGTTTCTATTATTTTTTTAATTTTCTGGTGGTTGGTTGGAGTTACAGTGTGGATTTAAGGTGCTGTCCTGTTTGTACTGATTCTGGAACTTGAATTTAAAGCACTAATTGTTTGATTGGCTAAAGTTTTTGAGATTTTTTTCCCCTCACTATTTATGGTGGTAAAATTGAACATGTCTGAGTGTACTTTCCTTTCAGAAATAAATATTTCCAGTTTTCTGAGGATTTTTTAGATTAAATTCTGGCAAGTACAGGTCCTTTGTGTGTATATTGCTTCTCTGTAAATTCTTCAAATCAGTTTAATCATGGCAGAAGAATTTACAGAGAAGCAATATGTTCCAAATCACATGATCTGGTCTCCTCCATGATCTTTAATTTGGCAAGTGTGTTCTAAGTCCGCTTCATTTTTTTGTTCTTTTTATTGACAGACATATGATAGACCATTCATCCAAAAAGGGCTAAAGGCGGGCAACAGGATATGCCCTCGAACCCAACAAGTACTCTCACACACAATCCTTACTCCCAATCACTTGGTTCGTGAAATGATATCGCAATGGTGTAAGAATAGAGGGATTGAATTGTCGGATCCTGTTCTCCTTGTCAATGAGGATGGTATAACAGAATCGGAACGAGACCATTTTCTTTCTTTGCTCCAGAAGATGTCTTCTGTATTGCCTGAGCAGAAAGAAGCTGCAAAGGAGCTTCGGTCGTTGACAAAGAGGATGCCTTCTTTCCGGGCACTTTTTGGCGAGTCTATACATGCCATCCCTCAACTGCTCAGTCCACTATCTGAAGGCAAGTTTGAAGATGGTATTCACCCGGAACTCCAAGAAGACGTGATCACAACGCTCTTGAATCTTTCAATCCATGACAACAACAAGAAGCTTGTGGCAGAAAGTCCTATGGTAATTCCTTTACTAATTGAAGCATTGCAATCAGGAACCATTCAAACAAGGAGCAATGCAGCGGCAGCCCTTTTCACTTTGTCAGCTCTGGATTCCAACAAGGCACTTATTGGGAAATCCGGTGCCCTAAAACCCCTCATCGCCCTCCTAGATGAGGGGCATCCATTAGCTATGAAAGATGTTGCTTCTGCAATTTTCAACCTATGCATCACCCATGAGAACAAGGCAAGAGCTGTGAGAGACGGGGCAGTGAAGACGATTCTGAAGAAGATAAGAAACCGTATGCACGTTGATGAGTTGTTGGCCATCCTTGCAATGCTATCAAGCCATCCCAAGGCTGTGGAGGAAATGGGAGACCTTGGAGCCGTTCCTTGCTTGCTCTGTGTTATCAGGGAGACCAATTGCGGACGCAACAAGGAGAATTGCATTGCAGTCCTTCACACAATCTGTTTAAACGATCGAACCAAGTGGAAGGAAATTCGGGAAGAAGAGAACATGTACGGAACAATATCTGAGCTAGCACAGAATGGGACTTCAAGATCTAAGAGGAAAGCTAGTGGCATTCTTGATAGACTGAACAGGACTGTAAATCTCACACATACTGCATGATGAGATCTCCATTGTGAGTATATTTTGTAAATTCTTCACCTATCAGTATAGTACTCAGGCATCATGTGGTCATCTCAAACCCTGTTTTGTATGTTCTCTTTTTATCTTCTAGAGTTTCAATTTCAGGTTCAGAAGCTAGCCATGAACTAATAAAAAGCAAGCTGTGTATCATATATATATATATATATATATATGTATAATTCTTCGTTTTCTTTCTTGGAGATGTTTTCAAACCTTTGTTTCTGCACAAAACTGGCAGTTTCTTCTACCCTTATTTCTTCAACAAAACCATGAATATTGACAATTTGCCAACCCAACATTCAACAATTATTGGAGACGCATTTGTTTCACTACAATCCATCCACTAATCCAGTGGGATCCTTTACTCACTTTTTGACCTTGAAATAAAGCCAAAAACACTTACCAATGTAGATGATTCCAAATTTATGAACGAATGGTTGCAGTTGCAGAGCCTTGCTGATGACCACAAAAATTTGAAATTGCAAACGAGAAGAATGTGACCATATTGAATGGTGCCTTTCCATGGCATCTAGTGTTTGTGGTCCATTGATTAAAGATGCCCTTCTCTTTTCTGTGAACTATTCGTTGGAGCAGATAGCAGAGAGCATAGCAGTTAGCACCAAAAAAAACTATGGCAAATTGGCAAAGTTATCATTTCATTTGTGTCTATATCTTCTTTTGGCCTTCCTCCATCGTCCCTTTTGATATTTTGGAGGATTTTTGTGTGGACAGTGATGTTAGATTCTTGTTCTTCTTTGATTCCTTGCACTTACTCTTCTCGCCCTCCGGCAAACTCATGGGGACTCTATTCTTTGTCCATTTTACAATAATGAAGCTGTTTTTACCTTTGAATACTACAAAACCTAATACTTTAGGCTTATGTGTTCATAGTGAAAAGGAATTCAATAAATAATTGGAGGTAGGGGTCCCGAGCGACATGGCTTTTGCTGAGTGAACCACATGTTTGTGCACAGTGCACATGTCGTTTATTTATTTATTTCTGTCATTCGCTAGGGAGGAATGGGGAGTAATATATTGAGTTGCCTCAATATTGTCTTTTACGTGAATCGAACATGAGCGGACCTTGAGGGAGAAGGGGAGAGTTTGGCCTATTTTTTCACTTTGGTGCCACCCCATATATTGTGTACTTGTCGTTTATGGGCACATAATTGTACATTGAAAAAGTTCACTTGAGCAGTGGCCAGGTCATATTTGACAAGAGAAATATGATTTAGATAGGCTGTCGGCTTTGTCTCTAAAAAATTACATTCCAACCTGTAAACGGGCCAGCCGTGTCGGTCCAAATTTAAACAAGCCGGTCCAAATATAAATGGGCTGGACTCATCCCAAATCCGGCCTGCCTGCTGTACACCTCTCTACATATTTGATTGGTAATTTCACCGTTTGGTATGGTCTTGCTACGACTCATGCACACATGGTATATATGTTGTTAGATTGTAAAGTATACGCTTAGACGTAATCCTATATGGTTAATAGTTTGAAGTCACAAACTAATAACTAAACATACCAGATGGTTTAGCAAATATTTCTTTTACTTTTGCGTTCAGTATTAGCATTGTTTGTACAATTTTCTGTAGTCAAACGAGTAATGTTTGAAACGAAGGTTTTAAGAAAGTTGAATTGTAAAAGTTTAGTCTGAGACATATACATGTTTATGTAGCATGAATAGGGGAATTTAGATAAGGAAATCAAGATATTGAAATTGAATCAACTACTCCCTTCTAGTTGATTTCATTCTAGATTTTGAGGATATTCAATTACATATTTTAATGTGTAACCCACATATTTTTTTTATTCCTTATGTCTACTAAACAATAATTTGAATTATTTCAATACTCATGTGTTAGTAAATACAAGATAAGTAATAATTGGAATCATTCCTAACACTCATTCCGGATAAGTACACATGTCAAAAAAGTGAGAAATTTTTTTTTTCTTTTCCTTAAGGGCAAGTTGAATCAAAATGACGTTTGCTCAGAGAGAGCTAAATGAGATATGTGATACTTTCGGGGGCACTAGAGTAATAAAGTCTCTTCATTTCGATGACTATTTATTGTATGTTTATGTAGTTTGTAAAACCACAGATCCTTCTCGTATAGACGACTCGGGCCCTATCCGGGGGCTGGAGCCCGTATTGGACATTTGAGTATGGATAATCTCCAAGAGAAGATCTGCACACTTTGAGTGATATCAGAATAAGGGCGGACTGGGGCTAATGTAACATCCTGACCCAAAATATAATCCTTCGTGAATTAAATTAATTAAATTAAATTTGAATTTCCAATTTCGCCCTCAATAGTAGGGGTAATTTGGTCACTTTTTGATATGGAAATATTTTGGAGAAATGAGTGGCACCATTGCGTAGAGCTCGTCGATACGAGTTCGTAGACATGCGACATGCTCAATTTCGAGTTGTAATGAAGGAGGAAAAGTTTGAAAATGAAAAGGACGAAAAGGTAATTTTAAGATCGGTACTGTAGCGGCTGATCCCAGTCTAACCATCTTCGATGGTTAAGTCAAAAACTAACTTGAGATGGAGAGAGAATAGATGTAGGGTTTTTACTATGAGAGAATTTATTACCTTTGTTCAGAGATAAGTAAATGGTATTTATAGGAGGAAGAAGGATAGACCTAGATATTTTATGGGATAGATCTTTTCTTTATTCCCCTAAGTTAATGCTCTGTTTCTGATAACCATGCCTTGTGATAGGGGTCTGGTGGCGAAGTGACAGGTGAACAAGGATAAGAGGTGTATTAAATGTTCCCTTTCTGTCACTAACTTGTTTTATCAGAGATCGAAGGGTAAAGTGACACCTGCTTAAGGATGGTATGCGCATCAACCGACCTTTCATGTCTGCCAGACTGTTTCATTTAATGCATCTCTAGTCAAGCCATGGTGCCATAGTGGTCGGGTCGGTCTTTAAACACCCGATCACTAGTCTCATTCCGATATGTCACATTCTCTTTGAGGAATTCTTTGTTGCAGTCATATATGCTCGGCTCGGTATATGAGGTGTCCTTCGAAGGGCTCGGCTCACAATGATAGTATGAACTATCAACATAGTTTATTACTCATCCTCTCGGCGGTTTTCCATTTGCTTGCCCTCTCCTCCAAGCCCCGTAGTTTCCCTACTATCCTCTCTCATTTCAGAAGGAATTTTTTTTTGTTAACAACAATTTCAAAAGGTTTAATTAATTTACCTGAAATGGGCACATTGGCTAAAATACTCGAGCACAAGAATCAAATTGATCATGTGAAAACAAGATAATAACGCGGTAAAAAACATCTTCGTATTTACCCAAAACGAAAAAAAAAAAAAAAAAAAAAAAAAAAAAAAAAAAAGAAGGCTCCTAGGGTTTCAGCTCGCAGCCTCCCATATATAAGGGAAATAAACCTGCAGTGCTCGACTCTTCAGCCTCTCTCTCGCTCTAGCTCACAAAACCTCCCGGATTAGGGTTTTCGTAGGCTCGTCGCTCTCTGTCCAAGTCTCAAGCATGGCGAATGCATCGCCTCCTCGTCTCCTCAGTCAGAAAGAGGCTGACATCCAGATGATGCTTGCCGCTGAGGTCCATCTGGGCACCAAAAACTGTGATTTTCAGATGGAAAGATACGTCTTCAAGCGGCGTAATGATGGTATAAATATCTCCTCTGTTTTCGTCAGATACAATCCTTTTCTTAGTTTTTGTTTATGCTTCTGGATTTGTGATGGATTCTGAGAAAATGCATATGATGGGCACCTTCTGATTTGTAGGGTATGTGTTTTTGGCAGATCTGGTATATAGATTGTTTAGCTTTAGTATTATTTGTTAGTATAGGTACATTTTTTTGTCGTAATTTTCTTTTAAGTTAATATTGAAATGTGCCTATGTGAACTGCTCATTCTGTTCAATTTACTTGATTTTAGAACATGAAATGTTTGGTTTAAATTTTATTTAATTGCATTTTGGGGACTGTGGGTATTGTTTTTAGTTTTTGACTGCAATGATTTGATGTTGGTTATATGAACAAGAAACACTGTGATTTGACATAGTTCTCCATATTGTTTTGTTAGGTTTTGATTTGTTATACGAACAAATCTCTTGGTTATTGATTTGGCACTTAGTACTCAAATACTGATTTGGTCAATCTCAGGGATTTACATTATCAATCTCGGAAAGACATGGGACAAGCTTCAGCTGGCTGCCAGGGTGATTGTTGCGATTGAAAATCCCAAGGATATTATTGTACAATCGGCAAGGCCCTATGGTCAGAGGGCTGTTCTGAAGTTTGCTCAGCACACCGGGGCTAATGCAATTGCTGGACGACACACCCCAGGAACCTTTACCAATCAGCTTCAGACATCTTTCAATGAGCCCCGTCTCCTCATTCTGACTGATCCAAGAACAGATCACCAGGTGACGGTCAACTTTCATTTCTGGGGTCCTTCTATGTTCTTTTTAAGACTGTTGCAACAGTAAAGTTGATGTTATTATCCAGGGCTTGTTAAATGTGAAATTTTTATTTATTTTCTGTTTGTGTATGTGTAATTATATTCTATTATTTCCCAATTTTGCTATGCTTGTTTTCTCAGTGTGTTCTAATGATCTTTATGTGACTGCAGCCAATTAAGGAAGCAGCTCTTGGAAACATTCCAACAATTGCTTTCTGTGATACTGATTCTCCCATGCGTTATGTTGATATTGGCATCCCTGCCAATAACAAGGGTAAGCACAGCATAGGATGTCTTTTCTGGATCCTAGCAAGGATGGTTTTGCAGATGCGTGGCTCCCTCCGTCCAGGGCATAAGTGGGATGTCATGGTAAGCACAGAACACCACTTTTGAATTTGAAATTGTTGTCTGGACTTTTGTGCATTACACGTAAAGCAACTAGGAGCTTACTTAAGAGATGGTCTCTAAACTACTTATCATGGCTCAAAATATCTGCTTGCAGGTTGATCTATTCTTCTATAGAGAGCCTGAGGAGGCCAAGGAAAAGGAGGAGGAAGAAGCTGCTACAGCGGCGGATTATGGAATTACAGATTATTCTGCAGCTGGTGGCCTTCCTGCTGGTCTTGCTGGTGATCAATGGCCTGCCCAAGTTTCTGATGCTCCTTGGCCAACCGATGCCCCTGCAGCTATCCCAGCAGCTCCTGTTGTTAGCTGGACTGCAGAACCAGGTTTCACTTGTCAACCTTGTTATTGTTGTAAAATTTGTGCTATCATCGCACTTCTGCTGCCTATTTCTGCTACTTATGTTTGTTTTTTCCCTGTCCGGTTTATGTGTTTGTGTGCAGTAGCAGCTGCAGATGGGTGGGGGGAGCCAGTACCAGGCCCTGCTCCTATAGTTGATGGTGCTCCTACTGCTACTGGCTGGGATTTATGAAATTCTGAAGAGTGTTGCTCATAACAACGTAGTTGAATCTGTAATAGACTAGATTTTCATTTCTTTCTTTTTGGGTTTCTAAAAGGATTATGATTCCATTTTGAAAGATGGATTGTTTTTGAAACTGTTCTAGATTGGCTCCTTCTATTGAAATACAAACAATTTTGCAATTAAACCCAATATAAAAAATTTGACAATACAATTCCCTATATTTATTTTGTGGGGTGGATCCAAAGGAAAGATAACAGAAGGAGGATTTAGGTGAATTATGGTTCGGGGACCTCGCTGAGGCTCGAGTTGGTTTTGGCAAAAAGTCCATACCGCTTTGGTTGCCCTCGATGTGTTGAGTTTTTCTATTTTCTGTCAAATCTATCTCACTAATGTTAGTTATGGAGCGGCAATTTGGTCCAATCTTGCATATATAGGGGTCTGCCAATAATTCTTTTGGGGATTGTTTGTGGGCGTACGGTTCAAAAATGTTGATTTATGGATTTGAATATGTTTCAAATTGAGGGCAAGGAGCGGTTAATATCACGTTCAGATGGTGAAGATAATATGTTGGGAAAATGGAGGTTTTTAACTGGTGTACAAAGGGGAATTGCATTATGGATGAAGATTGCAGTGTAGAGGGTTGGATTATGGAGTGGTGGCTGAGAAGGGTCTAAATGAGTTCAAGCTCCACTTGTTTGGATGGAAACCAGGAAGGGCTCAAAAACATTAAAATCAACCCCTGTTCTCGATCCGGCAAGTGGCAGCCTGGCAGGCAACGAAGATAACATCGGAACACAGCTAGCTCTGATCGTCATCATTGTCATGACTATCAGAGCCACCTATGCTCTGCTGTTCTTTTCCCCGATAGTCACAACAGTGGAAGAGGACGACCCAAAGAAAAACCTCCATCAATGGCTGCACCCTCACTCAAGTGACTCGGTTTATTAAGGTGACAGGTCTGGTGCGTATCTCGTTTATGGTGCTCAATGGTCATGAAGATGAAGAACAAGGAAGGGAACTTGAAAGTATTGAAAAATTGGAGGGTAACTTGAAAATAACCAAAGAATTCGAGTGGTTTTACGTGGTTGCTGCTGAAATTAATTATCTAAAATCTTAACAACAAAAAATATCTCGAAGCTTCCAGACCTGTCCCCTTTCTCTTTGATTGCTCAAGCATATGTGAGTAATGAAATACATAGTGAGGTACTTTTTCTAGATTGCCGCCACAGGGACTAAAAATAAATACAATAACTGAATTAATTAAAAATTCCTAATCTTCTATTAAATGGAAATTAAAGAAAAAAATTTGTTTTTACAAAAAATATGACACGGCCAATTTTCGTGTTGAGTCAAAGCTCTCCTCCCCCCTTCCTAGTCTTGGAAGGTTTTTTTTCCCCACAGTTAGGAAGGGGAGGGGGCCATTTTCACTGTGTCAGAAGGAGCAAACCATAAACCACTAGCCTACAACAACTCTACCACTAAAGCTAAGACCCCATTGGCTAGGGTTACAACAGTTCGGTGGAGGGAAAGTAATGAAAAACGAGGGATCAAACCCTAGAAGCACCATGAACCCTCGTGTTAATACCCTCGCTTTTTGATGCCAAGAAAAATAAAACAAATTAATTAACCACAAAATTTGAATCAGAGGGGCGCTCATCTATGCAAAGGTTCAGTAATCAATAATCTAACTGGTTTCTGTACAATTTCAAAAAGGATAAGGACCTTCTGCAATATGATGATTGAGGGCACAGCATCATACATCAAAAACACGCAAATATAAATAACAGCGACTAACATTGATTGAGGGCACAAAAGATCGGACACAACAAGCATACGAAGAGGATGCTGCACTCTCCCACTGTAGTTCATTACATGTTTTAGCACCACTATCTCGACTCTTCTAAGTTTGTTCAGAAGAAAAAAAAACCCTTCACTCTGTTCTGTAAGCCCAACCATGTTGTTGCAAATATGCTTCGACTGCTTCTTTTATGGCTAAGTTTGGTATTAACTGTGATTGATCAAGTGGCTCACGCGTGATTGGATCGAAGTTACCCACCTAGATCATTGCAAACAAAAAAGTTGGAGATTAATGTAGATATATACATATAAGTACAGTGTATTAGTAGATGTAACCAAACATTACCTTCTCAAGATGGTTAAGGATCACTGATCTCTCATATGTAACCCCACTAGGAGTAATCACAGGATCACGAAATATGTCGAGAGTGATTTTACAACAGAGGTAATCTGGCACCTGAATTTTTTTTTTAACATTGTCACATGATAATTGAGATTTTTCTTAAAAGAAAAAGCACGAATGGAAATGGAAGATAAACCATGTACTCTACTGACCTCACTTGGTGTGTCAGCTTCTGCAGCTTTCTCAAACACTCTTCCTAAAGCCTCTAACTGTTTCATATGAGTAGGACCAGCTTCATCCAAAAACCCTTCCATTTCAAAAGCGTCATGTTTCTCTTTGAGAGCATTCTCACAAGCTTCTCTGAGACATGAAACAAGTTTTATGAAGCAGCAACCAAATATGAACATCAAATAATTATTCAGTTTTGAAAACCTTTTCAGACATCATAGGCCTGAAGGAGACATACTTCAAGTTTTGCAATTCCCATGAACGTTTGCTTGATAAATCCTCCCACTCCATGTACTTTGCTTTTGCAAGCTCCTGCCAGATCTCCTCTACCATATAACCCTTCGGATTGGCGCCCCTCCCAAGATCCAAAGCCTGTACAAGGAAGTTGAAACAAAACTTCAATAGAATTTTCCCTCTAACATAATCAACTGAAAAGACGCAAACAACTAAGAGAAATTTGCTCAATGCTTATAATACAAAGTACGCTATACAGAAACCACTTCTTACCCTTTCCAATTCCTTAACTCCATCAGCATACTCTTGCTTCTGTAGTAATGCAAGCCCCAGCATATAGTGAGCCTGTCATGCAACAAATTTTCAATGAACTACATGAAACCATTATGATCCAAGAGAAGAAGGAAAAGTTTCCATTAAAGAAGAAGACATTAGGTAAAAGTGTAGACTCTCAACCAGGAAAGTCAGGAACACAAAGCATATAAAGGAATCCATGCTTTTGTGCCACTATGTAGGTGGAACTCTTATTAACACTCCTTTAACCACCTGAATATGCTCAAATTGTATTAAAATCATTTAACTCATAAAATGATAGCATGTTTGAAAAAGAAATTCAGGCCAAAGATTCATTAGAATGTTAACGTTCAATTCATCACAATTCAACAATTAATGCAAGTTTCTGCAGCACCAAGGCAATGATTAGATACTCAATTAGATACAAGAAGGGTAGGAATGTACCAAATCTCACTCCTCCAAACATGCTTTATTCTTGGGCAACAGACAACAAATACGACAAACGCATTTATAGAAAGGGCAAATTTTTTATTTTATTTTAAAAAATACCAAAGCCAAAGCATAAGAATTTACCTTAACTGAGTTGTGTTCAAGCTGAATAGCTTTCCGAGAATCTTCTTCCACTCTCGTCCAATCACTGCATTACTTACAACATTAAAATTAGTACAAGAATTCGATGACAAAATGTCATTTTTTTCATATTTGAAAATACAGAGAAAGAGCGGATGATCATACATACTTACGCTTCAGATGGCAAAGGGCGCGATTCGTATAATAAACAGGAATATCAGGGCACAGAGTTATCGCCTTGAAACCCATCAACAACAAACAAGAAATCATCAATTATAAAGACCCAATAAACATTTCTGATATATACAGAGCACATAGAGAAGCGAATTGAAGAACAAAATACCTCAGTATATGCCTCGATGGCGGCATTGAAGCGCTCTTTCTTGAAGTAAGAGTTGCCGGCTTTCCTGAGTTTCTCCGCCGTAGAAAATGCGTGACTGGGCCCCATTTCTCTCTCTATCTTTCTGGGTCTCTCCCAAAATCGTTTATTTTGGTGTTTCTGTGAATGTGGATGAGGGCAATTCTATGTTTCAGCAGCGGTTTTTGAATTTCGGGGAAAGAGGATGTAGGGTTCGAGAGTTTTCCAGGCGAAAGCGAAAGAAAGCAAAAGCGCGAAATGGAAGAAGAAGGGAGGCAACGTCAAACCCTCAAGCGAGTCAGAGACGTTTCTTTGTAGTTTCCTTCTTTTGTTATTGGGAGTTTGAGAGCCAAAGACTTGACCTTTATTATTTTGCTTCCTTCCCCTAGAAGCTAACAAAAAAAAAAACTTTACATCCCTTTGGCAGATTGTCTTCTTAATTTTTCTCTAAAATCCCAAAGCTTTTCAAGAATAGCTCTCATTGGTCCAACTTTTCAGATTTTCCGAAACTGCCCTTTGATAATAAATAAATAAATATACAAAGATCCTGGATTGGTCTGACTGGCCGATGCCTCAACTCTTTTATGATCCATTTTCATTATCAAATTGGTCAACGGGAAATTCTAATCAAAGTTATTGTTTTTCTAATCCCCAAATTTTGGAAAACCAAAGCAGTCCCTCACCTTTTGGGCTTTTAACGTCTTGCTTATGTGTTTGGTATCCAATGCACAAACATCTGTTGGAATATATGATGAAATGAGTGACCACAGAAACTTCTCATGGTCATGAGGTTTTGGGCCCAGAACTTCAAAAGCTATGCAACATATCATATATAGATGGGGGTGTCACTGTAAACCAGTGGTATACATATGAAACAAAGAAAGTTCTGCAAGTCATGCCAAACATTTGAAAGAATTAAAGTATGGATATTTTACAGAATTGTACACTGTAAATTACAACGACGGAATCGAATGAAATATGCCTCTAGTTTCCGGTAAGACTAGATCCTTGACCCTTGCTATCTTCAGAGTCGTCGGATAATGATAATTGCTCTCGAACTCGATCTACAAGTCGAGGGGCTTCCTGGTCTAAGTTCAGCGGCCGCCTCTGCAAACTCTGCAAGATAATATATCCTCAAGACAATAAGCAAACTCAGCAAATATCAAACTTATATCCTCAAGAATGTCCAGTTTTACATAATAAGGAGACATAAAACGCGACTGATACATACCTCAGAAGCCCATAAGCAATCAAGTGCCGTGCGCGGAATTATGTGTATGTGAGTCTGAAAGTAACCCATGTTACATAGTAAAATTAGCAAAAGCTTATCTATTGCTCAAGGTAAATAATGAAATAGCTGCATAAAAGGGTAAAATTCTAATGTCAATTAACAAGCTAATATTGTTCAGTTGCAATGAGATTTATGGAATTTTTATTGCTGTCAGCAGATATATCAGTTCTCTTGTACGCTGCTGTTAATTTAATCAAATCGGAATTCAAAAAGAAAAGCATAAGGACTCACATGAAATATAACTTGGCCTGCAGCTATACCATTGTTAACTAACAAGTTGAATGAATCTGCATAATCAGAACTTCCCATGTTTATTTTTTGTAGCAGTCAAGCTTAGCTAGGTATGCTTGAAAATGCAATTTCAATCAAGGATGTCACTGAAAATATCTTCGAAACATTAAGGAAGACTCCAGCACACCCTAATTGCTATATAGCAAGACAGTAAACCTAGAAACAAAAAGAAAGTAAAATATGGTGCCAACATAAAATGACTTTGAACACATACCAGAATCAGTGGCTTTCATGATTGCACTGCTGATAAAGGGCACTTTTGAACACATTGCAGCTACCACCTGCAGAGCAAGTTCATTTGAACTCATGCAACATTATAATGTCCCATGAAAATACAGAAACACATGCATTGGACACTACAAAGTATCCAAACAACCTATTTGAGATGTGTAGAGAAAATTACAGTCTGACCTGTTACCTATCATTAATATAGTCAATGTGCTCATCAACCTTATGCTTATAATCCCAATGATGGACAATACCCTTCTCTTTTATGCATACACGTAAACAAACTCTATGCTGATATCAATAAATTATTCTCATCAATATCATCTAATGCATAACATATGAAGGCAATCAATACTCATATTTCATAATATCTAGCAACAGATTCATGACATTCATACAGACCCATTGCAAACTGATTGTATCAATAGGATATACTTACATCTGGGGGTGTGGCTTTCAACGAACAAAAATGAGATTTTGGGATAATAAGAGAATGCCTGCGAACAAAAGTATGAATTGAGTATGGGAGAAAAAAACTGTCATGTAAAGATGATAGAGGTGTACCAAGTCTTTCTATTATCCAGCGTTAAAGAAATGCAGACAAAATTGCCACAACACTTGCAAGTCTACAATACAGAACTAAAGTCAATCTGAAGCACATCATGCAGACTTCACAAATTTACAAACCATACAGTATGGTCTGGTAGTCATTTGATGCTACAAATCGTATCCCATAACTAAGACAACATGCCCTTTTCAGGGCAACACAGTTGAATCAAGTATGATTCACAAAACTGACAAACTATAATAAACACAGTTTCAATGCAGTGAAAGAAGCTGCTTTGTGAACATATGTGGAAGTTTATCCTGACAAGTAATGAAATTACCATAAAAACTCAAAGGCAAAGAAAAACAAGGACTAGCAGTAAAGAAAAGAACAATTGTTTCTTGGATTAATGATACCTTACCCACGACTCAGGGGATTTATATCCAATATACACAAGCAAATATCATCCTCGTAAAGCTGCACGAAAAACAAATTCCGCGGAGAATCAAAACATGGAACAATCAGAAGTAATTGAACAGACATGGCAAAACAAAAATGTGATTATGAAGATTGCTTCAGTATTATAAAAACCCAAAAAGGCAACAACTTCACATAAAAAAACCAACTAGAAACATTTCCAAAACAAAAAACAGATTTTGAACAAACAGAGATACTTATAAAATAAAACCCATTACACAATCCACACTCAACAACTCAAAAATCAGTGCTGTGGTCTTATACTGCTATGAAACTTTTCATCTTCAATACAATCGAAATTTTGCAGCTTCAATATAATGGGAAATGCAACGAATTATAAAAAAAAATCGTCGAGCTTTTACTTTCTCAATTTGTATCTACCTTGAAAGCCGGTGCTTCACCGCGGATGATTTTGCAGAAAACGCAGTTGTCTTGGAGATTCCCCTTGTTGGAATCACCGGGTTGCTGCTTGTTACTGAAACCAGAGTCGCAACTGGAGCTGGGAACGGGAACTAGTCGGGCCGGAGCCGGCGTCGGACCAGGGCATATATGGGAACAGAGAATGGAAAGCCTGCGAGCCTCCATTTTCAAGCAAGAACAGAGGTTTCGACAACAAGTATGGCTGTTGCCATGTTTTCCGATTCCTCTGAAACGTCGTGGAAAACTAGGAAGACAGAGAAACAAAACACCAGAGCTGGTTTTTGTTTTGTTTTTTTTAAAATAAATATTTTAGCAAAATAAAAATTAAGAGGGTCAGGTGTGTTTGCTTATCCTCATGCCATAACTATGGTCGGATTTTTGCGCTCCCAAATGGGGCAATCAGTAAGCTGTGGATATAGAATTTATTTTCTTTATTAAATTAAAATAATATAAGATAATGATTAAAATTTGCCTCGCCTTCGGTATATACATCAGCATTTAATTCATTATTATTTTTACGATTTGTTGAAAATTTTAGGAGGTTTGGCATTTATTATTATTTCATAATGGTCAACTTAATATTTGCTGTTTTGGGCGTTCAAATAAAAAAATTAGAAAAAAAACATCTGATTAATTGCACAATTCTGCATGGTTTTCACACACAAATAAAAGTTATTGAGAAATTATGTAAAAACTCTTTTCAATTATAAAGGCCCAAAGTTTCTGAACAAAAACCATAAAAAATAGAAATGAAGGCCCTAATTTTCATTAGCTCGTTTACCACAGTGGTGGTTGAAGATTCTCCCTCTTTTTATGACACTCAGGATTGAACCTATGAAGTTTCTTTCCTCCAATAAAACTTAAAAAAAAGGTACTCAAAAGAGTATTCTCTAGGCATTTTTCACCAATTTATTTATTTGTATTAGAGTTTTGCAATTTTTCACATTGTTTATTTAATTAAAACGAACTGAACATATGATTTTACTAAATTATAAGAAAAACAAATATAAAAAAAGGTAGAAATATCCAAGAAATCCTCTTGGGCGTCCACAGAATTATTTTGGGTAAGCCTAAAAGGGCCCAAAAAAAAATAGTCAAACTAAAAAACTTGGGCCTAGAAGATGAGATGTCAAATCCAACGAGACACGGTCCCCAAATATGGTAGGGCCGTAAGAAACAAACTTCCTCTGCACTCTGAACAAGTCCATGGTCCGTATTGTCACACCCAAGTTCGAATTCTCCTATTCGTGGATTAAATTAAATCAGGATAATTAAAAAATGGGAAAATATTTATTTGGGGAGTGAGAGCACACCTCCAAGTTTCCAACTACATTGCAACAAGACTTTGACAATCAGTAAATGATGCTGTTGGTGACCATATAACCAAAGTTTTGGTTTGAAACCAAAAACATTCCCTGCACCGCACGCCTTCTAGAACAGGAGAAAGAAACCTTTCCCATTTTCTCGTTCTCCGGATTAAACAAACCAAAATAATAAAAAGAAGCCATCGCCGAACCCATAAAAAAAATGCGGGTTACGTCATCCCCAACGACATACAGGGAAAAAGCGTGCGCTCGAAACGGCAACCACCGTCGGATCCTTCCACGTCATCATAACCCCCGCCATAACGATCACGTGTGCGCATCACAGCGCAGATGGCATTAAAGCCCGCACCTCACACCGGCAACAACCCCATGCACTGGAGAAAAGCAAATATATACGTGGGCCCCACTCTTTTGAATTGAACCCTTCCTCACTAAGACTTGCCTTCTTCCCCAAATTCCTCCCTTTGTCTCTCTCTCTCTCTCTCTCTATATATATTTGTACATTCGGGTCTCTGCACAGCTGCCAACGAAACAGAAGAACCTGAAACAATGGACGACCAAAACGACGGCGTCGTGGCTCCCAGCTTGGATTTCCAGCGCCTCAGAGTGATCTCGGCGCTGGGGCGCGGGGCCAAGGGCGTGGTGTTTCTGGTGAAGGACGAAGAGGCGGCGGAGTTCATGGCGTTGAAGGTGATTTCCAAGGACTTGATCGAGAGGAGGAGCAAGGAGCCGAAGAGCGACGGCAGCGAGTACCGAAGAGTCTGCTTCGAGCAGCAGGTGCTGCGTCGTTTCGACCATCCGCTTCTCCCCAAACTGCATGGCGTTTTGGACACTGAGAAGCTCGTCGGCTACGCCATTGATTACTGCCCCGGCCGCGATCTCAATTTCCTCAGAAAACGACAAACCGAGCGGATGTTCTCGGATGATGTCATCAGGTAACTTAACTAATTCAGAGATCTATACGTCAAATTCTGTTTGATTCCCGAGAAAATGACATGACAATTTGAATTTATTTATTTTTTAATTATAGATTTTACGCGGCGGAATTGGTTCTGGTGTTGGAGTATTTGCATGGATTGGGAGTGGTTTACAGAGATTTGAAGCCGGAGAACATTATGATCCAAGAAAACGGCCACATTATGCTCGTCGATTTCGATCTCTCCACCAAGCTCTCGCCGATGAAGAATGCTCAATCGGTTCGGATCAGTTCAAACTCCACAGCTGAATCCAGCGCGGTCCAGAAGAAGCGGTGCTCGCCATTCCAACGGTTCTGCAACAAGGGGATTTCGCCGGACGACTCTGTCTCGCCCGCCGAACTCAGTTTAAACTCGGGCAAACCCGGTTCGGACTCCTCCGAGAAGTCGAACTCGTTCGTCGGAACGGAGGAGTACGTGGCGCCCGAAATCGTTTCGGGCAGCGGCCACGATTTCCGAGTCGATTGGTGGTCCCTTGGGGTGCTTCTTTATGAAATGTTATACGGTGCGACCCCGTTTAGGGGGTCGAATAGAAAAGAGACGTTTTATCGGATACTGACGAAGGAACCTGAGCTGACAGGTGAAACGACGGCGCTGAGGGACTTGATTGCGAGGTTGCTGGAGAAGGATCCGAAACAGAGAATCGGGGCGGGTGAAATCAAGGGCCACGATTACTTTAGAGGGGTCGAGTGGGATTTGATTTTGCGAGTCTCGAGGCCGCCGTACATTCCCGAAATTGCGACTGAGGGTACGGATGGAATGAACAAAAAAATTGACGTGGAGACGGTTGTGCAAGGAATATTCGGAGGTGAAGATGGTGGGGCGAATAAAGGCAATGAGAATGATGAGAATAAGAATAATAATGAGAAGCAAAATGTAAATAAAAGAGAATGGGTGGAGGGATTGAATCACAACCCCACCCAAGAAAATGCATTTTTGGTTTTCTAACTATTTTTTTTTATTGCTTTTTTATTTTTATTTTTTTGGTAATTGAGGGGCATCATTAGCTTGTGTATGTTATTTAAACCTTAATTAACTGTAATAATTTCGAGCTTTTTTATATATATTATATTGGACAAAAGCGTTCTTCTTTGAACGCAAATCACAATCTGATACGTTTGCAAAATTTGATTATATGAATAGTTTGCTAAAACAATTTATCTCCGCATACACTTGCACCTTCCAAACTTGCCGATCTAAAGCCAACATTAAATATTGAATATGAAGCTTCACCAGAAACAAAGAGGAAATTTCGAGCACTGGGGCACGTGCTATTAAATTCACATTTCTTGATTGACAATTCGAAGGATGGTCCTTGAACTACTATAGCATGACTTTGGTGTTCAACAATTGCAATTGGAGTCGGCCGCTTATTCAATACCGAGTAAAGTGGTTGGCATAAAAGAAAAGGAAAACCGAATATTCAGATTTCGGTTATTAATTATGGTTTTATACTTGATCATCCGTTAACCTTAAATGCCGGTTTCTTTAATTTGTTGAGATATTTTTTTAGTATAAACGATAGTAACTAGAGGGGAGAAGGATTTCACACACACACAACTATAATGTCATGGGAATTCGAACATGATACCTCTAATATGCAAATCAAAGCCTTTTCCTAATATGCTAGACCTCGTTAGCTTAACTTGTTAATTTAATAATACAATTAAAGGTCACCAGGTTTTAACTGAGACAAGTAATACTCGTTGAATCAGCGTGTCACGAAATCAACCCTTAAAAAAACTTGATTTTATCATCAAAATTTCGTAGCTGGCTTGGCTTCCATGCAATAATGCATGAAATGCATGTGCATCCAATTTTAGCTCACAATGACTACCCATTGCTAATAATTGCAATATTTACACCTAGAACTAAATACATAAAATTGATTGTAATACTTATCTAGATAGCATGGCGAGCAACCATAGCCTTTTGTAACAAGACCACACCAGCTTATTTTCCGCCAATCCTAGCAGCTCAAAATTAATATCAAACACCTTCAACTGCAAAGGGGTCATCCATTTATGGTTTTGGACCCTCCTTTCGGCCGGATTCACATATTTTTGTTCTTGGCCACAAGATCCAGTTCATCGAATTATAGGCTTGCAAGACAAAGACTGTGACATCACGACGGAAAATGGGTTAGATGTGGACATTCGTCCTTTTCATTTTGGTTTTCACACGGAACATGTAGGCAAAATAATATAAGCTTGCATCGGTAGCTAGATTAGAAAACTTGTGCTTAGAATAACAAAACGTCTTAGTTTGTTTTTCTCTTTTTGATAAACAAAAATGTTACGAGTACTTGAGATTCTGTGTTGAAATCACGTCATCCCCAATATTATATATATATTATATATATATATATATATATATATATATATATATATAGATTGTAATAAGTTGGGTGAATTAAGCTAAGTTGGAGAGGGTCTTTTTTTTTCTTTAAAAAAAATATATTATTATTATTTAAATAGAATGAAAGTTATCTATCAGTCTTTGCTTGTCGACCAGACAAACGGTAATGATTTTTGTCCCACTAGCTCGTAAATCCCTGTTTGACTAAATTAGCCCTTATTAAATTCAGATTAAGAAGAAAAAGGCTTATGATTTGAATTCTGAGTATAGAGGATGATGAATAATGACTTGCTTCCCATGAAGGAACGTGAAGTAAATTGCGACATAAAACATCTATCTGTATTTTGTTGACATCTTCTTCTCTTCGCTTTCACACCCTTTGAAAATTCTTCTCTGTTCTCCTTCACAACTTAAGTTATTTGTACACATTAACCACATCAATACAAAATTACCCATAAACCTTTGTATATGCTCTTATTTAATTTTGAAAACATGCGATAGTCAAAACTAAAAAGTGAGAGACTTCTCTCACACACACAATACAAAGGTGTCATGGGAGTTCGAACATGATGGGAGACTTTTCACACACACAGACACTACCAAGATTGTCATGGAAGTTCGAACATAAATGAAACCACTAATCTGCAAGTTAATGTCATTTTCTTTATATTTGTTGAGTTTTGTTTTTCTCAAAATACGCGTGAAAATAACATATAAAAAGAAAATTATTAATGGCTAAAAAAATAAAAATACTAAAGTCAACTGTCCAAGCTTTGACTTTTGGCCGGATTCGTAGTATTTATTTGGTATTATTATTTGGTCTTCATAGTATTTGCCTATTTGGTCATACTTGGCGGACTACTAATTCTAGTTGGCTTGGGGAAAACAGATCAAAAAGACCGCAAAATGTTGATATAAAAATAGTGACAAAGGGAATTATATAAAAGCAAATAAAAAAGCGAAACAAAGAAAAACGTGGACGTTCAATTCAACACATTCGAAATGAAAATCTCATTGTAAAAGCATGAATTTATTTGTTTCAGAAAATGAAAGCTGCTTATTCTTCAGTCAAGTATTCTTTCTCTGCGTCACATATAAAACTCAAATCACAAGTTATGAATGTAAATTTTAGTTATTTCTAGGCTGAACAAGATTCCTACAGAATTATACTATAAATCATGTCCAAAGCAGTCCACAACATGGCAGATAACTCAACGAATACAGTCGGAAGGGGCAAAGAAATATGGTAAAACCAAACACGAGTGGACAGAACTTCATGTCATTCAACATAGCTAGATTAGTAATCCAAACCGTCTATTTTGTAGATATTTATTTTTTTAATTTGGTTGTTGACTAGACAAACAGTAATGATTTTTGTCCCACTAGCTCGTAAATCCCATTTTGACTAAATTAGCCCTTATTAAATTCAGATTAAGAAGAAAAAGGCTTATGAATTGAATTCTGAGTATAGAGGATGATGGATAATGACTTGCTTCCCATGAAAAAAGGTGAAGGAACCTGTGACATAAAACATCTACCTGTATTTTGTTGACATCTTCGTCTCTTCGCTTTCACACCCGATGAAAATTCTTCTCTGTTCTCCCTTGACAACTAAAGTTATTTGTACACATTAACCACATAAATACAAAATTGCCCATATACCTTTGTCTATGCTGTTCTTTAATTTTGAAAACATGCGATAGTCTAAACTAAAAGGGGAGGAGACTTCTCTCACACACACGTACTATTTGTCAATTTGGTCTTACATGGCGGACAACTAATTCTAGTTGGCCAAAATAAAGAAGTGTATATTTCCTGTTAGCTTGGGGAAAACAGATCAAAAAGAAGAATTCCCTTGGGAAACCTTGAATTTAATATTCCTTTCTAAATAAGTTTCCTTATTCTTGCTGGATTAGTTTTTGTGGTGTCAATTTCCTTAGAACATAAGGAGTGACCAATTTCCTTAGAGCGTAGCGAGTGACCGCAATTTTCTCAAGGCATAGGGGGAAGGGTACTGTTCTCTATAAGTAAATATATTCACCTGCTATTGATGAATGCATACGGACATTTGCAAAACATTGTGAAGTTTTAATTACGATTCCGGGTTTGATTATATAAGGCTAGAAGAGAGTGCAGGAAATCAGGACAGAATTAGAGAGGTTTATGAGAGAGCTATTGCTAATGTTCCTCCTGTGCCGGAGAAGCGGTATTGGCAGCGCTACATTTACTTGTGGATCAATTATGCACTATATGAGGAGCTTGATGCTGGAGGCATGGAACGCGCACGATATGTATATAGGGAATGCCTTCAACTGATTCCTCACAAGAAGTTTTCATTTGCAAAAATATGGCTTCTCGCTGCCGGGTTTGAGATACGACAGCTGAATCTCGAGGGTGCACGCAAGATCCTTGGTACTGCAATAGGCAAGTCACATAAAGACAAGATATTTAACAAGTATATTGAGATTGAGCTGAACCTTGGGAATTTCGAGGAATGTCGGAAATTGTATGGAAAGTATCTGCATTGGTCCCCAGAAAATTGTTATGCGTGGACCAAGTATGCAGAGTTAGAGAAATCTTTGTGTGACATTGCGAGACAGAACGGACTAGGGCGGTTTTTGAACTTGCCATCGCCCAACCAGCACTTGACATGCCTGAATTGTTGTGGAAGGCATACATTGACTTTGAACTATCAGAAGGTGAATTTGAGAGAGCTAGAGAACTTTACGAGAGACTCCTAGACCGAACAAAACACCTAAAGGTGTGGATCAGTTATGCGAAATTTGAGGCATCTGCTATAGTGGAAGCAATGTGTTCAGAAGACCATGATCAGGATTACCTTCGTGAAGGAAGAACGATGTTTCTTGCTTGAAGAAATGTTGAATGTGGAGGCTAGCTTTGGAGATCTCGGTGATGCTAGCTTAGTCCAGTCTAAGCTTCCAAAGAAACTTAAGAAGCGGAGGGCAATAGTAACCGAAGATGGCCCTGCTGGATATGAGGAATACGTTGATTACAGCTTCCCAGAAGAAGCACATACCCAAAACCTCTAGACATTGGAAGCTACCCACATGTGGAAGAAGCGAAAGATTTCTTCCGACGATGGTTAGGAACTTTTTGCTCTTTACTGTTTTATATTCTTAGATTCAGACACAAATTACTTCTAATCCTTGTCTTCCCCTGGTTAAGGAATGATCATCAGATGGAATCAATGTAATGCTGTTTTTGTGTTTTTAGTTATACTTGGACTTTGCTGGAGGTCGGGCTAGTTTCTTTTCTCCGTTTGTAATATTTGAAACTACAAAATCTGTTCTGCTATGCCACGAATTAAACAAGATTATTAACTTCGTTGGGAATATCAATGTCGTTTAAACTTAATTTGATGGTATGCCCTAAGAAATCAGAAGGCATATTGTGAGGCAGGCCCTTCATTTAAGGTATGCAAGATTAGGATCTGCACTCAGTTTCCTGGAAATCTTTTTCATAGGCTCCATCTTATAAAAGTGATTGATCAGACATTTCTAGAAATTTCTTCTAGTGATTTTCCTACTTCACTATTCAAGAATTGTTATGCGTCTGACTCTTATTGTTTAAGGAGTAGAACTTGTTTAAATCCACAAATGTATGTCATGGCTTGGGACTGCCCTATTGAAAAAGGAAAACAGATATGCTAATTGCACTTTGGATCTAGTTGGGCAAAATGTTGATATAAAACCAGTGACAAAGGGAACTATACAAAAGTAAATAAAAAAGCAAAACAAAGAAAAACGTGGACGTTCAATTCAACACATTCGAAATGAAAATCCCATTGTAAAAGCAGGAATTTATTTGTTTCAGAAAATGAAAGCTATTTATTCTTCAGTCAAGTATTCTTTGTCTGCGTCACATGTGAAACTCAAATCACAAGTTATGAATGTAAATTTTAGTTATTTCTAGGCTCAACAAGATTCCTACAGAATGATACTATGAATCATGTCCAAAGCAGTCCACAACATGGCAGATAACTCAACGAATACGGTCGGAAGGGGCAAAGAAATATGGTAAAACCAAACACGAGTGGACAGAACTTCATGTCATTCAACATAGCTATATTAGTAACATAGTCTAGATCCAACAGTACTGAATTGAAAACAAAATCAAAATCCTGCATAAGATTTCTTCCAAAATGCTGAAAACTAACATAGTACGAAACACACGAAGCAAAATAAACCATAATAGCTCCAAAGCTCACTCGTCCTCCTGGCTGCGCAGCCTGGCAAGTTTGTTGGTAACAACAACATCCAACTGCGCTGCACGCTCGACGATCTCCTTTCTCTTCTTGGTGGAAATATTGTGTGCAATCTCAGCACAGTAAGTCCTGTAGTTACATTAGAGAAACAAGAGGTAAGAAAACTCTAAAGCATAAAAGACTTCTCTGAAGATTGTGAAAAATATTTTAAAGGAACTGTTGCATACCTGTTGTGCATCATTAGGATTTCAACCTCTTTGACATTGTGCACAACGAATTTCTTGAACTTATTAGGGAGAAAGTGGCGAGTCTTCTTGTCTGAACCATAGCCAATGTTGGGCATCAAGGCACATCCCTTAAATTTTCGCCTGACACGTGAATCGATACCCTTGGGCCTTCTCCAGCTTTCCTGCCATAAGTAAGATCCAACCACAGCAATTTCATATTAGGGCCCCAGGACGAATGGAAGCACAAAGAAGTCCGGATCTCTGAGATACTTCAACGTGTCCAAACAAAACAAGCAACATTCATCATCAAATAAGATAAGAAATTACACCACTTGATCACCCAGCAAGCATCTACTATCCAGACTCGAACTCTAGCAGGCCAAATTATCTATCCAAAATATAGAACCAGATCAACAATCTCATTGCCAAGCAAGAAAATGATGCACAACGAGATTCATCACCTCACCAGAAGTCATTTTTTAAATCGTTATCATATTCTAATTACACTCTTAGCCAAATAGATCAAAACAAAATAATGGATAAATCCAACTTTTCGTAACTCCCATAAACATATACACCATTCCAAATATAGAACCAGAGCAAGAATCTCCTTGCTAAGCAGCAAAATGAAGAACAATGAGTTTCATCACCTCGCTGCAAGTCATTTTTTAAATCGATCTCATATTCTAATCACACTCTTAGCTAAACAGACAAATAAAAAAATGATGTATAAATCCGACTTCGTGTAACGCCAATAAACATACGCAGCTCTCCACGTCTGTGAAGAATACACTTGCTACTACTATATTTGAAGCAAATATAAATCTGTTAACTAAAATTATCTTCATTGCCTTGCAAATACCACAAAATATGCAAGCATTGGTAAAATTAAATTATCCCAAAACCTAATTGCTTAAGACATTGTAAATCATACTGAAAGACCCCATTATAAGTTATATCAAGCAGAACAATTGATAATACTTCTTACACTAAAATTGAAATTTCAAACAATCCGTACGATTCAATTACTTTCAAAAAAAAGGAACAGAAATGAAATGACCCAGAGATTCATACCTTGACGCATATCTTCCTGTCACTTTGGGGCCTCTTGAAGTGCTTGGTACGCTTCTTCACAATTTGCTTCTTCAGCAAAGGGACAGCCATTGTTTCTGTCACTCAAATCACAACAAAATCATGAATTTACTAAAATTATACCCAAACAATAATATAAATAGCAGTTCCTGTAAATATTAGGCCAAAAAGCATGGTGTTTTGAAAACAGAGGAGGAACAGAGATTAGGGTTTCGAACCTGATTGAAAAGAAGAGCAGTATGGCGCTGCTGAGGAGTTGAGGGAGGGAGAGGCACAGAGGGCCTAGGGTTTTAAGTGAGCGAATATATACGAAATAGCTGCAATCTGCTGTGGTCGACGACACCGTAAGATTACATTTGTTTTGGGCCGCGAGGGAGTCTCGAGCCCAATCAGTTGGATCATCGCCTCCAATCCAGGCCCAATTGAGCAAAGTCCAAGTTACTTGATTTAAACAATTTGAATCTGTTTAAACAGAAAATATTGGTTGCCTTGGTTTGATTGCTTGTGGCCTGGGCTTCCTTGGATTTAAAGCCCATCTGATCTAACGAATGAGCTTACATGGAGAAAACTTAGTTACGTACGTGATGAGAGAGATGGATAGAGCGAGAATATATTTCCGCCTTTTCTGACTTAAATAAAAGAGATAAAGAGGCCAATTTCGTGTAAGCCTTTTCTTGCTTAGAAAGGAGCCTTTTCTTGCTTAGAAAGGAGCCTTTTCCTTTGCACAACATTTCGGTAGTAAAGGCGTTAAGAATATCACTTTTGAGCTTCCTTAATGAGTTGTTTTGTTTTGTTGTATCTGTGCCATCCTCTTTTAACTGAGTTTTCAGAATGAAATTCTTCCTTGAAAAAAGAAAAAAAAAACACCCCATGAGGTTTTTAAAATTACACAAACACCCCCTGGGGTTTTTAATTGTTTCCATAAAATCCATTTTCATTAATTTTTCGTCCAAAGATTAATGATTTTATACAAAACAATTCTCCAAATGACAAAATTGGGCCTTGAGATTAGATTGCATATACTTCATTGAGGTTAATTTTGTCATTTGCATAAGTTTTTTTATAAAAAAAAATTGAAATCATCAATTTTTGGACGATTAATCAATTAAAATGGGTTTTGTGAAAACAAATTGAAACCTCAGAGTGTTCGTGTAATTTTTGAGACCTGAAGGGGTTTTGTGAAAACACAAGAAATCTCAAGGGGTGTTAATAACTCTTAAGAAGATCAATGTAAAGGTGTCAAATTCAGGAATTTTAGTCAATGTTTATAATTAACTTCTTATGGACATAATTACATGGTTCCCATATGATGTTAGGTAGGAATACATAAAGAATAGCATTTATGTAGGAAGAAAATGAAGAAAAAGATTTATGCTTCATGATTTCAAATGAGTCATTGTACATGATCTTGCATTGAATTTAGTAATTTCAATGCACTGTCTATGTAAATAAATAAATCATTCAAACCCCATTCTTTTGAATTTCTCCATTTAAATAGAGAAATTATATAATTCTACGGGATAAATGATATAATATTACGGTAGTATGGTCACGTGGTATATCTTGTATACATGTTACGATATGGGTAGACGACATGGTTTATTTTCCTTCCTTTTAGAGAATAGTATCAATAAATGTCCACTTATATTATAACACATATACAAGATGTACCACATAACCATAATACTATAATATTGTATAATCACTCATTCAAATGACCCTGTGTGTCAAAGGTGAAAAAAAGTAACCAAAGCACAAGGCATTTCCCTGAAAATTATGCATTCTAGTCTCCTACAAATGGTCTCTTTCCTAATTCCCCCCTTGAAATTCAAAGGTGTCATACAAACCAATGGGCAGGCATTCAATGCAGGATCTCTGGAATCTGTTTCACTCTCCAACTGCATTGACAAAATTGTAATTAATTAGCATGCATTGTGACATTATACATGCAGGGTTTGGACACAAGTGTCTGCATAGCCTTTAGCCATATCCCCACATAGTAACTAATTTTTTGCCTCAAAGTTGTTTCTATTCTCAGTTTTCTTCTTCTTATATATTCCTTCTCATTTTACCTTTAACAACTGATCAGCAGCAAGCATATCACCTTTCCCCAACTTTTCTTCTTTTGGTTCATTTCTTCAAACCTTAGGGTTGATCATTTTTGGTAAGTTCATCAGCCCACACCATCTCATGTAATTTGTGGTACAGATCATAGGGAAATACCCACATCACCCAACACAACCCAAATTATATGTTTTCTACTCTACTTCTTCTTTTGCAGAAACTTTTTGCTCTTCACTTTAATTTTCTGCCTTCTTGGTTTTGTTCATCATCAGCTGCAGGATTTTTCACTTGCAACTGGGTTGTTTAGAGATGAGTATAGAGAGAGATCAAAATGTTTTCAACCAGAAAGAAAGTGATGATCAATTTGTTGACTGGAAAGGAAGAAAGGCAAATCCTGGAAAGCATGGTGGAATTACAGCTGCTGCCTTTGCATGTGGTAAGTTGCAAGTGCAGGGATCTTAACCTTTTGTTTTTTCCTTTAATAATATGAAAATGATACTTATGATCTTTAATTGATGGTTAAATTGTCCGTTTTAAAGAGTAAGTTTTTTTTTTTGCCATTCGCTAGGGAGGGGAGCAGGAAGTAATATATTGAGTTGTCTCGAGATTGTCGCCTAAGATTTTAAGTTCATGACTTTATCTCACTCAAATTCAAACCCCTTAACCCAGGTTCTGCATATATACCAGCATATCTTACACTTTTCTTTTCTTTTTTTAGTTCATATTTTACAAACTAAATCAGGGATGCAGAAAAAATTTGATAATCAAGAGAGAGAATGTTCTATTATGAGGTGATTTGGTCATAATATATTTTGTGTGTGCAGTTGTTGAGGTGTTTACCAACATGGTCTTCTTAGCCAATGCCATTAACTTTATCACTTACTTCAATAAGTCAATGCATTATCCACATGCTACATCAGCAAATATGGTGACCAATTTCATGGGGACTTCTTTCTTGCTCTCCATCCTAGGAGGCTTCATTGCTGACTCAATCTTCACAAGATTCACAACCTTTATCGTCTTCTGTACAATTGAGTTGCTGGTATGGTCTATATATATTGTTTTTGGGTTAATAAGACCATCTTCATATCAGTATGTGACATGAAATTGAACAAACTTTTTGGTACCAATTCTAGGGGCTAATCTTGCTGACAATCCAAGCTCAAAACCCGCAATTTCGAACGGCGTTGAATGAAAAGCCTTCTCAGTCTGAAGCAGCCATTTTGTACACTGGCCTTTATAGCATGGCTGCTGGTGTAGGTGGAATCAATGGCTCCTTGCCTGCCCATGGTGCTGATCAGCTTGATCACGGCAACCAGAGGCTCATCTCGGCCTTCTTCAATTGGTTTTTCTTTTCCCTCTGCCTTGGGGGCCTCATAAGCTGCACTGTTATGGTTTGGGTGGAAGAGAACAAAGGCTGGAACTGGAGTTTTACTATCACAGCCATAGTCTTGAGTTTGGCACTTTCAATTTTCATCAGTGGGAGCCCATTTTATAGACACAAACTTCCTGGTGGAAGTGCATTGACAAGAATCATTAAGGTAAGTAAAACTATACTTAGACAAAATGCAATTGAAAAAAAATATATATATCAACTAGACTGTTCTGTTTGGATTTTAATTTATTTCTTTTTGGTGGTGTCAAAGGTACTAGCTTCTGCAGCTCGAAACTGTAAAGCCTCACCAGAAGAGAGAGTAGAAAACCAGTATGCAGTATCTGCAATCAATCCAAACAGAGTTGATGGAAAATCCCATAACAAGTTCAAGTAAGTCCTTCTTTTCCTCTCTCAATTAGTCCCTAATTAGTTAGGTTATTAGTGTATGGCAAATAGACCTACTATGAGTGTTTAAAGTTTGAGTGGGATTAAATTATAGTGTCACACTTTTGGACATGCATAAACAAGTCCTGGCCTACCATATGAGACCACTCAAATTTTGAGAGGGAAGAAAAAATAAACTCTGTATACCATTTTCATGTACTTTTGGTAATTTCTCAGGTTCCTAGACAAGGCATTGATTGACAACACAATTAGTGAAGCTCAAGTTGACGAAACAATAACTTTTCTTGGCCTTCTACCAATCTTTGCAAGCACAATCATGATGAACTGTTGCCTAGCACAACTTCAGACATACTCAGTGGTGCAAGGGGTCCTAATGAACCGAAAACTACACAATTTTGAAATCCCAACTCAGTCACTAAGTGTGCTCCCCCTCTCCATTATGCTTGCTTCTATTCCCTTATACGAAAAATTCCGACGAATTTTACGTTCCAAGAAATCAGAAAAAATCCACATTTTCCAACCACTTTGGAGGATAGGCCTGGGGCTAGCTCTTGCATCAGGATCGATGGCTGTAGCTGCCCTAGTCGAAGCTAAGAGGCGCGAGGCGGCTCTGGACAATGCCACATTGTCTGTGTTCTGGCTTGCCTGGCAGTTCATGTTGCTTGGAGTCTCAGACATGCTCACACTTGGAGGCATGCTTGAGTTCTTTTACTCAGAGGCACCTGATAGCATGAGAAGCACGTGCACTGCCTTGTCATGGTGCTCAACTTCCATGGGCTACTTTTTGAGCTCTGTGCTGGTGTCCATAGTAAATTCAGCCAGTGGAAGATTTGGAAGAGAATGGCTTGGAGGAAATGACATAAATCACTCACGTTTGGATCTTTTTTACACCCTTCTCAGCATTCTCAACACCCTCAATTTCCTCAACTACATGTATTGGGCTAAGCAGTATTAATTAGGTGTGACAAATTTTAATTAAAACTGTACGTAACATCTCATTATGAACTTAATTAAAATTTTAAAGTTTAAACCAAAGTTTAATGGGCCTCCCCCATTTTCGTCGTCATTGATTTTTTTGGGGTCCTTGTGTCTTCATTCCGATGCAGGCTGGGTTGGGTGTGTCAACATCATAAGTTGTAATCAAAATGGCTGTTGGGTGTGTTGAGGATTTGAAGTTGATGTGTTTTTATTAAGGTCAAAGACAATAATCACGGGAAATATGCTCCTGGAATATGTACAAGCTATATCCACCTACCGGGACTTCATACGTTGTCGTTTTCTTCTGCTGTTTTCTGCATGAATTTCGATCCTGTTTCAGCTGTCAACCCTCTAGGCTCCTACCAGTGATTCAACAAATCATTGTACCATTTACTAGACTAAAACTCTTGGGTTTGAGAGTTCAAATTTTGAATATCTTCTTATGTCACCAAAGTAAGTCGGCAATGATAACATAACATATCATACTGTTTTATCGATAAAATTTCTCGCTATTTTAACTTGGCTCTTGAACAACACAGATAGGGTTCCGATGCGTTACAATCAGATGCAAAACAAGAATTCTAGATAAAGCTTTCGCATTTGTCAACTTAAACTATTCACTGAATCTTGTCAATTAGGAATCATTTTTTAATTCCTTGATCTGAATTGAAAAAACTAAAATGAATTCTTTTCTTGGCATCATCACGCAAACTATTTGAATCCACATAGCGGGAGCGATCAAAAGGCTAAATAGATCTTAGGAGTCCTAGATCTTAATCTAATCTGGTTTGACTCAGCCCTCTTCCCTTAAAAACGTGCAAGTCATATAATTTTAAAGACAAGTTCCTTGGCCTGCGGGGGGGTTATTAACTTAATGATGTTACTTTGACCATAAAAAGTTGTTTAAACTTCTCGAAAACTATAAAACAAAATAAATAAAGGAAGATAGTTTAATTGAATCAGACAAAAATAATATCTAAAATCAGTAGAAAAAACAACTGAGAACGTAGAAATTAAGGTATGTTATTTTATAATACTCATCCTAAAAATAAAATAATGTAGCATGGTGAATGAGGTGGTATACATCTCTCTTATTCTTATTAGGGTAACAATGAAGATTCTGAACAACTCATTCTCTTATCGGTGCAAGATTTTAGGATAAACTCCGATTACGTATTTTAAATCTAAAAAATTTGAATTTACAATTAATACGTGATATTTTTGATGCTATCCAATTGCGACATTTAGAAAAGGGGGAGATATTAGTCAATTCCATACCAATAATAGATTGGAATATATGCAAAAAGAAGAAAAAAAATCCCAAAGATAATACTCTTTTGAGAATAATGACACCTTTATCATATATATATATATATATATAATACATTTGGAACCATATTGCACATTAATGACATTGATAAAAATAGTTTTAGCGAATGTATGATTTTGAACCAAATTAATACCAAAATGGCCAAAAAAAACCTCACAATCAAGAGCTTGAAAAAAAACCTAATTTGCTCTAATAATTTTGAGACTTGGGACACATCATGTTCAACTGAGGACAACATTTTGGTCCTCCCATAGCCATTTTGAGGAGCTTTTAGACTGTGACAACAGAGAACGCCCATTCATATGTGGCCTGTGAAAAATTCACAGTGGAAATGGAATCAAATTCCAATTCCATGGATGTAAAGTCGTCTCCAACCTAAAGTGGAGAGAAAGCAAAGACTAAAAGAACCCAAAAAAAACAAAAGTATTTCAACCATTCCCATTCACCAACCCAAAAGAAAAAGAGAGCTAATACATATGGCTCACTGCTCCAAGTGCCTCCCCCATATAACGGTACACTTTACATTGTTGCACGCAGCCCACATGCTCCCCCAATTTTTTATTTCTCATCTTCCTTTTTTTAATTCGTGACCCATTTTTTCTTTATTTTTACAACCCTCAGTTGTATACAACTATGTATCCATTAACCGTGATACGATTAATGACATATGAGAAAATCGGTTGCATACAACTATAACGGGTTTATTTAGTTGTATGCAACCGGTTATAGCGAAACCATACAATCAAAACCAATACAAAAGAGAAATTATTTTGTACATCCGCAGTATCAGCATGACACGTGATGTATCGAATGCATCTAACAAATTTTTTTTCAATATATATTCCCCCACAACCTTTACATTCAGCAGAACATCTCTCCCCCTTTTTCTTTTGACAACCAGTCTCTCTCTCCATATTCTCCAATAATGGCTTCCTCTCTTCATCCTGTTCTTCTTGTCACAGTCTCATGGATCTCCCTCCTGGCTCTGCTAATCTCACCCGCGCAAGCAGCCACCTGCACCTCACAGACATTCAAGAACAACAAGCTCTACGCCCACTGCAACGACCTCCCCTACCTCAGCTCCTACCTCCACTGGACCTACAATGCCTCCAACTCCTCTCTCTCCGTCGCCTTCGTGGCGACGCCGGCCAAATCTGACGGATGGGTCGCGTGGGCCATCAACCCCACCGAGACCAAGATGGCTGGGGCCCAGACCCTCCTAGCCTACAAGAACGAGAAAGGGGCACCAGCCGTCAACACATTGAACATCTCCTCGTACAACTCCATCGTGCCGGGAAAACTCTCGTTCGACGTCTGGGACGTCAGCGCGGAGTTTTCCAATGGCAACTTCACGATCTTCGCCACCGTCAAGGTCCCGAAGGACGCGGCATCCGTGAACCAGGTCTGGCAGGTGGGCTCCGCCGTCAACAAGACCTCCGGTTTCCCCGAGAAGCATGACGTCGCCCCACCCAATCTCAGGTCGTTTAGCATCTTGTCCTTGGCGGCCAATTCCACTACGGGCACTCCCGCTGGTACTAATACCACTACCAACAGCACTGGTGGTGGTGGTAGCGGAGCCTTGAGGATTGGGAGTGGAGGAAACATGGGTTTGTTCTCTGTTTCGCTTTTGGTTCTTGGAGCTCTCATTGCTCTCTAAATTTAGTTTATTATTATTATTTTTTATAAATTTTTTTTCTTATTGATGAGTCCAAGTGGGAGATGGAGATTTCAACACTTTTAGGTGGAAATATTTATTATATTTTCCATGATATTTATGATTTCCCCATTTATTTAAATTATATCTCCTCCTTCTCATCTGCATCTTGGATCGATGAGAGAAAAGAGATGGCTCTAGTTGGTCACTAATTGATAGGGTGGATCTGTGATGAGGGGAAATGCTTGTACCATTTAATTTAGTTTAATATTTTCCTTTATTTTCACGTTGGTCTCTTTTTTCTTTCTTTTAATATTCGACCTTTTTTTTAATTATAAAGCAAAATTTAAAATTATTCTAATGTACAGAGAGGTACTTGAACTCAAGTGCTAGATGCAGGTAGAATACCTTACCAATTCGCTTAACCCTCGTCTGTCAATTTTTTGACGTTGTTACTTGAGTAATTTTAGCGCCTCATTGTAGCTTGATTTTTAAAAATAAAATAAAAATAAAGATAGTGATTATTGACAAACCAAAAAGGACAATTAGATTAGAAAGGGAACGTTAAAGGGAAATGATTGCCATGTAAATATTTCGATCTTTATGGTATTTCAAATTAACACCACGCATGAGCGACATAGACTTGAGAAGTGTGGATGCTTAGTATCAATAGTTAAATTTCGGCCGACTGTAAACGTGTGGGCGGCTCACGCTAGTAAAATAATTTTAAAATAATTTATTAATACTTGTTTCAGTTAATTAAGCAGGAGTTATGGGTGAAAAATAAAAATCTGTCCGGAGTCGTCCACTAGTCCCACCGCCTTTGCTTTTGTGTCCATCACGTACCCCACCCGATTTATCTTATAGTTAAAGGAAGGCTTCTTGCATAAATAATTGGATTAATCGTTTTATTAGTCCCTGAATTTAGACTCGATTTGCATTTGAGTACCACAATTTTAAAAATAGTTCTCGTGGTCCTTTAACTTTAGTTTTGTTATGACAAATGGTCCAGCCGTCAATTTTGTTAACCTTTCTGTTAAATGCATGGACAAAATGATATTTTTGTATTAATATTGATTAAAATATGAATAAAAAATTAAAATTAAACTCTCTCTCCCCCCCCCCCCTCTATCCCGATTTCTACTCCCCCCAAACTTGATTTTTTTTTTTGGTTTTCATTTGATTTTCTTTTATTGTTATTTTAAAGATATAATTTTTTATTCATTTTATGGTTTTAATATAAAAATATCATTTTGCCCCTGCATTTAACATAAAAAGTTAACAAAATTGACTACAGAACTATTTGTCCAAACGAAACTAAAGTTAAAGGACCACGGAAACCATTTTAGAAATTGAGGTACTCAAATGCAAATCGGGTCAAAGGTCAGGGACTAATAAAACGATTAACCCTAAATAATTGGAAGGCACAAAAACGACATTTTCCTTTTGCGTTTTTTACAAGTTTGGTTTTAAACACCAATGCCATGTTTGGTATGTCTCACTAGACTGGACTGTGTTAAATAGCACTTGAAACTCTTATTTGGTAAGAAACATGATTAACTTAAATGAGACTGTATAGTCCAATAATGAAAAAAAGGTCTCGCTCGCTCGTCTAATACAATGAGCCTGAAAAAGTGGTTCGCTAAATAGAACAAGTGAGTCCGATGCCTCTCTTTAAAAAATATCATAATTTCATTTGTTTTCTTTTAATTATTGTTTTATACCTTTGAATGGGTTTTTTTTAGCAGCATTTATTTATTTTAGATAAAAATCCTTAATTAAATTTAAATATTACAATAATTATTTTGATATTGCATTTGGAAAATCAAACTATAGTAATTTACAAATGTTTGATATTGAAACAAGTTTAATAATTCACGATGTGATGCTTTCTTTATTGCAAGCAATTTTTACCTTGTCAATTTATATTTTTCAGTTTGAAGTCAAAAGTCAAATATACAAAAATTATACATATATATATATATAATTTTTTTTTAATTATTGTTTTACTTGGTCCCTGAAAACCCTAAAATTATATAGAGTGAGTTTAGCTCCTTTAACAATGTTTCGACAACTAAGATTAATCTTGAGAAGCCAAAAAATAAATATCATAATTTTATTCTTTATAAAAAATAAACATAATTTTATTTGTTTTCTTTTTATTATTGTTTTAAATCTTTCTTTTTTTGGCCAGATATTGTTATAAATCTTTGAATTGGGTTTCTTTGTAGCATTTATTTATCTTTTAGGTCAAAAACCCTAATTAAATTTAAATATTATAAGAATTATTTTTTAGTTCGACACAGCACGAAACATAGGTATTCACTATTTTTACAATCTAACTTCTTAGTCCGATGCAACACTAAATGTATGTCAGTACTTAATCCAGCTTAGGCCAATCCGATCTAATTCGAGACAGTCCCAAGATTTAGTCCAGTCCATAACAGTCCGCCGTGCCAAATGACCCCCAATATTATAGAGAATGTGGTACCAACCTTCGAACCCAAGATCACTAGGAATTAGTGCAAGCGCACTTAACCACAAGGGCATGTAGAAGGATAGTTTCAAACACAAATTTTTGTGGAGCAAGACATGGCTCTTTAAAATTGAGGAGGAGTTCCTTTCTAAAACCAATGGAGTTTTGACACTTGTCAAAATTCGACAATATTTACAAAGTTTCAACCAAAGAAAAAAGAATATTAAAATAATTTAACACTCATCAAAATCACATTAGTTGTAAGAGGATCTCCTCCTGAGCTAAAAATTTTCCGTGTTTTTTTTTTTCCTTCTGGGCTGTCAATGTCATCATAAAAAATATATAATTCATTTGCAATTTCCCCCAGGCAGAGTTGTACCCTATCTACCAGAAAAGAAATAACTAAAGAAATCATCTTTTATTATGAACCCTACATAATGGAACAAGAACAACCTCAACGGCATCAAGGTTCGTCGTCTTCTTCTTTTTCTTCTTTTCTTCTACTGGTTTTGTTTTTGTAGCTGTAGGTGTTTGTTTCCTCGTATTTTGTTGGGCAGTTTGTTGTCTTGTATATTCATATTGGTTTTTTATCTTTTAATATGTCGATTTACGTACGCATATATTTGTACTACAAAATAATATACTTTTCGTTTTAGAACATTGCACATGATTGAATAAGGTCGTATGTATATGTAATCCTAATCTTATGAACACATTGTATTTTTTCATTGACTTTGAACAAATAATACAATATAAGAAATTTTTTATCGAAATAGTTCCTTAACTTCTACTCTCTTAATTTTTTATGAGTGCTACTAAACGAACCTTAAAATTAACTGAGTACACCCTATGATCTAGGTACATCATAATATTTTAATTAAAATGTAAAATTAACTAAGTACACCCTATAGAACTATCAAAAATACCCCTAGTACACCCAAATACTTGTAGCATTATTTTATAGTTGATTTTCAGCTTGTTTTTTTAATAGTGTTTATAAATCTTTGACTTTTCATATGGATTTATGCTTCTACTAAAACTGTTGACACTTTTTTTGCAATTCCAAGTTCTTGCAATCACCACCTCTTTCGTTAATAGTGATTTTTTATGCATGTTTTAGTTATATACTACTATGCTACTGTGAAATTGATTTGTTCTCAACTTTCCCAACCTCTCTAGATGGACTATTCGTAGTTGGAAAAGGCTTTGTCAACGAACTGCGTGCAAGACAACAATGTATTGCATAAGTCACAGAGATGATTCATGTTAGTAGTATCTTTGCTGATGATCCTATTAATGTTGCTTTTATTTTGATATATGCTACATAAAACTGGAATAATATCTCTGCAATGTACTAATAAGAGGCCAATTCATTTGTGTCCTTCCAAAACTGTTTTCTAATGGCTTGTTCTAAGCCCCACATTGAGGTGGACGTGCACGAATAACAAGACTTTCCCCCCCAAAGTTAGTGATCTAAGGTGTACTTTTGGTATCCACTATGAACATAGAAAGAGAGAGATGAAGGGATCGATTTTGAGAAATATTGATCTTTTTATTGTTTGCTAGTAATGAGTTAAGATTCTCCTACCTCGAAGCGGTGGCTTTATTTTGGTGGCCAAAGTCTATGGCCAGAAATCAACTTCAGCCTCTTTCTTTCGCTGTCCCTGGTTGCACTCGCGGATCACAAAGATGAGAACCAAGTAATCTCTTGATTAAGGTTGAATATGGTTAGTAGACTGTACTTATTAAAATTATATTTGTTTCACAATTCCATATTTATTTTTTGGTCATTTTATATTAGGGTAAATCAGTAATTCAATATATACTTTTGTAGTATGGTGTAGTCAGTTAATTTTAAGGTTCGTTTAGCATCAGTATTTTTTATTTATCATTTAGTGTGTGTGACTTAATTTTCTCCATTTTTTTTCATCACTCGTTGTATACAATTATACTGATTGACCGTGATATAATATGATTAGTTGCATATGAAAAAATCGGTTGCATACAACTACTATTGGTTTATTTACGTGGAAAAACATAATTGTATGCAACCGATTACAACGAAACCATACAATCAAAACGAATATATAGAGAAATTATCCTGTACATCCGCAATATCAGCATACCACGTGATATATCGAATACATCTAACAATTTATTTTCAATATAAATTCTCCCTCAACCTTTACATTCAGCAGAACATCTCTCTCCACCCAATCTCTCTCTCTCCATATTCTCCAATGGCTTCCTCTCTTCATCCTCTTCTTCTTATCTCAGTCTCATGGATCTCCCTCCTGGCTCTGGTAATATCACCAGCACAGGCAGCCACCTGCAGCTCACAGACATTCAAGAACAACAAGCTCTACGCCAACTGCAGCGACCTCCCCTTCCTCAGCTCCTACCTCCACTGGACCTACAATTCCTCCAACTCCTCTCTCTCCATCGCCTTCGTGGCGACGCCGTCCAAATCTGAAGGCTGGGTGGCGTGGGCCATCAACCCCACCGCGACCAAGATGTCTGGGGCCCAGACCCTCCTGGCCTACAAAACCGAGGATGGAGCCCCAGTCGTCAAAACATTCAACATCACCTCGTACAGCTCCATTGTGCCGGGAAAACTCGCGTTCGACGTATGGGACGTCAGCGCGGAGTTCTCCAAAGGCACGTTCACGATATTTGCCGCCGTCAAGGTCCCGAAAGACGCAGCGTCCGTAAACCAGGTCTGGCAGTTGGGCCCCGCCTTCAACAAGACCTCCGGCTTCCCCGTGAAGCATGAATTCGCCCCACCCAATCTCCAGTCGTTTAGCACCTTGTACTTGGTGGCCAATTCCACCACCAACAGCACTGGTGGTGGTGGTAGCGGAGCTTTGAGGATTGGGAGTGGAGGAAACATGGGTTTGTTGTCTGTTTCGGTTTTGGTTCTTGGAGCTCTCATTGCTTTCTAAATTGAGTATTTCGGGTCGGGTTTTTATTCTTTCTTAATATTGTGATTGATTTGTATCCAAGTGAGAGATGGAGGTCTCAGCACGTTTAAGTGAAATAATATTTATTTGCTATATATATGCCATGATATTTATAAATTCCCAATTGATTTAATTATTATCTCCTCTTTTCCTCTGCATCTTGGATCGATGAGGGGGGAAATGCATGTGCAATTAATTTAATTTCAACATTATTACTTGAGCAAATTTAGCGGCTCATAGTAGGTTGACTCTTTTTATAAAAATAAAAAAATAAAGATGGTGATAATTGACAAACCAAAAATGTCAATTAAATTAGAAAGTGAACGTTAAAAGGAAATGCTTGTCACGTCTAAATTTTAATATTTATGGTGAAAATTAGTGATTTTTCTATTGACACAATATTCACATAACCGTCGCATTAAAAGCGATTTCTAACCATTAAGACGTGTAGACTAACATCGATGGTTAAGTTTCGGATATGAAGTGTGTGGGCAACTCACACTAGTAAAATTATTTTTTGAGTAACTAAATACTCGTTTGTATTTAATTAGGCGGGGGTTAAATTGGTCAAAAATAAAATACAAATTTGTCCGGTGTCAACCACTGCCTTTGCTTTTGTGTCCTCCACACGTACCCTACCCAGATAAACTTGTAGTTAGAAGTCGGCTAGCGAGTAGTTCTTGCCCTCTTGCATAAATAATTGGAAGGAACGCACCAAAACGACACTTTCTTTTGTTCCCTTTTCACGCGTTTGCTTTCAAACACTCATTTTTGTGTGTTTTTTCTTCTTCTGGCCTCTCGTCATTAAAAAATATATATATATATATAAATCCACTTGCAATTTGCACGAAACTTTTCGTCGTTACAAGGTTCGAAACAATGACGACAAATCTGCTACAAAAGAATTCAAGAAAATATCTTTTATATGAACCCTACATAATCGAATCACAATGGAACAACCTCAGGGGCAGGTCTTCTTCCTCGCTTCTATTTTTTTTCGCTTTTACAGGTTTTGTTTTTGTAGGTGTTTGTTTCCTCGTTTTCATTAGCTGTTGTTTTTGGTTGGGCTGTTTGTTGTCTTGTATATATTCTTATTGGTTTTTTTTGGTTTCGCAGTAGGCATACATTCGTTTTAAGCATTGCACCTCATTCAATAACAACGTATAAGTAATCCTTAATCTTTTCAACGCATACTAAACACACACACACACTACACGAATGCTTAGACTCGAACTAATACTTCCTAATAACTTTGAGGGGGATTTGCTAACTTATTCATCCCCAATTGAACAATTTGAATGGGAAAAATATATGTCACAATTTTATTTTCCTATACATACACACAAGAATATTGATGTCACCATGACACAAGCCTTGCATCATCTCATCCCAGTCACATCTGGTAGGCCAAAAATCACTTTGGTTGGCACATAATTCCAAAATCTACAATTATAATCAGCCAGATTCTTTACTAATAATAACTCCAACCGTGCAAAAAAGGATTGGAAATTTGCAATTTCTCATTTTTGGGATTTTTTATTTTCCGTAAATCTACTCTATTATCTATACATAAAAGATCTCCATAATTAAATGCACGTTGCATGAAAGTGGACAGGTTTACGGCATCTAAGCGAAGATTAAGTTAACATAATCCATTAATTTTTGTTGCTGATCTGTTTTTTATTCTGTATTAATTGTGTTTTCGTTCTCTCATGCAATCTCCATTTCTTTATTATTTAACGCGTCCATCAGATGGTTTCAACAACTCTGTTCCACGTTTCATATCCGGATTGGCTGATTGTATTTATCTAAAATCCATTCAGTAGATCCACCCGCAGGCGATAATTACCCTTTGCTTCTCTCGCTGTCTCACTCTCTCTCTATAAATTCCGCCAAAAATTAGTGGGGAGCCTTTGTTCTTCATCATCAGCATCAACTACTTAGCAGTTACTCATCTTCTTCTCCGTATTCATCCATGGCTTCTTCTTCTTCTTCTTCTTCTTCTTCTTCTTCTTCTTCTTCTCCTTCTCTGGCATTTCTGGGGCTAACGCTCTCTCTGGTTTTGCTAATCTCACCCGCGCGTTCACTCACCTGCACCACCCAAACCTTCACCAACAACAAGCTCTATTCAAACTGCGTAGACCTCCCCACACTCAAATCCTACCTCCACTGGACCTACAACTCGACCAACTCCACTCTCTCAATCGCCTTCATCGCGACTCCAGCCAAATCCGACGGCTGGATCGCGTGGGCCATCAATCCGACGAGCACCGGCATGAAGGGGGCCCAGACCCTGCTCACCTACAAGAAATCCGACGGCTCCATGGAGGTCAAGACCTTCAACATCAGCTCCTACACCGATATCGTCGCGTCGAAGCTCGCTTTCGATGTTTGGGACACCAGCGCCGAGTCATCCGGCGGCGTTTTTAGGCTCTTTGCGAAGTTGAAGGTGGAGGAGATGGAGAGCGTGAACCAGGTTTGGCAAGTGGGGCCCTCTGTTTCAAATGGGTTTCCGGCGAAACATGATTTTAACACAGACAATCTCCAAGCCAAGGGGAGCCTGAGCTTGACCGGAGGCACCACCACCACCGCACCCACCACCGGAGACTCCAGGTTGAAGAAGAGGAATGTGAGTTAATTTAAATCCCTCTGAATTTCCATTTTCAAAAGTTGGGAAAATTAGAAGGAAAACATAGTTGCTTTGCTTCATTAGTGGCTTAAAGATTAAGACTTTGAGTAAAGGGGAAGTGGGTATTCGTGAAAATTTGGCTAAAATTTTGTGCAAATAGTGGAAAACAGAACTGGATTTGAGATGGGTTTTGATCAAATTTGATAAAGTTTATTTCTTTTTTAATTGTGTTTGTGGGTTTGTTTCAGATTCATGGAATTTTGAATGCTGTGAGTTGGGGGTTGCTCTTTCCGATTGGGATCATCATAGCAAGGTACTTGAGGACGTTTCAGTCTGCGGATCCAGCATGGTTTTATCTTCATATATTCTGCCAGGTATCTGGTTATGCCATTGGGGTCGCCGGCTGGGCTACCGGAATTAAGCTCGGAAGTGAGTCCGAAGGGGTTGTATACTCTGCTCACCGGAAAATCGGAATTACCCTGTTCTCCCTTGCAACTGTCCAGGTAAATTCCCATCCAATTTTACCTACAGTAACTTCAAGAAATAATATGATCCAAAGGTAATAAACTTTGATGTGCCTAAATTTTTTTTTTTTTTTTTTTTTTTTTTTTTTGTTGCGCGTGCTATAAGGGTAACTGGCAGTTTTTAATTATATGCAGTACATAAACTAAGAATTTACATCTGAATTTAGCACATCTGTTGTTTGATGCCATCTTGATTCAATTTCGTATGAATCAGTCCATATTTGCAGTTACTGAAGGCAGTATTGTCGAATCGAACCGAGGCTGAATGTTTTTCTGTGGTATTTAATTTTGGATTGTTTTGTTCTAATGGGAATCTTCTTCTCTGGATGATCTTGCAGATTTTTGCATTGTTCTTGAGACCGAAGAAGGAGCACAAGTACCGGTTCTACTGGAACATCTACCACCACACCCTCGGATACGCCATTCTCATCCTCAGCATTCTGAATGTGTTCAAAGGCCTGGACATACTAAATCCTGCCAAGCATTGGAGATCCACTTACATAATTGTGATTATTTCCTTGGGTGCAATTGCCTTGTTATTGGAAGCAATCACTTGGGTTGTTGTCTTGAAGAGGAGGTCAACCAAGTCCACCAAGCCATATGATGGTTTCAACAATGGACAAGGCTGAGCAGCCTCTTAACATATTAAGATCAAACCCAACTGCAGCAGATCTCCTCCCATGGCAGATACCGATTTTTGTAATATTCTTGTGATCTCACTGGTTTGAGATTCCGAGGTTTATCTATATCACCAGCCCTCTCATTTTTCTTCTCTTGCTTGTATAATGGTTTTGATTTGTTTTTAGGGTTCTTGTTTAGTATATATACATAGAGAGTGTTAAATTCCCCAGTTTGTTTAATTTATCACCTCCTGTGTATTGAAACCAGAAAATCATTCATCGTTTCTCTTAACAATTTTTGTGTGCGTGTGTTACGGTCATACTGAAAAATTTCTCTCAGGATCCGACCCAGCCTCGAACACTATGATAAAGACTTCCATAATGTGACAGCTTATTGTGCTTATATGACTAATCACTCTAGTGCTTGCTAATTGTATTTAATCTGATCTGATAAGGGAAACAAAACCATCAGGAACACAGACATGATTTAAATTGTCAATTTGTTAGTAGGAAGTTTCTCAGGCTTGTCGGGAAAGTATAGATGTGTGACTAGCTGATTAGCAAGATTTAATTTCTCCATATAATAATTAATAACTCCGGTGATAAGGTCATCATCAGTGACACTTCGGCCTCAAGCATTATTTACCACAGCAACATTCAATTTAGAATCAATTATGAACTTGACTTTATTTAGGAGGGTCCCCCCACACCCCATGGATTGCTACTAGTCCCCACTGCTCTCATCACACTTCATTAGTCATCATATGCTTTAATTTGTTCTCTAATGCAGAGCTTTTGTGTATGTCCCCATGTGATGCATGCATTCTCTCTCTCCCTTATTACTTGGGAAGGAGATGTCCTAGCTGGCTTTTGCAGGGACAGTTGGCTTCTCACTAACAAAACATTATTATGAGAATTCAATTTAAAACGGGCTTTGAAAAAAAGGGTTTCAAGAGTGTTTAGAGAAAGGTTCTTAGGGCCTTTTGCAAGGTTTTTACAGATTTGAACCGGTTTAAAGGGGATAAATAACTTTAAAACCTACACAGGCAACCCTTCATCGTAGATGTGGGTTAGACCAGTTGGCCAATGAAGTGTGCTTGCTCCTTGATGATGTACGCCAGGATAATTGGCCAAGGCAGTATACATGCCCCCTTCGCATAAGTTTAATCTCTTTTCCCATACATTAAGGTTGATTTAGAATATCGATTAGTAAAAATAAAATAAAAAAACTTAACCCTCCATCACCCTAATTGAAAAGAATAAGTAAAAGAAAAGGAAAGAAGAAGTACCATTGTTGTTGTGGGTTCTAGATGGGCAGTTAACATTGAATTGAGGATCCACGAGCAAGGGTGAAAGGTAGGTGTGATTTATCTTAGAATGCGCTGCGTGGAACTGTGGTTGATAAAGCAAAGGTGACGCGAAAGTGCTTTTGGTCTGCTTTTTTCAAAAGCAATGTTTGATGATGACCAATGACCCACACGTAAAACGACGACTTCTCTCTCAACCTTTACGATGAGTCAAATGAGCAGGTGCACAAGAAAACGATCTCATGAAAATTCCCTAATAATAAAAAATAAAATAAAATAATAAAAAGCTGAGTTAACTTAGACTGTAATTAAGTACACATACAGTTAAGCCGAGCATGTGAGTAAATTTAATTTGCGGAGCTCGTTTTTCGCTTTCACTCAGATTCTTCCATAGTTTTCTAGTCTCATTCAGATCCTTCATTTATTTGGACTGACAACGACCTAATATTCAAATCTGGCAAATTAAATAATCAATACTAATTTTGCATGGGGCATGTCATAGTGATGCAATGATGATTATATAAAAGAAATAATAAACCTTGTTCAAAGAGAAAAAAAAAATATAAATTCAGATCTCAGTATAAATTACTAATTATAATTAACAAAGTATTGAATTAGATTATAATTCATGTTAGGCAAAGGGTCACTTTTCGTTCATTCAGTTTGACGAAATTTACACTTTCATTCTTCTAGTTTTAATTATGACAATTTGACTTGTGAAAATTTCTGACTAATTTCTTAATGAAATAGACACGTGTCTTTTACGTGAAAGAGTATTTTTATGGGAATTTGGATGTGTCCTTGAATTGCGATAATATCAAACTATAAAGACCAAAAGTAAACATTTTCCCTTAATGTTAATTAGGGTTTATGTAAATATAGCATTGGTTGAATGAAGAGACGAGTCTCTCCTATTGGTGAAAATCACTCGTGGATAAAAATGGTCCCTTTGCAAATTGCTTGGTGGGGCTTCTATCTTAGATATTACGACTTCTGGGTGTGTCTGTGCCACTCAATGATATGCAATGTCATGAGTACATAAATATATCTCTTTGAATTTGAGCCCATACATACCACAAAGACAAAGCCACCGCATGCAATGATGTCAAACTCAATTCCCTCGACTTCCACAAAAATTGGTGTCACCACCTTTCTTTTTCTATGTAGTCGGTAACTCACAAAAGAAAAAGGATAGAGAAAAATTAACATATACGTCAGTATAAATAAGTTTGTTTGAAACCCGTAAAATAAAAGCTCTTACATAAAAGGATTTTATCGGCAACGATCAAATCAACTATTAGGAGGAATTGTAATTATTATAGTAAACAAAGTGGCTAAGAGGTGCAAAAAGAGGAAAAGAAAAAAGGGTTTCTATTTGAGCAATGGAGGAGGGGGGACGAAAGAACTAGTTGGTTGGTGGTGCCATATTAATGTGATGAGAAAAACTGGGGACCAACGAGCAATGCGACAAGATTAAATGACATGTCCCGTTCAGTTAAAATACATCACGTATTACAAAATCTTAATTATAAGTTAAACTTATTACACGTGCTATATTTTAATTAGACAGTGTTTGCCGCTCGACATGGTACTAGGTATGGAAGTTCCTACTCGAAATTTTCTAGTATGTACATTAGCTCGTCCATTTCGATCACATATTAATTAATTTCCGGTATTTTTGTTAAAAATTGTCAAACATTTCAGCCAACTTTTGGAAGCAACATTACCGAAAGAGCAGCCCATTAAATTTAGGTTATAGGCTTTGAAATTTTATAGGTCCACCGACACCGAACTAGCAGCCCATTAAATCCAGCCCGGTTAAATTGGGTGGGCTATGGCCTACCTACCTACTGATACAAAACTCAACCAAAATATTAATTATATCTAAACGAAGGTTTGAAAGAAAAGGAAAGTATATTAAGATAATTTTCCATGAAAAAATTTAACTAAACATTTGCTAATTTTGCTTCTTCCATTTCAGAGATACAAATGGTGGTTTGCTAATCAATGTATTTTATGAGTTTAACTGGTTTACTATAAAGATTGTTTTGGAAACTCTTGCTCGTTAATTTAAAAAATCACAAAACTTTGTGATAACATTTTCCCAAAGTTATAAATATAGCTCACAACATTTTATTAGGAGAATGGGCAATAATAGGGTGATTATAGAATAGTACAATAATACGGTCACGCACGTGATACATCTTGTACACGTTTTATAATATAAGAAAAGGTGGAAAATAAATTATGTCGTCCATTCATATTATAACATGTATACAAGGAGTACTATATGACCATATTATCGTAGTATTCTATGATTTCTAGCAACAACAATACTTGACTAGGCGAATGTGCTAATATTGTGAAAAGCAATACTTGTTTTGGAGAATGTGTGCGAATCTTGTGAAATGAGTAATCTAAAGATTAAAGAATAAAACATATTTAATTTTTAAACTTTCCTTTATTCGAAAGAGAGACCACTTTATGAAATAATGAAAAATAGAAATTAAAAAGAAAAGACGAAAATATAAAATCGTAAGTGTCGGATTCCATGGCATATGCCTTTACATACCGGACACGATTCTCTCCCATACTCTATTTTCCCAAATCTCCGTTTAAAATTTGTTGAGTTATAAAAATAAAATAAAATAATAATAGAAGAAACCGCCTCGTGATCTTCGTCGTTTTATGACGAACGAGCAAAAGAGCGCGATTAGCAAATCGCAAATGGAGACGATACAGAGCCGAGTCGAGGCATGGATCAAGGAGCAGAGAGCCAAGCTCCTGAAGGTATCGTGGGGCCCACTGCAGTGGAGGATGAAGTGGCCGTGGGTCGGCGGCGACGGCTACCGGGAACATCGCCGGAGGATCCACCAGGAGTACGAGCGCCGCCGCAAGCAGCTCCACGATCTCTGCGGCGCCGTCAAGGCCGACTCCGTCTCTGACCTCCAGGACATCCTCTGCTGCATGGTCCTCTCCGAGTGCGTTTACAAGGTCAGTGAAACAAGCTCTCTATCTCTATCTCTCTCTCGTATTTGATCGAACATGTTGTGTGCAATGTTAATGTGTGGTGGATGCTTCGTGTAGAGACCTGCTTCGGACTTGGTTCGCGCTGTGAACAAGTTTAAGGCCGACTTCGGAGGACAAATTGTATCTCTCGAGCGTGTTCAGCCTTCTTCGGATCACGTTCCTCACAGGTGTTTTATTTTTTTGTTTGTTTGTTTGGGGTGTTTGATTCCAAAGTTTGTCTTCTAGGTTTGAATTGTTAGCTGTTTGGTGTTTTGGTGTTGCAGTTATTTATTGGCGGAAGCAGGTGATACGTTGTTTGCTTCCTTCATTGGTACGAAGCAGTACAAGTAAGAGAGCCATTTGAATTCGATGCAATTCAATCAGCGTTGTTATCTTTGATTATTGTAAGTTCATTTATTTGTTTTTGAATATCATGAAGGGATGTGATGACCGATGCGAATATATTTCAAGGTGCTATATTTCATGAGGATGCCGTGGAGGTTACTAATGGGACCGAAAATAATAAATCAAATCGACCTCAAAATGGAAATGGAAATGGAAATGTGGAGAATTTGTGGAACCCTCTTGAATCGAAATCGAAGCAAGTGAATGATAAAGCTAAACCGGCTGCTCATCGGGTACGATTGCAGTCCCAAGCACAAATGCATGTGCTCTTGTGTGCGCGCCCAAATGATTATCTAACATGCTATCCTTTCAAATTGTTATCTTTAGGGGTTCTTGGCTCGTGCCAAAGGTATACCTGCTTTGGAATTGTACAGGCTTGCTCAAAAGAAAAAACGCAACCTTGTGTTATGCGGTCACTCACTTGGTGGAGCAGTAAGTTTGATTAGCTTCTTTGCTTGAGTGTCAGCGGTTGCTTTGCTTGTTATTGATTATAATTTCATGGAGTCTACGTGCTTTTGCCAATGTAGGTAGCAGTACTAGCTACCCTTGCTATTTTAAGAGTGGTTGCTGCTTCTTCTTCTCACTAAAGGAGAATGAAAATGTTAAAGTCAAATGCATAACATTTTCCCAGCCCCCTGTTGGGAATGCAGCTTTAAGAGAGTAGGTTTCTGGTCCTTTTTTCAACTGACTTTCTGTGGTCTTTCATAGTTAGTGAATTTGTTCTTTTTTTCCTTTTATCTTATTTCAACATAACTAAAGTTATATTTCTTTTAATCTCTTATAGTTATGTTAATAGAGAGGGGTGGCAGCATTACTTCAAGAGTTACTGCATTCCAGAAGATCTGGTGCCTCGCATCTTGTCTCCTGCTTATTTTCACCATTATAATGCACAACCTCCTTTAGTGCCCGCTGAAACTGGAAGTAATAGCATATCCATGTTAAAAAGTGAGGAAGCAGTAGGAAAACATAGAGAGAATGAGGGGGAACAATTGGTTCTTGGTTTGGGACCTGTACAGACTTCTATCTGGAGACTTTCAAGGCTTGTTCCCTTAGAGGGCGTAAGAAGACAATTTAATAAATTTAGAGGAAAGAAAGTTAATTCTGTCGAGACATCTTCTCTGTCAGATTCTGTTGCAACAACTGTAGTGGATGATGACATTGTTGAAGCACAGTCTCTTGAAATCCAAGAGGGTTCTGATGGTATATCTCTTAAGCCTATCTCTGAAACTGATAAAGAGCCACCATATGTGTCACCAAATGAGAAGTCAGCTAAAACAAGCACTGCTAAAAATGGGGATGGCAGGACATGGCGTAGAGTGCCTTATTTACCTTCGTATGTACCATTTGGGGAGGTATTACAATACAAACTGGTTACCCTTTTTAATGATTTTTGAGCTTAGGGGCATGCATGAGAGGTTGAAAACTAGTCCAAACTTTACAATGCCTGATGGTTTTGTATGCTTATCATCAGGCTAATCGTTAAGTTCTTTATAGTTGCGAGCTCATCAGAAACTTTTTATTTTGTGCCAGCTTTATCTCTTGGAAAATTCATCAGTGAAGTCACTATCAGATGCAGAGTACTCAAAGTTGACATCGGTATGAGCTTCCTTTGCATGACTATCCCCCCTTTTTTTTTGGAACTATTATATGTTCTCCTGCATAAAGTTTTGGCTTTTAACAGTTTTTCTTGCTCAGAAGTAGTTATAAGTTGTAGTGGTGTCTGGAATTTCTCATTTTATTTGCTTTCTTTTGGCAAAGACATTTTCAGGTCGGATCTGTGATTGCGGAACTAAGGGAACGATTTCGATCGCATTCAATGAAGTCATATAGGTTTCGGTTCCAGAGGTAATAAATGATATACATCCAAGAGTTTTTCTCTTTAATGCGCTAATCCCATTTTGAGTTGTGCTTCTGCAGTATCCTTTCTTCCCAAATTGGTGTTACATTGGTCTGAAGGACTTAGTTTGTGTATTTCCGACCCATGAATAACTCCTAAATCTAGGCTCTGTTTGCTGTTTTAGTTTCTCTTGATTTGTTGATTTCTTTTCATCTTGTTTTCCTGTGAAATATAATCGGTACAAATATCAAATCACTTTTGGACGTTGGCCATTGACCAAGCACTTAATGTAGAAATTCAACAAATGATCTCAATAATGGTATAGATCTATCCAGGAATGAGACAAGCTGTTCTGGACCCTGCTCAGTGCATTTTGTTTGAAATCACTTCTCGCGGACTTCCTACCTGGGAATTCACTGTTATTATGAATAGAAATTGGTGCTTTCACATCTAGGCAGTCTCCATTACACTATCCTTGAGATAATATACTTTTTAAAATCTTCATAGTTTCTTGATGTTCCTGCTGAAAATAACACCCTCAGAGATTGAATTTTACCGGATCCTGCATCATGCCTTTAGATTAGCCATAACTTGATTCACATGATACCCAAATTTTGCAATCTTGGGCCATTAGGTTTATTGAGAAGATATGCCCAGAACTTGTAATTTCTGCAAGTATGCTTTGAAAAATGAAAATGTTATCTCATGTACTTCATTTGCACATTATTATTGTGCAATTTTAAGTACTGTAAGTTTCTTACCTTATCTAACCTTGTTTCCTCTGCAGAATCTATGACCTGTGCATGAGAGATGATACCTCACCTTTTTCAGGCATAGAGCAACTGCAGCAGTTTCCGCATCTGCAGCAATGGCTTGGCCTTGCAGTTGCAGGAAATGTGGAGCTTGGGCATATTGTCGAGTCTCCAGTTATTCGGACTGCTACTTCAGTTGCTCCTCTTGGATGGAATGGCATACCTGGTGAGAAGAATGGAGATCCACTAAAAGTTGATATCACTGGTTTTGGATTGCATCTTTGTACACTTGTTCATGCCCAAGTGAATGGCAACTGGTACTGTTCTTTGTAACAATCTTCATGGATGTATCTACTCTCTGTGCATTCGATTCTTTATATTAATGTGATATCATATCTTCATTTAGGTGCTCAACAGCAGTAGAATCCTTTCCTGCTACCCCAACTTACTCTTCAAATTATGGAGAGAAGGTGGACCTACAACAAATGCGAGTCTTAGTTGGAGCTCCGTTGAAACAACCACCAAAGCAACAGATGGTAGCAGATTCATTTATGCATGTGTTTCCTATTGATTCCAACACAGCTAATCTTAATAGGGAGCACACTTCAGGACCATCTCCTGAGGAAAAGTCCATCCGTCCTGAAGGATTAAGTGAATTTGTCATATTTTGTACCAGTGATTTTACCACAGTCTCAAAAGAGGTTCATGTGAGAACTCGTAGGGTGCGGTTACTTGGACTTGAGGTATTTATGTTTTAATTCTTGCTTGAAAACTTTCTTTATATATATTATTTGCCATCTAGTGTGTAGTGACTCACATGATATATTTCCCATGTAGGGTGCTGGCAAGACTTCACTTTTTAAGGCTATATTATCCCAAGGCAGATTAACCAATATTTCCAATATTGAGAATCTGCTTCCAGAAACTGATGTCCAAGAAGGTATTTCTCGTGGTTTATGCTTCTGTGATTCAGCAGGGGTAAATTTGCAGGTATTTCCTCCTTGTTAAGGAATGTCCATATTGGCATGGATTATCTTATTCCTTCTCATGGTTTAAAGTCATATATCTGGAATTCATATTACAGGAGATGAATATGGAGGCCACTCATTTCAGAGATGAACTATGGGCAGGAATTCGTGATCTTAATCGAAAGACAGACTTGATTGTTCTTGTTCATAACCTGTCTCATAGAATACCACGCTCTAACAACTCAAATGGAACCCAGCCAAAGCCAGCCCTTTCACTTCTACTGGATGAAGCTAAATCTCTGGGAATTCCTTGGGTTCTTGCCGTAACAAACAAATTTTCTGTCAGTGCTCATCAGCAAAAAGAAGCAATTGGTGCTGTTATCCAGTCATACCAAGCATCTCCGAGAACCACTTGCGTTATCAATTCCTGTCCATATGTCATGCCCAGTGCTGGTGCAAGCACTGGAGATGCTGATGAGAGGATGAGTGCTCAAAAGCTTATTTATGCTCCCATAAATCTTGTTAGGAGGCCTTTCCGGAAGAAAGAAATCATTCTCCCAGTGGAGGGTGTCAACTCTCTTCGTCAAGTAGTCCATCATGCACTACGAACCCATGAAGAAGCCGCCTTTCAGGTAAACAAACGTCTCATCATCCTTATGTCACAGTGGCTGATGAAGGATAGTATTATCTTTTTGTTCTAATTCTTTCATTCCTTACTGCTCTCTAGATTTATTGGCTACTGTTTCACTTCCATATTATAAGTTGTGGTCTCCAGTTATATCATTTCATTGTTGATATGCTTTATTTGCATTTTTAAGGAACTTGCTAGAGATCGGCTTTTGGTGGAAATGGCACGAGAGCGTGCAATGGCTATGGATGCAAGCCGTGATTCTCAAGCTAAGGCAAATTCACTTACATCTGCAGCTGTGGGTGCTTCCCTTGGAGCTGGCCTTGGGCTTGTCTTGGCTGTTGTCATGGGTGCAGCATCCGCCTTGAGGAAGCCTTAGAGAGCTCACTTCTTATATCTTCAACATTATCAGTGTTTGGGTATAGCATCTGCGTTGTTTCTAGTTACTGGTAGCGGATTACAGGCCATTTTTTCATTCTTGTTCTGTTAAATTTTCATTTTTAGGCAAGAAAAATAGGTCTTCTTGTAGATGGGAAATGTTCCTGAATGCTATATTTTCTTAGCTTGTTTTATTTTTTCTAATGTATAGATAAATTTTCTTGAACAGATATTTGGTTCGTGTAACATTATTGTACAACTCCAATAGTCTTCTTGAAAGGAAAATAAAATAAAATTATAATTCTTCAAATGATATATAACCATGTATATGCTTTTGCTGATAAGGATCATGCCAATTGGCCTCCAATGAATTATAAAAAGTAATATACATCTCAAACCTGCTTAAATTCCAATCCAACATAAAGAACTCAAATTGTTCAAAAATCAGATTTTGGAAGAAACAGGTGGGTGTTTCCCATACTCGTATGTATGCCTGCTCCTTCATCACTGAAACCTATTGTTGAATTTACTCCCAGGACTCACAACGCAATAAGAACTTCAAATTAAAGAAAAAAAATAGTCTTAGTGATGGCTAATCCCCAAAGACAGATTTGTGAATGACAAGCTCAGACATCAATAACCCTAGCAACCACCCTAAAGATAACCAGGATAGAAATATTTGTTTAGGGCTGGGAAGAAAGAACAGTCTAAATAGAAATGTGAAACTTGAGTAATAGAGAGAGATCATCCGGCACAACACGAGAGATTCATCCGACTTTTCCTTGAGTCTGCCCCATTTTTCACCAGGTTTACTCGATTGACAGATAACTCGGCCTTGTAGGAATCGGAATTGAGGACTTTCCTGCTGACATTGTTGTAAATCTCCCGGATAACCATCTCAAAAGCCGTTTGAACGTTGGTAGCATTCAGTGCAGAAGTCTCCATGAAGAATAGGCCTTCTTCTTCCGCAAGGCTTTTGCCATCTTCCACGCTCACATCCCTGATATCCTCCAAATCACACTTATTTCCTACCAACATCCTTGCTACTGTTGTTTCGCAATGAGCTGCATAATCATTCAATTAAGCATTAACTATCTGACCCTTAATAGATTGGAGATATGAACATAAATTCTTCTTATCAATTCCAGGGATGGTAACTAGATGATAAAAAATAAGCATAATAAAAAAAATAAAAAATAAAAGCTGAGCAAACACAAATCATAATGAAACTACAAAGATTACCATGTTGACATAAACCTTATATATTCAGTACTACGGCTCGTCACCTATCACTCAGAACTTTGTTGTGCCTTTGTTCCATTGACATTTATATGCCTTAGTTAAGTAAAAAGAACACCTAAGCTAAGGCAATGCAATAATAAAACAGAGTGTATGCCTTCCCTGGTGATTGCATATGTCAACAGTAACATGAGCATGTTATCATCAAGAGGTATCCTATTTCCTAGCATGCTTGTGAAATTACCAATTAATGGGTTTTCCAAACTCAACGGACTTGCGTAATAAGTATTACCAACCCAAAAATTTTAAACAAATAAATGCAAACCAAGGGGTGGATACAACATGCTTTCTAAGCAATTGTATAAATTAAGTATTGGCCATTTAATTAATACAAGTTCATCTATTATGTGCACACACAAAAATGCTACGAATTTGCATTTGTTGGATGGAATATTCTAGGCAAGCCTATCAAACACTAGAAAAGGAAATTATTTCATCCTTTTACATAAAAAGACATCACCCTGATGGTTCTAAGGTATGCTTAAGTTTTAACATTTATGAAAAGATGACAACTAGTTTGGAAACAGTTGCCTTTCAATACGAATAAACAAACTCCATGTTAGGCAGCCCACAAATCATAAAACCCTGAATTAGTACTTCAACGCTTTACCTAACCTCATAAATGTTCAACCAAAAAAGCATCCAAATTTTAGTCCCTAAGAAGATCAATATAAAACACATTCCCTCTTGACTCTGGCACTACTATCAGCCACAAAAGTAGTAGCTGTTCCTCATTTGGGATTTTCTGCACCCAGTTATAACAAGTTGTAACCAATGACCATTATCACCACCTATTGAGCACCCACAGTAATCACCCATAAGAACCATCCATGAACACCACCAACAAGAAGTCAGGCTTTATTCTCAGCAAAGCTGTATCCGGGGAAGCACATGTTCCCCAACAAATTAGAAGCCTTTCTGTTCCCATTTATACAAAAGAAGTAAACAAGCAACACACAGACAACAAATTGTCGTTTCCTTATTTAATTGCATCATGTACAATCAGAACCAGAGCAACTGTGAAAAAAAGTTAGTGGACATGTAACAAACCACATAAAGCATCCAAAAATTCGCAAACCAAAGACAAACATAGCTAAAAAGAATCGCTCTGTTACTGAAAATTGCATATCATCCAATCCAAAACCCACAAACATCTCTTCCTTTTTCCCCGCATTTTCTCACCAACTAAACATAAAACGAGAAAGAAAAAACCAATCTTAACAAAAGGGGCAATCAAAAACTTACTGGTAAGCTCATCGAGCCAGCGCTTGACACTCTCAAAGGTGGTCTTCCTACTGATATCATAGACAATAAGAGCACCAACAGCGCCTCTATAGTAAGCAGAGGTCACAGCCCTGAAGCGTTCTTGACCAGCAGTGTCCCAGATCTGGGCCTTCACCATTTTTCCATCGATTTCCAATTCCTGGGTCAGAAACTCAACCCCAATTGTGGCTTTGTTGTTGGGGTCGAACTCGTTTCGAGCGAACCGCGAGAGCAGGTTCGACTTGCCCACTGCCGAGTCTCCTATCAGCACCACCTTGAACAAGTACTCTTCTCCTCCTACCTCTTCCTCCATTGGCCCGCTCTCTCTCTCTCTCTCTCAGAGTCTTCGAGACTGTGAATTGCTTGGCCTTCTTATGGTAAGGAGAGGTTTTGCGTGTCTGTATGTGAGAAAGTGGAACTTTGGGTTAGTTTTATAGCGCAGGAAGCTTTGGACAAAGCTGCGTAATTGGCGGGTTAAAAAAAATTTGGTGATTTTTTTTTTCTCTTTTTGGATCTTTTTTATGGGTTTTGGGCTGGACCTTAAACTCAGTGAGTTGAGTGGGTTGTGGGCGACTCTGTGGTGAGTGAAAATATTTTACGTGACCGTCACATAGAAACGTAGTGATACGAAGCCTAATATAAATGGACTGTAACATTACGTGACGTCATGTTGATCACGCATTAACTTTTCTTCAATGCGGGTGTTTGTTTGAGCTAAAAGTCTGATAAGTGGCTTTTCTTGGCATGCGGATACAGGTTGCCTTTTTAACTATTGATATTGAAAGTCAAGACAGCTAGTTGTGGAGAATATTTAGCATGTCCCTTGGTTTAATGGTAACGTATATGATCATCATGTGGATCATTTTGATGAAAAAAGAACACAATTGCATTAGAAGGAAAAAAAAATCATGAACAAAAAATAGAAAGAAAACGGTGTCTCAAACATTATCCTAGCTGCACTTGACCATCACTGTCAAATTTCTCTTTGACGTAATTATATATTGTTTCAAGAAAGTATGCTTTACGATGCTTAGAAAGGGGAATTGAGGTGCGCATCCCAAGGACAAATCTTTCATAATCATTTCATTTTATTTCTTTAGATCAATCTATCAAATAGTGATACTATAATATATGTGATTGAAAAACTTAAAAAGTGATTTTTGGGTCATGAAAACATTTTATGCATTTTCACTTGGTTTCTTAGTAAGGATTCCGACGTATTTATTAAAAAACGCTTATAAGCCGAATGTGTGATTGGGGAAATACATTTCTTGTTGAGCGTCGAATTAGGAATTTAAATAAACAAAAAACAAAGATACACATTCGATCTCAGAAATGGAAAAATAATATGGAACTTTCTTTCCCTTGATATATCGTTTATTTGTTGTCTATATACCTTTCTGGCAGTTCACAAGTAGAATCTTTCCAAGGAGAGAAGACCCATAAAGCAATTGAGAAGTCAATAATCAGTAATGCAAGCCCAAAAAGTTGACCATGAAATGATCAGACATTTCCTCCTGCAGACCCGTGCTTCAGTTTAATGGAGACACTTTCTTTTCTTATGATTTTCCAAAAGCAATTACATTATAGCATGTTTAAGATTTTTGCAAAAGTGATTTTCTAGTGCATTGTTCAACTAATCTAATACAATCAGATGTTTGTCAGTGCAGTGTAATCTTCTGTCTGCTTGCTCCTATTTCTGTGTAGTGGGTATTGAGTGTAACAAAATAGGAACCAAGAAAAAATCTTGTCTCCTTCTAGAAGCAATGCTTCTTTTTTCTTCTTGGTGGTGGAATGTGGTGAAAACCAACAAAGTCAAAATTGTCTGCAATGTAATGGTTTCTTCATCCACATCCACTACTTGTCTGCTTGGTGGCTAATAAAAACAGCCTCGCAAAATGAATCTTTCATCTCATGCAATGCAAGTGAGCTGAGCCACAATGAAGATTATTAACTTGGCATGCCATATTCTTCTCTTGCTAGTTCTGATCTTCTTCTCTTGTTGCAGTGCAGAATCTCAAGACCCTTTGGGAGATTTCTGCAACGAAGATAGTACTAAAATAAGTAATGCTAGCCAAATATCAGCAAATATTGATACTTTATTGGCTCAATTGGTGCCCAAAACTGCTTCACTTGGTTTTTTTGCTACTTCCTATGGCAAAGGCCAAGACCGAGTCTTTGGCCTGGCTCAATGCAGAGGGTGAAAATACCTGCAGGATGACTCAAAATGCCTAGAGGAGGGTGAATAGGCCAATTTAAGATTCAAATAAATAAAAATAAACTTCGGTAACAGGATTGATATGGCTTATCAATCCTGTAACGTGCTGGGCATAAAATAAAAGAACACGCAGAGAATTATTTTACGTGGTAAAACCCCACCTCTGGGGAAAATCCACGGGACTCCTCAGTCCAACACAAATCCACTATAGAACGATGATTACAAGAAGTACTCACACACTTATCCTAGACACATTCTAGATAATGTTTACCGACTTCTTCGTAACTCAACTTCTGTCACGGGATGATCTTCGACACTCCTTATGTTGAACGCAATACTGGCCACGATTGCTTCAAGCTCACCGGAGGAAAACCGCCACCACGGTCTTGGTGCCCTCAACCGTATGAGTCACCGACGTGCATATGAATGCAATATGAATGATTAAAGTGTTTGATAAATCACCAAGTAAAACATTGAACACTTGATGATTTATCTCAAATATACGCACAACAGCTTTTCTTAGAATTCTATATGCTCAGAACAAATATCTCAAAAGCTATACAAATAAAAGAATGGCACATGATCTTTTATACAAGGCTTGTTATCTCTCAAGAGAGAGAAACCTAATAGGCCACGAATCTTCAATTTCCTATTGCACCACAACCTATCATCAATAAGAGATTTGATTCACATTGGACTCAAAGTAATGACGCCTCTCTTTAAACCAAATTAACTAAGAGGTGAGCAACAAGCAAAGTCACAATAGGAAAAGATAATATTTTAACTTTAATTAAAATAGAGTTGAACTAGGAAAGTAATCTCAAGAGATAAAATCTAATCTTATTAAAAATAAGATTAAGATAAAAATACTTTGAGTGAAAATAACTCAAACTAGGAATCCTATAATGAATGCATGATTATGTCATGATTTACCTGAAATCAGATTCCTCATATCGGTCAAGTCATGCTTTGGAAACCTGAGATTGAATGTGTTGCGCCAAAACGTCTAGTAAACGATATTCACACACTAACTCCCAACCTATGCTAGAGTCTAGGAAATGACAATACAAATTTCATACTAACAATCTCCCCCTTTGGCATTTCCTAGACAAAACACCTATTACAACTCAAAAGAAATTACATGGGATTTAACAAATGAATTCTTATTCTAAGCTTGAAGCCCTGAATCCCTGCACATTATGAAACAACAAAACCAGTGAAGCATGTGGGAGAAGAAATGTAATTCAAAGCAAATTACAACACAACTCCCCCTTAATTCCATAACACAATCTCTCCCCCTTTTTGTCAGGAAATCCAAAGGGCAAAGAATGAACATAAGGGAGCATATATAAGAGGGAATAAAAATAAAAAAAATCAGATTGCATTCCCAACATATAAAGACATAGAGAATAACCAATAAAGCATGTAAGAGGCTTTATCTTGAAAACAAACAGAATTTTTTTTATTTTTTTTTTTTTTTTTTTTTTTTTTTTTTTTTTTTTTTTTTTTGGGATAAGCGACAAGAAAATAGAGAACTAAAAAGAATAATGAGAAGTTGTGAAGAACCAAAACATACAAAAACAAAAGCAATACACTCAAGACAGAAAGCTCAAAACAATCAAGACATAAAACATACTATAGATGCAGACCCAAAGTTCTCTTGAAGATATAATTATTTTCCATTCATAAACATGCCAAGTTTGTGGGTAAAGAATGAAAGAAGCAACAAACCCTTTGCTGTCTTGAACGCATGTGAAGCAAAGCATGTCAGGGACAAACACACGACAGCACACAAGACTCACAAACTCACAGAAAACAGTAGAGGCATACCACAGTCACGGTGAAAGATAAAAAGGCATCAAATGAGTCTACCATCAAGGAGCAAATGTGTTAAATGAACTCTTTTTCAATTAAGCACAAAAAATATGTCCACACAAAACGAATCCCACCAAAGATTGCACAAACACTAAGTGCATAGTAAGTATAAGAAGATCAATTTATATATATATTTTTTTAATACGAAATTTGTGGCTCACTTTATCTAGCTTTCGACATGATCCATGTAACGGATGGTCAATCAGTGTGCTTACGTCAGATGACTGGAGGCAACTGGGTGATGAAGCACCCCTGGGGAAATACTGATCCGAATCATGAAGGCTCCAAAGATAAGCAAGGATAGCAAACCATCACAACCTGTTGACTCGAACCTCGACGTTGGTTAGACAAGAGGCCCGGTTACTGAGCAATGAGTGGTTGACACCCTTTTTTTTTTTTTTTTTTATTTATACTTTTTTAATTTATTTTTATAAACAGATCAAGAACTTACGCACAGTAGTGTTATGGCAATCCAAAGAGAGACAAGTGCATGATAAGAGATATTCAAAGGACTTCAAGGAAAAGAGTGTGGTGTGCAAAATAAAAATAAATAGATGGATAGATCATTTAATGAAGTTTATAATGCACCAAGACAATGGAAACCTTTGTGTGAAGCTGAGAGTGTAAGTTCTTAATATAGTGCAATGTCAGAGCCCAATCTAAGATCAACAAATACGTTCAGACAGTTACAGGATTGATACACCTTAACAATCCTTGCACGAGCTGGACAGATTTATAAACACAGAAATTAATTGAAATATCATAAAACATGAAAGAGGCTTTGGCATGCAATAGACTCCAAATTAATCTAGAGCACATATACCTAAAGACTTTCTAAGAGTGTCAAATCGAAGATTATCCAAGGGTTTTGCAGCAATACATTTAAGATCCAAACTTTCTAAAGCAACGGGTTCATGCACAACATTAGTGGAGGAAGACATACAATTATGATTTTCCTTTTCCCTCCAAACTAACTTTGTCTTAGTTGACGGCAAACAATGAAAAGAAGATAGTTTGGATAAGCGGTTTACCTCTTTTATAAGATTTGAAATCTTATGTTGGATACTTACTTTTCCACCCATGCCATGAGAATTTGAACGAACAAATTCGTTTCGAAGCTTATTGCATCTCGGTCTTATGTGCCCACGAGTTCCACAAAAGTGACAAATTGGAATAAATTTCTTGACTTCATGAGAGGCAGAAGGTTCAATAGGTGAAGTGGATTTGACAAACTTTGTTTTAGACACAGCGGAAGACTTATTACTTGGTTCAAATCCCAAGCCTCGTTTGTCACCATCTCTTCGTCCCATGCTAATCATCTTGTCAATTTTTTCTGCACCAATGGTTAAAGAAACAATCCTTTCTTTTGAATTTTTAAGTTCAAGTTCAAGGGCTTTGTTGTCAGAAGTTAGAGAAGCAATTAATTTATTCTGATCAGTCAATTTTTTCTGCAAAAACATCAATTTTTCGTTCATACCTGCACTTACCTTTTCGGAATCTGCATCAGGGGATTGAAACTCGTTTGCAATCCTGCAATTTTCCAGCTTCAGCACAGCAACTTCTTTGACGAGCTCACTATTTTGTTTACTGAGCTTCTGAGATGCAGCCAACAAATCATCATATTTGTTCATGATAAACTCAATATTTATACCTTTACAATCATCATCCTCACGTGATTCATCCAAGCTAACTGTGGTTATAAGTGCAACCGTCTTTTCATCATTCTCGCATTCCGATTCACTATCACTCCAAGTAGTATGCATTGCCTTATTCTTGCCATCCTTTTGTTTCTTTAAGGTGTTTGGCACATTCCGAAGATATGTGTCCATAGCCTTCACATTCGAAACATTTGACCTTTTCTCTTGGATTCTTTCGTTCATTTAACCTGCGAAATTTAGATCCACCATCAGTATAGTTAACAAACCTATTTTTAGAATTTATACCTTTTGAATCTCGACTCCTTGGATCCTGATTCTTGAGAAAGTTCATGAATCGTCTTGTGAGAATCGTTAATTCCTCATCACTGCAATCTTCATTTGAATGCTCATCATCTTCTTCATTCACAACCTTGAACGCAACATTTTTGCTCTTTTTAAGAGGTAGATGTTTCATCTCATAGGTTTGTATGGACCCTATGAGTTCTTGAACTTTCAAGGTGTTCAAGTCACGGATCTCTTCAATAGCCGTGATCTTTGGTTGAAACCGTTGAGGCAAGGATCTCAAAATCTTTTTCACAACTCTATCTTCTGGAATTTTTTTCACCTAAACCTGAACAAGCATTCACAATTACACAAAGTTTAGCATAAAATTCAGAAAAAGTTTCATTCTCATCCATCATAAGTGTCTCAAACTGTAAAGTGTGCATTTGAAGCTTGGCTCCCTTGACAGTATCTGTTCCTTCATGAGTAACCTGCAAAATATCCCAAGCTTCCTTAGAAGTATCACAAGCACATATATATTCAAATTGATCGGAAGAGACAGCAGTAAATAAAGCATTTAACCCCTTTTGATTATTAGTGCTGTGTGTGACTTCTGCAGTGGTCCACTCCTCTCTAGTTTTGAGGACTGTGGTTTCTTCATCTCCTTTTCCGATCGTCTTTGTGGGTTTAGGAAATCCATGAACCACTGTGCTCCATACACGTTCATCTAAGGACCAAAGAAACGACTTCATTTTGGCCTTCCAAGCGCCATAGTTGTTGCCATCGAAATATGGTGGATGTGCAATTGAGCCCGAGGCACGATCCATCCTAAGGTATGTTAGATCTTGCTGAGTATGTCCAGCAACCTGCTCTGATGCCAATTGAAAATACCTGCAGGATGACTCAAAATGCCTAGAGGAGGGTGAATAGGCCCAATTTAAGATTCAAATAAATAAAAATAAACTTCGGTAACAGGATTGATATGGCTTATCAATCCTGTAACGTGCTGGGCATAAAATAAAAGAACACGCAGAGAATTATTTTACGTGGTAAAACCCCACCTCTGGGGAAAATCCACGGGACTCCTCAGTCCAACACAAATCCACTATAGAACGATGATTACAAGAAGTACTCACACACTTATCCTAGACACATTCTAGATAATGTTTACCGACTTCTTCGTAACTCAACTTCTGTCACGGGATGATCTTCGACACTCCTTATGTTGAACGCAATACTGGCCACGATTGCTTCAAGCTCACCGGAGGAAAACCGCCACCACGGTCTTGGTGCCCTCAACCGTATGAGTCACCGACGTGCATATGAATGCAATATGAATGATTAAAGTGTTTGATAAATCACCAAGTAAAACATTGAACACTTGATGATTTATCTCAAATATACGCACAACAGCTTTTCTTAGAATTCTATATGCTCAGAACAAATATCTCAAAAGCTATACAAATAAAGAATGGCACATGATCTTTTATACAAGGCTTGTTATCTCTCAAGAGAGAGAAACCTAATAGGCCACGAATCTTCAATTTCCTATTGCACCACAACCTATCATCAATAAGAGATTTGATTCACATTGGACTCAAAGTAATGACGCCTCTCTTTAAACCAAATTAACTAAGAGGTGAGCAACAAGCAAAGTCACAATAGGAAAAGATAATATTTTAACTTTAATTAAAATAGAGTTGAACTAGGAAAGTAATCTCAAGAGATAAAATCTAATCTTATTAAAAATAAGATTAAGATAAAAATACTTTGAGTGAAAATAACTCAAACTAGGAATCCTATAATGAATGCATGATTATGTCATGATTTACCTGAAATCAGATTCCTCATATCGGTCAAGTCATGCTTTGGAAACCTGAGATTGAATGTGTTGCGCCAAAACGTCTAGTAAACGATATTCACACACTAACTCCCAACCTATGCTAGAGTCTAGGAAATGACAATACAAATTTCATACTAACAGAGGGGATGTTGTGGGCAGCAAAGACTGCTCTAGTTGCATCCAAGACGCTGCAAAGCAAATCCGCAAGCGCTGTCCAGACCAGGCAGATGCTCGAATTTGGTATGACTATTGCTTCTTGAGGTACAACAACAAGAGCTTCATTGGGAAAGTTGATACATCTTATGGTATATTGTACGGGAATGTCGATAATGTGACCGATCCCGAGAGCTTCAACAAAGAACTAGGAGCTCTGGTGGACAAGATTGAGGCACAAGCTGTTGTGCCAAAGAATGAAGGACTTGGGAAAGGTGAGACCAAGCTGTCACCATTTTTGACACTATATGCTTTGGTGCAGTGCACAAGGGACTTGTCTCAGCTAGACTGTTCTCAGTGCTTGGCCATTGCAGTGGGAAATTTCGGAACCTTTTGTGACAACCGCAAGGGTTGTAGAGTTCTATATAGCAGCTGTTATGTCAGATATGAGCTCTATCCATTTTTCTTCCCTCTTGATTCAAACAAAACCCTGCCTGTGGCTGATAATACTTTAATGGCTGTAGTTTATGATCCATAGATTATGTATTCATAGTATATACTGGTTCAAAATAAGCCACAGCCAAATAAGACAATCCAAAGGAAGATGCGGCACAACAAATTCCATTAACATGTATATGTGTGTGTTTTCTATGATAAAATTACAGCTTTGATAAGTATGCATCTTGTATCTTTTGATAATAATGATTTCATTTGACTTTGCTAAAAAGCGATGCAATTATAGAGATGGGTTTACTTGTGATTGGAAAACCAATATAAGAATAATTGGTTGTGTGGTCATTTTCATCTCATTGAAGTGGGATCTCAGCCTCTCACTGATGGGACCAATTGCCCCTTTAAGACGAGAAAAACTTAGTTGCAAAGGGGATATCACTATTTTGCTATTTCCGACCAATAATGCTATGCCACGTGGAATTGCTGTCACACGTGTCACAATGTTATTGGTCGGAGATAGCAAAATAGTGCTATCCTAGTTTCATGGAAGTCTTTCTCCTTAAAAAGTTAAAACACAACCATTTTGTTCAATTGTCCGCCAAATCCAGTGGAATGCCATGTTCTGGTGGAAATGGGTTTAAAAGTGGGGCAAAGTGCAAGAAATTGTGTAAAGTTGGAATTATAATGGTTGACATCAACATCCACTAAAGATTTTATAGACTAATATTCAAAGACAGTTCCAATGGCCCTGCCAAACTTCAAAGAAAGAACGCAGAAATTTTGTAAGGCTGCCATTCTGATTATAAATTTCCTTATTCATTTACATGTATTTATTGTTTGTACTCAATATATATCTACAATTTTGTCACCCTTTGAGTCATTTACATGTTTGCACTCAGAGTTTGGCTAGTAGTTGGCTTTGCCATAGCTTCTGGGGAAGGGGATAACATCTCTTACATCAGTCAGGCCAGTGGAAAACAGAACCATAAGATCAAACTCAAGACTGAATCCAGAGTGCTTAACAGTTCCATGCCGGCGAAGATCCAAGTACCATTCGTACTGCTCTCTTGCTAAGCCTAATTCCTTAACACTGCAAACAAGAAACAGCAAATATGAGATTTATGTTTCCATGTTCACAAGAAAGTAAGAACAGCCTTTTGGCCATGAGACTATGAATGCAAGTTAAGACCTTGTAGTTAGAATAGTGATGCGCTCCTCATTTTGGCTACCAGAAATCAACTTTCCAGCCTGCAAACAAAAATGTCTTTCAGCTTGAAAACCAGTTTAAAATAAATGTGGGATTTATAGGGATGGAGAAGTTCTGGTACAATGGTCTTTCATGGTTTCTTTTGAGAAGCAACTACGAACTTACCTTCGGCACAACGATGTCAAATGCTGCAACTGTCTTTCCATCATCATTCAGCCTTACATAAAATGGCTTGGCTTCTTTTGGATAATTGTATATGATTACAGGCTTCTTGTAGATCTCATCAGCCAAATAACTGCGATGCATGAAAAAATAGTTAGGAACCACCACAACAGCTGGATGTCCTTATCACAATGTTTATATGCATACCTCAGATCTGCTTCTGTTAATGCAGCACCCCACTCTATTTTTGTATCAATTTTCTTCTCTGTAACCTGGCAGATTAAGATCAACAAAACTTCATAAATAATATTTGTGGAGAAAGAAACAATTGTCAGAATTACATCAAGGACCATTTTATGCAATCAACCTTCTTTATAGCATCTAATGCTTCAGTGTAGGAAATTCTTTCAAAGGAACTTGAAATCACCGAATGAAGACGATCAGCTCTGGTTTTGTCGATTCGTTGAGAAACAAATTTCATATCTTCAGGACAGTTTTCTAATACCCATTTGCAGAGGAACTTGAGAAAGTCATCTGCACAATTGATTGCATCCTGGAAGCTCCATAGGATATGGTTAGGTTTGATTAAAAGTATGCAACTCACAGGATCACATCAAACTATAGGAATCAAAGATAACAATTCAAAATGACAGATGATCTTCAAGAAATTTGTGTGCTTATAATCTGTATTAGACCAAAATTCAATCATGCCAAAAGCATTAGCTTATACCTCTAATTGTGAAAATGCCAATTCAACTTCAAACATCCACATCTCTGCAGCATGTTTCGGGGACTCCTCTTTATCTGCTTGAAATCTGGGACCAAAGGAGTAAACATTTCCAAGGGCACAAGCATAGCTCTCCAGATGCATTCGACCAGAACCGGTTAGATAAGTTGGGCTGGAGAAGAAATCCTCAGAAGATTTAACATTGTGAACCTTTTGAGAAGTTTTTAGTTTTGTTTTTTCTCTTGCTTCCAACTGTGATGCTAATTCATTTGCTTTCCTTAAATCCTGCACTGCAGCATCCATGCTTCCTTATTGCTATCAGTCCTCTTCAGTTCCTCTACCAAGTTACTTTTCTCCTTCACAGCAGCCTTAATAACATCTAGACTAACACCTTCAAGTTCAGCAATGGCCTTATGATGAGGCTCCTCCTTTTCACCTGCTTTGCCAAAAAGACTAGTAACCTGGAACTTTTCACCGAATCCTTTACAGTCTGTGGTCGTTAGAATCGGTACTTGCACACTAAGGAAACCATGGTTTTGACAAAATGTCTGAGCTGCGAAATCCAGTGCATTGCGGATTCGCATAACAGTTGCCACCTAAATAAAGCAGAACATGTGTTAGACCCCCAAAACTTCAGCTACAAACCAACAATGTATACCAATGGATTATGTCAAACACTTGCCTTCCACAACAGATCATAGTTAAAAAATTTAAAGAAAGACAACCAAGTAACAAAGAGAGATACAAATTACCGTGGTTGTTCGAGCACGAATGTGGCAAAAATCCCTTAACTTATCCAACGGCACACGTTTTTTTCGCTAATGAATACTTGCTGTAATCTACTGTTCCAATATGATGTATTTTATCCACTCTCAGCTCGATAACATTTGTGCCATGTACCAAAGACTGCTGGAGCAAACCTTCCACTATGATACAAGTTCCAGTATGCAAGAGCTGGCATGGTGGAGTTAGTGAGGATTCAACAACCACCTGAGAGAGACATTCAAAATGTGCCATATCAAATTTCACTATTGCCAATACAATTTCGTTATAATTTTTTTGTTTTTTTGGAGAATCCCCCAGAATAAGATTTGTATTCATATCAAATTTATTATTATTCGCATTTACCTGAAGAGTTGCAACACAAGAACCATCACTGACTTTCAAGAAGACAGTGGAAGGAGGAGGGGGCTTATGAACCCCAGCCTCCAGCTTTTCGCGAAGAGGGTAATGGCCGACGCTTCCTGCCAAGACCTTCACAATTGCTCTTAAAAATGGTATCCGAGACTGAAGAATTTCGACACAGCTGACATCTGATCTGGGTTCAGGTTCATCCGGCCCATGATCACCAACTATAAGGGGCACAGGCTCTTTCCTGACCTCCTTGGAGGATTTCACCCACCCTCCAACCACAACTCTCTCACCAGCCAATTCTAGGTCACCATCCCTTCTCTCCAATATGGTTTTCAAGAGAACCCGGTTCGAGTACTTGAAAGTGGTCAATTGGGTTGAGACAGTAGCTGCCATTGCTTGTTCAGATTCCATTTTCAGAGAAAGAAAGATTGAGAGCTAAAAGAATGAAATGGTTATTGGGTTGGAGAGCTGAAATGAGATTAGAATGGTGAAGATGGGATTTGGACATGGTTGTTGGAGGTGATATAAGAGAAGAGGTTTGGATGCTTTGCTTGGGAGGGTCATGAGTCTGAGGTTTTGAGTTTAGGAGAGGTTGGCATGAAGGAAAGGGATTGTCTCTCAGATTTGAATTGTGCAGGTTTTTTTAGATTGCAGAGAGAGGCAGAGAGGTGTGGGAGGCAAGGTATGGTATTCTTCAAAGTTGGGCATTCGCGGGAATTCTCAAACTTGCTATAACCGACTTTAACCGTTTTCCAAATTTTTGGTCACTTGTTAAAAGGAAACCTTAGTTGAAAGGAACATTTGTTTACTAATTTTCTTAAGACAACCAAAGATTGTATCTACGTCCAAAATAATTGAAGGTCTAATTTTCAAAACTTACACAATATAGATTAGTGACAGTCGTTTATCATGCAATGTTGATGTAGCGAGTGTTGAAGAATGCACACAGTCACACATCAAAAACTTAACAAAATAGAAAGTCCCATATAATAAACAGCTCCACTCTTAATAACATCAAGGCATTTTGTATAAAACCCCACACTTGCAAAACAAGTGGTTAAGTTGGGGACAACATCGATGTTGCTAGTAGTAGGTCAAGGGTCCGTCCCTCTAAAATCTTAACATAGTATCAAAGCAGGCCGGTTGACTTGGTCCTATTAAACTCAAATCAAACAAAACCCCAAATTGAACCAAAATCAAACAAACCCCAAATTTTTAATATTTTTTTTATTTAAAAATGACTTATGTGGAATTGATTACACGTGTGACCCATTAAAAGGTGGTCCCACATGAGGAGGAATATTGAAAAATACACACGTGAGGAGAAGTACTACTAAAAAGTGGCCTTTTGTATAAAACCCTACACCTACTAAACAGGTGATTAAGTTAAAAACAATATCGATATTGCTAGTAGTGAGCTAAGAGTCTGTCCTTTTGAAATCTTAACAGTGAGCCTAAAAGTAAATCGTATATACATCAATAGTGGATAACTGTCAACAGCTGACAACATTTCTCTAATGAAGAGTATGGGTGCCTCGTGCCAACGCAAATCTCGAAGTATACATAATAGGACTTCTGCCAGCACACGAAAAAAAAAAAAAAAAAAAAAAAAAAAAAAAAAAAAAAAAAAAAAGAATGCTGCTTCTAAAATGTGCATTTATACTAGTGGGGAAAAAGTTTTATGCAAGAAGCAAATCTAGAAACACCATTTCCCAAGTCTGTAACTTTTTGTTTCAAAATTGGTTCTTTGAGAATTGTACATTCAGTCAACATGTTTTATTTTACTTTCTTGTTGGGAAAATTCTGGTTGCTTCTGTGCCTTGGGGTCCAATAAAAAAAGAAAGAAAAAAGAGACCTGGTAAATTCTGATATGTGTAAACCACATGATTGGTATTAGGGTCCAGAGACAATACTGTGGGGTAAGATTTTTGCCACCACGCTTCTAAAGACAAACAAATGATTTGCCAACTGAAAATCCCCCTTTTACCCTTGAAAATATAGTGTTTGATTATCATAATTTATGGGCATCTTGGTCATTCTACAAAAGATTCCCTTATATAGGGACCAAATCTTAGGTGTGTCTCCTCTGAGTCTCTGAGTCAGTGCTGCAGCCTATCACTTGTAGTAGCTGAGTAGCTTAGCTGCTTTCGAAACCTCTCCCTCTCCTTCCTCTCTCTCTTATCCTTCTAATATATTGACCACAAATATTTCATCTCTCCAATTCAAAGTTATTCCAAAACCAAAGGAAAAAAAGAGAGAGGAAGAAATGGCCAAATCTACAACAAGACCTAAATTACTCTTACTATTCTTCACATTAATCTTTGCAGCATATGTTTTACAAGGTTAACCATTGCTAGCTCTTTCCTTCTTACCCTTTTCTTTCTTTAAATCTTCCACATCTACACACACACACACACACGCATTTCTTCTTAGCTCTAATCTTTCATTATATGCACTTTTTTTTACCAAATTTTGCTGTCTTTTGAAAAGTATATATGTTGCATATGTCTCTCTCACTGTTGGGTATTTTCCAAATCTGTTTGGATTCAAATGGGAGCCAATTGTCTAAAATTTTCTTCCCTTTTCTTTTCTTTTCTTTCTTTTCTCCCAACCACCAAATCACCAAGCACTGATAGAGCATTATGTATGCCAACTTGCCAAGTTTGTTTTGAAAATGGCAGCATTTTGATTCTATGTTAATTTTTGCTGCAGGATCCAGAACCCAAGTAGCAGCACTTCCACACCAGCAAAGGGTCTATGATTCTTCTCCACCACAAGAAGAACAACAACTTAAGCAGGTGAAGAATTTATTGACAAGCATATGCAAATTAACATTTTTCTGCAATTCTGCTGATAATTGCTTATCGTTTTGAGGGTATAGAGCAGGAAGGAAACCATGAACTACGCAAGGAGATTGATGATTGGATCCACAGCACCAACATGCACTTTTAATGAGTGCAGAGGGTGCAAGTTCAAGTGCAGAGCAGAGCAAGTGCCAGTGGAGGGAAACGACCCAATTAATAGTGCCTACCACTACAGATGTGTGTGCCATAGGTAAAAATAAAAAATAAAAAAATTATCTGATAGAGATAATTTCATCATCATCACATTGTGAGTTTGAGAGTCCCATTTTTGCTGGTATGGCCAGAATTAAGTTAGTGGGGGGAGGAGGGTGTCTTATTTGGATGTTGTAGTGTATGCTCTGAATTTTTCAATGATGAAAAGGCTCATGAATTTTTGTTAACCTTCTTCCTTCTTCCTCCTTCTGTTTTTTTTTTTTGGGTGGCATTGTATTTCTGTTTCTCTTTGTGTTAAGCTGCCATACTCAGAACTCTGAAGTACTACTCAAGCAACGACCCAATAATATCCAGGAAGAGACAAGGAATATAGTTGTTCATTTCTTTCTATTTTCTGGTTCATGTTTTGTTTGTATTTCCCATATGTTGATGCTACATGGTAACTTGCCATTTTATATATCATTAAACCTTCCAACTTTATATTCTCCCCCACTGTGGGATTCTAGGCAAAAGAGTCTTAGTTTCACGAGTTTTTAACGTTAATGGTAGAGCACTTATCTGATATTAAATTTGAGCAAGAATTCAATTTTCGTCCCCATATACCCAAGAATCAGATTGCAGTCCAAGGGGGTAAAATTAGTGTACATGGTAAATTCCTTTTAAAATTTTACTTGGCAAATACAATCAACAAAGAGAGCCTAAATCCTTGTTTCTTTTATCACAAATAGTTTATTAGATTTGCGAAATTATCATTTTTGGTCATTTATGTATTTTTCTGATATTATTAGTCCTTTATGTTACACCTCACACATTAATTTTGTCATGTCTTGAAGTTCCGTCAAATTTGATGTTAAATTGCTGACGTGACATGTATGTGGTGCCCGTATATCCAATGAGATAACGACATGTGAATCTAAATAAAATAATTTAAAATTGTTTAACATTTAAAATAAAAAATAAAAAATATAAAAAACTCATGCTCCCCCTACTTCCCCTTTTGCCTCCCTCCGCTCCCCCTTTTCCCCTCTCTCTCTCTCTCTCTCTCTCTCTCTCCAGACCACCCCAAGACCAACGTTACGCCATCATACAACTACTTCCCATCCCCACCCGAGATCTACCCCCAACCCCAACCGAGACCCATCCCCATTTCCTACCCATAGTATTCTTTTTTTGTTTTCTAATAATTTTTTAAATTTTAAAAACATTGTTTAATCCATGTGGCATTCATGTCAGCAATCTAACAGAAATTTTTGACTGAATCTAACGGCATGATCAAATTGATGTGTGAGATGTAACATAAAATACCAATAATGTCAACAACAACAAAAATAAATAAATAACCAAACGTGTTAATTTTGTAAACCTTAGAAATCATTTGTGATAAAAAATCTTTTTTTAATTTTATTATTATTTATTTATACGGGTTTTGAGTTTTGGGCATTGAAAGGCAGGAGAGGCTGTCTGCAAATATACATATGTTAAATGAAAGTGGTCCTAAAATTGGGGCAAAAGTCATGAAAGGTTCACATGGGAAATCTGTTAGTATCCTTTTCAACTGCACAAAATAACAAAACCGGATTCAATAATAAGGCACGAGATGCTAAAGGGGCTTGGAGGACCCATTTTGCTCTGTGTACTACACAAGCATATATGCTTTGCCTTGATGATTTGATGCACTTGTTGTCCTTCTTGCTGTTGTTATTACTGCACCAGTTTCTTCTTTTGGGCTATTTTTCCACCAACTGCCCGTTTTGGGTGATTCTCGGCTGCCTCGGCAAATATTGCATGCACATCAATGAATGAATCTTTATTTACCACTGATATTGATCTCACATTCAGTATCGTCACATCTTTTACTTTTCTTTGTCCAATATCCTCTAAAATTTTAAAATTACTTTTCTTTCACTGTTTCGCAACAACATTCAATTCGAACTATCGGAAGAGGTTTCAAATTCAAATGCACCTCTGTTTTGAACCAAAAAGAAAACATCTTTCTGCCGTGCACATTTTAATTGAAGATGAAAATTTAAAGAAATCTAGACCCAATGCATGCATGGTAATAGAGTATGAAAGGAAATATAGAGAGGAGAAAAGACTCTTTTTGGACAAAGTGATATTCTAATTGTTCTAATGTACAAAGAGAGAAGAGGGATCGAATTCGGGTGCAATGCGCAATGAGAAGCACAACACAAGGTATTCATTTGTGAGTATAAAGTAAGAGTTTAAATTTTCATGTGGGCCTGGCCAAATAGTGAATCACTTTCAGCTTTGGGCAAGCATATAGATTGGAGCTTGGCTCTTTTCTTTACAACGCAAGTGATTGGGCTAGATAAGAGTCGAAAGTCTGCAAAACCCTACCTCCCAAATTCCCAATACCAGCCCAAACAAGATAGTTGTATTATTTGATTGATCATTAGGACAAATCGTGCTATGTTGACAGTCAATCAACGACTAATCGTCCAAAGCGAGCTCAACATTCCTTCTTGTAGGACAACTTTTGTTATTGGAAGAAGTTATAATGATATGTCTAGTGATTATCAACATATGATTGCCCTCTTGTTTGTATTTTAGTTCATCGAGTTGTGCATAAGAGGGGCTACCTACTTGAAGAACGTGTCAAGGCCAAGGCAGTCTAAAAAGGGAAAATTATTATTTTCACTTAAACAAATCAATTTTAGGTGCATAATCATGAGTACCCTTCGTACCAGAGAGAAATTCTGTTACGCCGAATGCAATGTTCTTTCTTTCTATCTCTCTCCTCATGTGATTACCGACAATACTCACTTGTGACATGCGAGTTTCTATCTATTTCTCTCCTCATGTGATTACCGACAATAATTACCCGTGACAGGCGGGCGTTTCTCCTCAACACCGTTCTAGTACCACTACTGTGGTTTCACAAGTACCGACCCAAACTCTGTGGGAGTCAAAGTCTCCCAGATTTGGATTTGATACCACGCTTTAACTGCTAACTTGTTATAAAGCGAAAATCAGCCACACATTCCAATCCCAATACCAGTCTTTGAAAACTTTGATGATGATGATGATGTTAATTCGTTTGCTTTCGGTATATTTGATGGTGACGGTGACCCAAAAGTTTTATATTTTCCCTAAAGGTATATGACAATGACTAAAAGGGCAAGGTTTTGTGAAAAAGCCAGAGACCAGTGATTAATTTGTCAAAGGGCTCACAGTTTTGAGGCATTTTCTTCCATGAACATGTGAATCCTTATCTCTCCATAGATTCTTTTTAATCTGGTCCATTCCGTATCTCTGCATATTCAAATCTAACATGAATGCATGATTGATAATTGTGTTGGGATATAAGTCTATATTTGACTCTTTTTTTTTAGTGTTTATATGAATCATGCTGGCAAATATTTTTGAATTCTGATCTCTACTAGATCCTACTCATCCAGGAAGAAGCTTCCACCAGGAAATCATGAAAATAAACGAATTGGGTTGACTGTCGGAAAATAAAAACCGATAATCAAATTTAAACTCGTCATTTTTTCTTCATTAGATTGTTTTACCACTCTACACTATCACATGAAAATAAACAACCTAGCAATAGTTTTTCTTCTTCTTCTATCCACTCTCTTACTTTTCTTACCGACTATATTGTCTAGAAAAGAACAAGATAATTTCTCAATAATATGGGATTAACTGTTGTATTATATATAATATATCTCTCTATCATAATGATTTCATTTCCAAGGTGACCAATGTATTAGCAACATAGAAAAAGTATCATTGGTTTGGTAATAGTTTGCTTTGGGCCTTTAGTCAACTTCTTCTTTTGGTCAACTTTGTTACCCCAAAAAACGATAATCATTGTCTTAGGGAGGGGTGTTTAATTAGCATGCCTAATACGCATGGATTAATTGATTAATGACCCCAAAAATACAGAGAGAAAGGCACACATATATTTATGGTGGGAATGGAAATGAAAAAGATTATATATATATATATATTTTGTTTGATACAATATTATATTAATTACATGCATGCCATTAGACACTGCAAATTAAAAGTGTGACAAGGTCTTCGAGAGTCGGAGAAAATGACACTTTGGATAGCTAGAGGAAGAATCATATATGACATTATTATATATAGTCTCGTTGGAAACGCGATTCTATTTTTTTTATTATCTTCTAACCTATACATATAAACTATTGCATATCAAACAAAACTTCGTAGGAATATTACACATATAATATGTTGTAGGGTTTATAAATTCTTAAAGAAAAACTTGAATTGAATAAACAATCTAAAGCAAAGATTCAGTTGCGACTAAATAAGATCTGCACTTTGTTCTCTATCACTAGAATGATTATACCTTTGGACGAAGAATGAAGTATTTACATCTTGTAATATCACATTAATAAGACTTCTGATTTTACCGTTACACACAATAATTCTATGCATCATTCCATGTATTGGCATAAGTTCACAAACATTCAAACCCTGAGCATGTCTTACGTCTTCATCAAAGTCAAGTTTGGGAGATTCGTCTTCTATTCTTTTCTTTCACATGCCTTTCTTTTTTCAGTCTCATCACAATTGTCTTGTGAAGTCACCAAATCATGCTAGTTTGGTGTGTTTACATCATGCCATTGATGTTAGTTTTGGCCATGTATTACAGGTTCATGAGTTGATGGTTAGGTATTTAAACGAGAGATCGATAGTGTATATTGCGTGTGGGCATGTGACACTAACTTTTATCGTTGGCCCATTAGTAAGTCTCACATACATTAATTTTGAAAATACATTTGAGTATTGTAGTACAAAAGGCATTATAATTTGAATAAAAAATGTGTTAATCACGCACGATGAACACTTGCATAGTTTGTCATAGGGGTAGGTACGGTCTAGTTCACACTACAAATTAGAACTATAATTATTCATCTGGTATGGTTCGGTCCAATTTTGATGAAAAAATCATGCAGTTTGATTTGCCTATAAGTCGGTTCGGTTTCTGATTTTTTATTGGAAATGTTTTTTGAGTGAATAATTATTTTTTACATACCCACTAAAATTTATTTTTGGACTTAAAATCACAAATGGCCCAATTCATGCAAAATGAGGTGATTGAGCCTAGAAAAGGTGATTTGGAATTGGGCTTGGGAAAAGATTAGTTATGGGTTTAGAAATTTAGCATTAAGGTTAAATATTTTATTAAAAAAATTAAAAAATACATGCCCGGTCCAATTTTTTTGCTACAAGAATTGGAACCGAATCAGACCAAAACCGATCCAATCCAATTTTTGGTCAACTCAGTCCGATTTTTAGTCAACCCAATTTTTCTTTTTTCTTTTAGTTTAATTCGACTCGGTTTTCGATTTAAATGCCCGGACCTAGTTTGCCATGTCATAGGATCGTAGCTTTATAAAGCTTGGGGAAGAAAAAGAAAATTGGACATGAACGTGATTTTCATGATAAGTTTGTAGTGCTTGCTTACCGAATTGACTGGAACTCCTAATGGTGACATGGCAGGCTCAAATGTCTCGTGATGTCGCTAACACTTGGACAGGATGGTGAGAGGACGAGCCAAGTTTCTAGGAGAAAAAAGGAAACTATATAATAATTAAAACCAGGCGAGAATCATGAGAATTATTTAATATAATTTAAAGTTGAAATATATATATATATATATTTTAAATTCAAACTGAGAATTGGTTGTATGTCTAAATCCCAAATTAATTTTCCCTATCTAACGCACGTAACACCCAATCTTTTGCATCAATCAGAAATAAAAAAGACTCAAATTTTCTTATCATGAATTCTATTATATTAGAAAATGCCCTGAGGCCCTGACCAAGAGTAATTGCACACAGCACAGCCTTTTCTGGTCTTTGGGCCTAAGGTCTTAGCTGTCTCTCACCTCGTTCTTATCCCTCTTGCCCCTCCTCCTCCTCTTTAAATTGGTTCTCTTGCTTTGTCACTCTCAAGAGATCTCTTTGTTTGTCTGGTTAAGAGAGAGAGAGAGAGAGAGAGCACTAGAAAATGGACTGGGTTTGCAGAAGGTGAAAGCGTTACTCTTGATCTTCTCAAGAAGAAAATGGCGGAGTTTGCCAAAGAAAGAGACTGGGATCAGTTCCACAGCCCCAGAAACCTTCTCTTAGCTCTGGTTTGTTCATCTTTCAAAACCCATAAACATGTCTTCTTGTCTTCTCTCATGTCATTTTGTGTTTGGCCTTTACTGTTTGATAGGCGTTTTTCTTTATTAATAATTTGTGTGATCCATGAAATAGGGAAGATCCAAATAAATTTTTTAGATTCTGTGCTATTCCCATATTTTCTTTCACTTTCATCATGGGCTTGTGAAGATTTGACCGAAATAAACATAGCTGACTCACTCCAGCTGGATTGTTAAACAAATGGGTTTGCATGCGCTGCAAGTGGGCTTCTTATTTTTGTATGTTTTCAATTCTTTTTAACCTTCTTCTTATTAAAACCCAAGTTAAGATTTTAAAGTTTTTAACTTTTGGCCTGAGTATTAGTGAATCATGTTTAACCAGAGGTCAAACTTGACTTGCTTTGCAAACAGATGTTCCTTTTTGTTTTTGTCATGGTATTGAGGCAAATGTCTTAGCAGCCCGCATTTCTGTGTTTTCTTGCCCCCTTGTGCCTTTTTTGTGCTTTTTAAATTGTTGTCATTCGCAGAAAGTTAAAACAATCAGAAAGCTAAATTTTTTTTGTTCATGTTGAGTTGATGTAATAAAGTTCTGGCCTTTCTGATGAAATCTCAGGTGGGTGAAGTTGGAGAGCTATCTGAGATATTCCAATGGAAAGGGGAGGTTCCAAAGGGACTCCCTGACTGGAAAGAGGAGGAGAAAGAACACCTGGGGGAAGAGCTTTCTGATGTTCTGCTTTATTTGGTCAGGCTTTCTGACATCTGTGGTGTTGATCTTGGCAAAGCTGCTCTTCGCAGGTTGGTCTCAATGCCATCAAGTACCCTGTTAAACAGAGCCAAATGAATATCACAAGCAACAACACCATCAACAGTGATGAAAATGCACAGAGGGTTTAACTTTCTTTAGTTGGAAACACCCACCACCACGGGTTTTTCTTTGCTGAACTGTTAATACTATATTGGGTGTTTATGGGATATGTGGCTTGGGCCTTAGGATAGGAGCTTTTTAGGTATGGTTTTCATTTCACGAGTCAGAGACTAGTAATGGTGTGGGCAATTGATTCTCAGAGATTTCTTACTGTTCTGGCTTCTGAATCAAATCCGTCTGACAGTTGTGAGATATGGTGTGATTCTATAATAATATTATTTTCCCTGTTTCTTCATAGATATTTGTGACCTGCCTTTTTATCCATTGTGTACTGGTTTTACTTTCCAAGGGTCACCATGATCTGGTATGAATTTGAAAATACTTGACTGAAACAATTTATGCAGAATCTGCATGAACCGAACTGAATATTTGAACTGGTCAATCGACAGTGTTTACCAACTGCACTTCACTTTCGTCTAGTGGTGTTTGTCTCCACTTGGCTCATTCATTTTAGTCTAGTGGCGGTGTTTGTCTCTATCATTGTAGTTTATTGTTAGGTAAGTTGCTAAAATTCTATTGTTCGTAAAGAAAAAATCATATCACTTGGTATGGTATCTTATCAACAACTTGTTGATAAGATTATGAGTTGTCATGGTTGTGATTAAATTCCACAACATTAATAGATTCGTATGTAAATCATTAATTGCGTGATTGTGATTCTTGTTTGAACTTGTGATTCAAATTAATTATTTGATACATAAATCTCAAGCATATGTACTTAAATCTGTTGTGACTGTAATTAATTTCAATCAAAACTGCATATTTGCTTGATAATACGTTTCGAATTGACATGAGACTCTGATTAGCATGGTGGCTTAGGTAAGCAGGCAATCATAGCACACAGTGGCACTGTCCAGCTGGGTCCTATAGCCTTGCTTGGCAAAACCAGTAACATTTAAATTCTTGTATCTCCCTGCTTTCTTATATTGAAAAAAATACCACAAAGTCGTGTAGTGCCTAAACAATGTAAGTTACGTATCAACTTTTCAGGAAGAAAGAAAATTTTGGATAGAAAGTGTCGGATTAAAGTCATAAACAGTGGGACTAATGCACGTAAACTTATCCCATCACAGACTCGATATATCTTGGATAACCTAATGTTCAAAAAGTAAAGGGAAGCTTTTTCCATGCACTGAGAATACTACTAAGAGCTTCTCCAATCGTACTTCCTATTTTTAAGTTAAATTCTAGCTAAAAGCACACGAAAGTTAGTTTAGGAGTTCTCTATAAAAACAATCATACTCTCTAGTTTAGGGAGTTATAAATACTATAATTCTTTTTTAGTTCAATATAATAGTCATCTTTATTTAAAAAAAAATATATAAAAAAATGGTTAACATCGATTAGAAGTTTAAAATACACATAAAATAAAGCAGCATTAAATTATAGGGAGTCATTAGAAGTCTTTATTTTCTTTTCATATTTAAGTCTCCCTATTTTAAGAGGTGGATAGGGAGCATGATTAGAGTTGTATTTTCCAATTCTTCCTTAAAATTTGTCTAAGAGATGGTTTAGGGAGTTCATTGTGAATGCTCTAAGTTCGATCGTCCACACCCAAGTGGGGTGACATCCAATCAGGGGTGTGGACATCCAGTCACCAATACCCAACTTCTTGCTACATCAACGATTGAAGTCAATCATGGTCGGTAAGTGGACTAATCCAAGCACATTTCATGTGAAAAAAGAAAAAAAAAGAGAGAAGGAAAACATTAGAGGATATATAGACATGCGCTAAAGCTGTCTGCAAAAGGGCAAATAATATGCATGTTTGTGGGACCAAAGCTTATAACATACCAAAAAAGCTTGACTATGTGAAAGAGGCAGCTCAACAAAAGTGAAGGTAACTTAACATAAGATTTTAATGCAGGATAAGTTAGGTGTGCATAATTGTACGCATAAAACCATTGGCACCTATCCTTTCCCCTTTGCTGAATAGTGTGTGACCACAATCACCCATTTGTCTATAGTGGGGGTATTTTGAGATGTTCGTATTGAGCACATGAAAAAGAAAAAGAAAGAAAGGATCTCCGAGTTTGTATTGAGATGATTTTTTTTATTTTGGGGTATGTATCTCGCAGCAATGAATCACGTAATCAGTACATGATGAGAGTCAAATATAAGAGCGTATTATTCAACAACTATATATGAGAAAAAATTGACTGCAATAAGTGTATACACCTCAGAATATGAGAAAAACTTGTATACCACAAGAATAGATAACTTTGTTTTGCTATCATCAATAACGAAATCAATCATGTTCCACTATTCGTAATAAGAATTTTATTTGACGTAGCGTGATTGGATGAAAATAGCAAAATAATGCTATTTTAAACCCGTCACATGTAAATTTTTCTCCAGAAATAGGTAAGTTTTTCCTCGATTCGTGTACAAGATTTGGTTGAGATGGTCAAATTCAGTTGCCCCCTATCTGATTGTCAACAACTCATTGCCAGCCCTTGAAAGACGTCATGCGACTGACGTCAATATATAACTTGCTATAAGTTTTTAGGCAATATGTGTAACACGAGTGAAGTTGGTTGCAAGTAAACTGGTTAATTAAAATTTAACTGTGGTAGTAGTTGTAAATAAATCAACACAGCTTGTAGTATTCTCTCAAGTCTAAAAACTGGGAGGTTTCAAACTTCATGTTCTTCTTTTCATCTTTTAGGTCTTGCCAATAGTGTCAAATGGGCTGTTTCCTCCCTAGTTATCCCTCTCAGCTCAAAATTATTTGGATTGGGCTTTGAAGACTTGAGAGTTGTGGATAACTTGTTGTAGAGAACGACCATGGGCTTGTGTAATTAGACCTGACAAAATCATATACGACATGATCAGGTACGTAATGTGCAAACAAAATTATTAACAAGTTATGTTAGTGTAGTGTTTTTTTTTTATGAAACACGATAATAACTTGTTATATTATTGTATTTGATATCATTTGGTAAACATTTTATATCTTGGAATTTTGTTGAACAAAAAATAGAACAGAAAGGTAAACGGATGAATACGTGACACGAAAGATTTATGAATGAATTCAAGATTATATATTTCGACACGATAAGTTAAGGGTGGAATTTGAATTTAGGATAATTTTATACTGCAAGAAACTAACAGGACAAATTACCAAATCTATATGCATGCCCCACTCTCCTCTCTCGCTCGAAATTAAGGTGTTGGTAGACTATGATCAGGCGCATGCAGCATAAAACTAATGAAAGCTACCACCTATTGTAATCCAATCATATCCCTATATTTTAAATGGTTTTTCTTTCTAAACCAAATCATGGCGTAATGTTCCGTAAAAAGATGTTTATCACTCGAAAGTTCTATGGACATTTCAAACTTTCGATCCCATCCGGACACAGTAACAAGTCTCACTTACATGTTCTTTTAAACTGATTGTCTTTTGAAATAAAGAAAGTGTTCTTCTAATCATGGCGGCTATGGCACCGTAGGAGTGCTCGCGACGACGTTTTGAAGAGTTAGGATTAGGAATTTTGTGTTTGGTCGAATAGATTTGGGGATTTTACAATAAGGTATGTCAACGATATCCTTCAATATTTTATATATATATATATATATAATATATATATATTCGAATATTTTAAAGGTATAGCCGGCCGGCTATACTCTTTGAAATATTTCAAATATTTTAATCGTATAGCCAAGCGGCTATACTATACGGATCTATACTCTTCAAACATACTCGAATGTTTTAAAGAGATACATTGACCTCAACCTTGAAGTCTCTTAGGATAATATCTTTTGCGTTTTCAGCCCTTTCGTAATCAAGACAATTCAATTTATCCTCACATGCAAATGTTCATAAAGATAAGATCTCTCAAATCTAATTGGATGCATGAATCTCTTCCTATCTTTCCAGTTTTGTCTGAGTGTAAAATATCTGCTATCCTTGATGCATATATCTCCTGATTATCCTCTAATAATTCTTTCTTTCTTCTAAGTTTAGATACAATGCCGCATAAACAAAAACCTGCCCAATGCCAAGAATGAAGACGTAGGCAAAATTGAAACCATGGCCACAGATTCTGTTGCTTTCAAACGACCCGAAACAAAACAGTAGAGATAAAAACTGAAGGTGCACACACACTTGTTCCGGGACTAGTATTGACAGCACAATGGATGCAAACTTTTCCATCTTGAAATCCTACTTCCGAAGTCATACTATCATCCTATCTTTCAACTCTGATTCAGGTGGTGATATCAAAGAGGCAAGATTATCCAATTCATCTTACCATTGTTGAGCAACACCAACCTGCGAACTCCAAAGAGCTGAACTCCTAAGATACTAAAAGCATGGAGTAGAAAATTTTGTACTGTCTGTAGGATAATGAAACTTAATCTGGCAAAAAAATGAGCTCTGCCGGTAGGAACCTCCTCTGAAGACCCTCGTACATCCTCTATGCCCGACGCTTCCGTAGCGGATCCTCTTGCCTGAAGCCATATACAACCTTGTTGTAACTCAGTATCCACAGGGACATCTACATTTAACCGCATGCTAACTCTGCCTGTTACACAGGCAACAAAACTCCAGGATCAAAGAGGCACCCAAAACAGCTTACTCTACATGAGAACTAATGTCGGGAAAGGAATTAGCAACGACTGGCAGACATTGTTTATCTGCATGATTGGCAAAATCTTTTTTTTTCTCTCTGGGTCCAGCATGTTGACTTGACGCCAATAATAAGATGCGTGGAACCTAAGACAAACAACTAACATTCCATCAATCTCTCCCTGATGTCCACCAGCACTGTTAAATCAGCAAAAAAATGAAGAAAGACATGGAGTTCGTGAGAAAGCAATTCAGCCATTCATTGTCACATAATCAGAACATGGAAAGTATAAAAGAAGATTGGAATTATAAGGAAGCTAGTTAGCAATGCATATTTTTGTCTTTAAAAACATACACAACATAAAAAATTTCAAAAGCACACACACCCACCCACACATTTGAAAAGGAAGAAGAGATGAGCCGTAGATCCTGGATCGAACGGCTGAGAGAAGCTGCTTTGTGATCCAGTCTACGTCTGCTGACCTGCTAGCAATCCAGCCATTTTACTCTCTCTCTCTCTCTCTCTCTCTCTCTGAATTGCAGTGTTGCGGTTTCAGAATTCGAACCCGAAACGAAGCGCCAAATGGGTTTACCAAGATGAGAAAAATCAACTCTCTCCTCAGTTATCAAGTGGACCCCACCCTTCTTTTGCATTGACCAAAATTTCTCCTCTCATTTAGCCAACAGACAAATGCGAAAAGCATAAATCAAGCCGCAAATCATAAAACAATGCGATTTACAACAAACTATTCCCGGTATTTTCTCGACAGCCACACACCAACGAAAAAGTCCGAAATCTTTGGTACCTTGGACGAAGGAATCAGCCTTTCTGAGTAAAGAAATTAGGAAGACGAAGAAAAATTCTCTCCTTCATTAGTGAGGAATATACAAAGATTACAAAACTAGGAAACAAATCTCTAGTTATAACAGGACTAACCAAAAAGAGGAAAGTAAAAATACAGCAGAGAAAATTTCAATTCGTAGAGAAACAAACAAGAGAAAAAAAAAACTTGCACAACTTGGAACATCTTGAAAAAACCTATAAATATGAGGCCAATTTTAGAGAGACTTCACCATCACAACAAGGTGCAATGGCAACCAACCTCACTTCTCTTTCACTTTTGCTCTCATCCTCTGTGTTTCAGCTCTTTCACTAATTCCACACACCACCTCATTATCATCCTCATTCCAATTCCCTCCAACCCAATCCACAATCCTCCCTGACCCTTCAAGCTTCTTCTCTGCAAACCTCCTCTCCACCCCTCTCCCCACCAATTCTTTTTTCAGAACTTTGCTCTCAACAATGGTGACAAACCAGAGTACTTCCACCCCTACAGCATCAACTCATCCTCCTCCTCTCTATCTATCTCCTACCCATCTCTCTCCTCCACCTCTGCTTTCATCTCCCAAACCTTTGTCCCTGACCTCACCATCTCCGCCTCCCAAACCAGCGCCAACTTAGCTACAGCAAATAACAGCGGCCGTGTAGTCTCTGCCTTCACTGATCTCAGTGTCACCTTGGACTTTCCCTCCTCCAACCTTCGTTTCTTCCTCGCTCGAGGAAGCCCCTATGTCACCTGCAATGTGTCTAGCCCCCACTGCGGTTTCTATCTCAACCATTCACGCAATCCTCGAATCCTATTCGAGCAACTCAAAGACCAAGTTCACCGTCCAGCTTAACAACAATCAAACATGGGTTATGTACACCTCCTCTCCAGCTGATTTGACAAGAAGCAGCCCATCAACCTTAACTTTTGATGGCTATTCTGGGAATATTCGGATTGCATTGGTGCCGGGTTCTGATCTAAAATACGTGGCAATCCTTGACCGGTTTAGTTCTGCTTACCCCGTTTCTGGTGAAGCTGTGTTCACAAAGCCATTCACTCTGGAATATAAATGGGAAAAGTATGGACGGGGAGATTTGCTTATGCTAGCTCATCCTCTCCATCTTCAGCTTCTGTCTAATGCTACTGTTTTGGAGGATTTCAAGTACAAGAGTATTGATGGCGATCTGGTTGGCATCGTTGGCGATTTGTGGGAGTTGAAATCTCATAATTTATCAGTCACTTGGCATTCAATCGGAGGTATCAAACAAGCCTCATACCCTGAAATTGTTTCTGCGCTTCGTAGTGATGTTAAGGCTCTTAGTTCGACACCAATAAAAACTGAATCGTCATACTTTTATGGGAAATTGGTTGCCAGAGCAGCAAGGTTGGCTTTGATTGCTGAGGAGGTGGATTGTCTTGATGTGGTTCCAGCAATTAGGAAATACTTGGCGGACGCCATTGAGCCATGGTTGGATGGTACTTTAAGTGGGAATGGTTTTTTGTATGATCCTAAATGGGGTGGACTTGTCACCCAACAAGGATCAACCGATCGCGGTGCAGATTTTGGGTTTGGAGTTTATAATGATCACCATTATCATCTTGGATATTTTGTTTATGGTATTTCAGTGCTTGCAAAGATTGACCGTGCATGGGGGAGCAAGTACAAGCCTCAAGCTTACTCTCTTGCAGCAGATTTCATCAACATTGGCAACCAATCGAATTCAAACTATCCGCAGTTGAGATGCTTTGATCTGTACAAACTGCACTCATGGGCTGGAGGACTGACTGAATTTGGAGATGGAAGGAACCAAGAGAGCACAAGTGAGGCAGTGAATGCTTACTACTCAGCTGCATTGATGGGCTTGGCCTATGGAGACACCAATCTTTTCAATAGTGGATCAATGCTTACATCTCTGGAAATTCAAGCAGCTCAAATGTGGTGGCATGTAAGAGAAGGAGATACACTTTATGAGGAAAAGTTCACAAAGGAAAATAGGATTGTGGGAATTTTATGGGCAAACAAGAGAGACAGTGGACTTTGGTTTGCTCCTCCAGAGGCAAAAGAAATAAGGCTTGGAATTCAGTTGCTGCCCATATCCCCAGTCACTGAGATCTTGTTCTCTGATGATGGCTTTGCTAAGGAAATTGTGGAATGGGCATTGCCAGCCCTGAGTAGAGAAGGAGTTGAGGAAGGATGGAAGGGCTTTGTCTATGCCTTGCAAGGGATTTATGATAAGGATGGTGCTTCAGAGAAGATCAAGAGCTTGAAGGGTTTTGATGATGGAAACTCTCTCACTAATCTCCTATGGTGGATTCATAGTAGGAACTTAGGTTCACAGTAGGATCTTTGAGTTCATTTTCGTTGATTAGTTTTTAGGTTGTGTTTTTTCATTAATGTATTTTTTTAGTTGGTAGCATGCGTATTTAACAAATTCTTATGTATGCAACTTAACAAATCAATTAGAAGTTCAATTCATAACAATGGTCATGAACCATACTTCCACCCCTACCTAACTAAAATCACGGAAGAAATCAAACTAAACTAAACCAGACCACTCAAACTTGAGAAGAAAAATAGGAACAGCGAACAAATCTCTGTTTAAATAGTATAGCTAGCAACCCTGAATATTATGAGTTAAGCGATACATTGACATGGGGAGGAACCAATCTGACACACAAACAATGGAAGTCCAAACTTGAGCTTGAAGTTATTTCTATTTATGTTCATGCCTGATTTAAGCACTTCAGTAAATCATGAACATAAATTATGGCTAAGGACAAAAGTGGTAATCAGTATCTGAAAAGCACGCTAATCAGAATTGATATACATAAAGCACGCTAATCAGATGTAGAAAATCCTGATATTTGGAATACAAGACCATCAAATCAGAACGGGATTAGAATGTTGAATGGCCAATAACTGAGTTGTTCAAATATTTTGATCCAGTTGACGTATAACTTGATGCTTAATTATGCAAATTTACAAGAGCGGTCCACATGTGATGTAAATAAACTTTCATACATACACAGTCCAGAATCTTTCCGTTTCCATCAAATACAATAATCCGATGATGATTGCTGTCAGAAAGGAAGAGGCCGTTCCCCATTTTCATCTGCAGAGATACAGCCTGTAATGGAAAAGAATAAAAGAAACGCTTAAAGATTAGGTTCTTAGCAACTTTAGAAACACTTTCTTTATTTTTATATATTCTAGAAAGGATGTTACAAAACTCCTATAATGCTCTACAGGGCAAATGAAATTATAACGCAGCAAGTCGGTGATGCATAGGGAGCTTATCCCTGGGAAGTATAATAGTAAATTCCCATCATCTTGCACATACAAGTCCTCAACAACTGCACAGGGCATTAACATGTATCGTGGAATAAGTATATGTATTTAAATGTGTACATACATTAATATGCCCCACGTTAAAACTCATTGAATTGTATATATTCAGTCAACTGACATACTAAAAAACAATTAACAACAATAGAGGGGTAAGAGAAGCTTAACAGGCGAGTAGTTTATCATGTTACTAGAGATCATGATCTTTCTCCCACCAAGTGTAACCAAGAAGTAGCAGAAGGGGGGGAGGCAGAAGAATCAACAGAGATATAAGGCAACTACTGAAGTTTATGAAAAGAGCAAAGAGTAGTAATTTAGGCAGATTTAAAATCCAACACCATCAAATACTTAAAACAGATCCCCCCAACCAAAGTATGATGCTTTATCATAAAATAGAGAGGGAATTTATAACCATAACTACTAAATTAAACTTTAGGACATCTACCGCCAAAAAAATCAGCACGCTACATAGACACTTAGCAAACTGTAAGAGGAAGTCTGACTATACAGATCCCTTTGTCTCACAGCCACAGTTTCTGTTGTACATTGTTTCTTCAATATTATTATTTTTCTTTTTGCGGAGGGCCAGAGTGGGGAGGGGGTGTCTGATGATATTAAGTCATCAACACTTTTTTGTTCAAAATCTCATGATAATATTAAGTCATCAACACTTATTTGTTGAAACTGCCATGATAATATTAAGTCATCAACACTTATCAGATGAAGAAACGTATTCTTATCTCGAATAAACTTTTAACAAATCTATAGAGGGATAACATGTGTACGTTTTTTAAGAACTTCGAGGTCCATATCCTTCTCATGGTAAACCAGTGGACTCATAAAATCTTTAAACAAGATGTAGCATGCCCCATTTCCACAGCTAAGCATTTTTGTGAGAGTGAAAGTGCTACAATTCACAAATACCACAGGGTCAGAAAAATTACAGAAGTAATTTCATGCATTTGTGTGTAGTGTACAGAACACACTACATAAGCAAGAGAACATATAAATACCAGAATAGATTGTCAGAAGTTTCAGCTCATCTAAAGACGCGTGCAAAGAAAAAGCATAAGATATGAGGTCCTCAGGAAAAAACAAAAGGCTTATGAAATCAAAATTGTTACAGGATATGAAGAATTTTATTTAAAAACGAAAACAAAGAGTAAGCCAAAACTAGAGCCCTGAAACACCAGACCAGAACTAGAGATTCTATAAAGGAAAAGGATTCTTTTGATATAAAATCTCTGTCCCCATATATTTCACAAAAATAAAAACCAGATTTACGCAAGTTTCCCTCAAGAACCTTGTGGAGCAATATATTTCTTCTCAAGTATCAAACCATATATCCTCTACTTTCCGAAACTAGAACTTAGAGTTTGAAATACATCTCAGTTATACAAGAGCAAAGAATTACACCAAACATGGGAAAGCTTTTTAAAACACTAAATTAAGATACCAATATCACAGTGACTCGAAGCAATCTATCAATCAGAACCTGAAGGAACTAGGATGCTACTAACTAACTTGTAGACCTTGCAGCTTTTGGTGTTCTGGAAGCACTCACAACATACCATGTTATTCCGAACTACATACGTACGTCAAACCATTTATCCAACATTTTTGAAACTCCATGAAAATGTGAATCTTAACATATGCATGTCAAACATTTTGAAACCTATTAGCATGGGAATGTTTTCCTCAAGTGTGAACAAAAATGATAAAGGTGACAGTCTTTTAAATAGGGAACTTTCAAGGAGCCAAAACTAAGGAGGTTTATAACCCTAATTGAGGGAAGACAGCCTAAAGTGAAAGAACTAACACCACTAATCTTCGGACTAAATACATGCAACTGTATAGATGATAAATTAAATACACGTAAAATATAAAAATAATAGAGATCCCAATCTTCAAACTAATAGACCCCAGAGGTCATCTGAAAACTCACTTCTTGGTTTCATCAATTCAAACATTTTAAATTTAATTTTCTTTCATTAATTTCATGGGTCTGCCATTGCTGTGAGGAGTGTTACTGGGTAATCTTTCTTTAATTTCATGGTTCCAATAAAATATTGAATTTATATCACAGAAAACATAGCCAAATTAACAACAAGAAGAAGAAGGAAACCAAATCAAGACGAAATTCCATATTTGGAAAATAAAAATAAAAAGATGCGATCTTTTAAACCAGTTAGATATAATAGGCACAAATTTGAATGTTTAGAAGCTAGTATTTTACCTTCTTTTGGACAAATTGGGAGCAAGTTAGCGCATTTCCCCTCTTGTTACTCATCTGACAGAGGTGCCATGGTGGCGACGACGTTTTGAAGAGTTAGGGTTAGGGATTTTGTATTTCGTCGAATAGATTTGGGGATTTTGCAGGCCTGAATCGTCATTTCCTATCCTTCAATGTATATTGGAATATTTTAGACGTATCGCCGCGCGGCTATACTATTTAAATAATATATTTTGACAGTGCAGCCGTAAGGCTGTACTTTAAAAAATATATTTTATAAGTAAAGCCGTACGGCTATACGATTGGAATAATATATTTCACAAGTACCGCCGATCGGCTATACTTGTTAAATAATATACTTCACAAGTACCGCCGCCCGGCTATACTCTTTCCCCAAAAATGGTATAGCCGAACGGCTATACTATTTAAATAATATATTTTAACAGTACCTCCGCGCGGCTATACTATTTAAATATATTGTTTAACGAGTACAGTCGCTGCTATAAGCTTTCACAAAACAGGGTTGAATATTAGCATCTCTGAATCTTATGAGTTAAGCGATATATTTAGGATAATATCTTTTGCGTTTTAAGCCTTTTCGTGATCAAGGCAATCCAATTTTGTCATCACAGGTAGAGGTTTCATAATGACCAGATCTCTCAAATCTTTCTTTGTTTTTAATAAGAATTGGATGCATGAATCTCTTCCTATCTTTCCACTTTTCTCTGAATGTATAATATCTGCTATCCTTGTTGCATATATCTCCTGATTATCCTCTAATAATTCTTTCTTTCTTCTAAGTTTTAAATACAATGCCGCATAAACAATAACCTGCACAATTCCAAGAATGAAGATGTAAGGGCAAAATTGCAGGCCTGAAATCTGCCGAAGATAACTAGTTGGTCTCAATTGCAGGCCTAAAATCGTCATTTCTTGTCCTTCAATACGTGTTCGAATATTTCAAAAGTATAGCTGCTATGCTATACACTTTAAATATATTCTTGTTATGAAATTGCAGCACGTTATATTATTGTATTCGATAACATTTGGTAAACATTTTATATCTTGGAATTTTGTTGAACAAAAAATAGAGCAACGGGAAACGGGTGAATACATGAGACGGAAGATTTGTGACTGAATTCAAGTTTAAATATTCGGACACGATAAGTTAATGAGTCGAATTTGTATTTAGGATAATTTTATATTGCAAGAAACTAACAGGACAAATTACCAAATCTATATGCATGCCCCACTCTCCTCTCTCAGCTAGAAATTAAGGTGTTGGTAGACTATGATCAGGCGCGTGCAGCATAAAACTAAGGAAAGCTACCGCCTGTTGTAATCCAATCATGTCCCCATATTTTAAATGGTTTTTCTTTCTTAACCAAATCATGGCGTGTTTTTTCACCAAAAACAAATGATGGTTTTTTTTTCAAAATCTGTCATGTATAGAATGATCCAAGCTACATCCAATTTACCAACATCTTTCTTGATAAAAAGCTTCAAGACTTCGTTTTTAAAAAAATAATTCGAGAGAATTGAACGCAAAATGTATCCTAATTCTAACTCATGATCCGACCCGTCATGCTAACACCAAAGAGTTAAAACTAAGTTTTCATGTCACGCATCAAAGCAGATAGGAGCTAAAGTGTAGCATCTTCTATTTCAATAATCAACTCTCGTTAGTAAAGTTGCTTTTGAAAAATTCAAAAACTGAGTTGTAACTTGTAGAGGGTAAGATTTGTGTGCAATAATGTTCTGTAAAAAGATGTTTAATCACTCGAGCTTTCTATGGACATTTCAAACTTTCGATCCCATCTGCACACACAGTAACAAAGTCTCACCTACAAGTTCCTTTAAACTGATTGTCTTTTGAACATAAAGAAAAGTGTTCTTCTAATCATGCCTCCCACAACCCTAACTATATAATAGAATATAAAAAAATCATCCCTAGGGTACCACTTTATTCCACTCTAGCATCAGGCCATAAAAAATCATGATTGTGATAATTACTGCCATTATCACTATCATCATCAACACCAACAGTTCATCTTTAACACACTCTATATAAGTAATTAGGAGTGAGCATCACAAAACACTTAGCATAAATATATAATCACAACAGTAAGGGATGTTGAGGAGAGGTAGTATTGCCATATGTTTATCAAATTCAATCATGCTGGTTGGCTGGTGCCGGCCACGGAGGCGGCTGAGAAGGCGGAGAGGTAGCACGATATGGCTAGGAAATAAGCGACGCGGGTTCGGCCTAGGGTCACGGCCGGCGCTACAATGGGGGGCCGTGGTCAGCCCTATAAGGATGCTGAAGAAGATGTTCATGGAGATGGTACCTAATGAAAGGTGGATAGAAGCTTACAATTGGTCTCTGCCATTTTTACGTCCTCAAATATTTCCTCTTTGTTAGTTGCTGTCAACTGCAACTTCTTTTTCGCTTGTTTTTCATTTCTTCCTATTGAAATCTGTGAGGAGCGGCCAGCAACAGAAAGCCCCTCTTTATTGAAAAGACAGATTTCTTTGTTTATAATGAGTTACCATCGAAGAAAATCAAATCTTGGAAGTTGAATATTTGTGATATTGCCCAAGCTTTAAAATTGAAATCAGGCTTTGATATTTACCGAAAATCTAACAGAAGGGATCACCAAGATCTTTATGTTTACAAGAAACTAGTACAAATGGAGTGACCACCATATTTGACAAATATCCTAAATCTTGGATTTCAGTAAAATCAGATATTCTGATACACTACATATACAGAAGGGATAGCTATACTGCCTAGCCACAAAAAAAGGAAGGGGGGGGTAAGGAATCTGGCAGACTACAAGACCGTAGTTTGATTGCAAAACAGAAAACTTCATCTCTGTCTTCGTATGAATCAAAATTATCAACCCGTGTTCATATAAATGTGTGGCGTGTACTAAGGAAATCTGAAGTTCATGCAAACAAAACTAGCTTTTTCCGAAGTACGAAAATAGGGTAGGTTGCTTGTCAAGAGAACTCTTCGAGTTAACCTTCTTCTTTGCTGGGCTAGCAGATATCTCACTAGTTTCATAAGCAACTGGCTTAGAGTCAGCCAAAAACTCTTCATAGTCTCGCTTTGTTTGGCCCTTAGATGCACCCTCTTGAGATAATGTAGAGACACTACACTTTGAATCATTCTCACATTTTTCTGTAGAGGCTGGTGGTTCTGTTTTCTCTTTGCTTTCAGGTTCTTCCTTCACGCTTTTTGGCAAATCATTCTTCACAGATGAGTTGTAAAAACTTGTGTCCTTTGGGTTTAATTCTTCTTTTTTGGTTCCTTTCGACATGAAAAACTTTGTGATTGAATTATTCCCCTCTGTCTTCAGCTTTATCTGCAGAAAAATAATACAATCAGTAACTAGCTGTATTGTAATCTTTAGTAAGCAATCATGAACTTGACATATTTTTACCCGCTCAACCCCACCCTAGCTAAAGAAGGGAAATCCCAAATCCTCCGAAAACCTAATGAAAACAGAATTTGGTCCTACATATCTAAAGTGACAATCAAGACACATTACCAACCCATAAAAACTGGATATAATTAACAAAAAGTGACTCCATAGAAAGCATCATTTTGTTAATGGTATGGACCACTAAACCACGCAACACATGATGAGAGGGGAAACAAGTAAAAAAATGCCAGTCTCTAACAAGTTGTTACAACTTGGGTGGGGAATGTTACAGCAGGATTCCGTTATTAGGAAAGTTTTCCATGAGACCACATAGACACCTTTAACTTGTCACTTCCATAAAGTTTCCATCTCAAATGGAACACTAACTGAATCATTTCCTCTGATTCAAAGTTGCCAGTCAAAATTTCTCAGTTTACCCTGACATAGAGATCTTGGTGAAGATTATTGGGTTTAAATCCCTCCTATTGTCCAAATGATAAGCACGCACAAAACTGTCACACCTCATTGATGCACTCTGGTCCATCAAAAGACACCTTGCCCATTGCTGGTGTCACCGGGTACCATACCTGGTGATTAAAAATTTTAGCATCCAATAAATGTACTTTGAATGTTTCATACTCATCAATACTAAATAGTAAATGTTAGGCCTCTCATTTGTAAAGTTCAACAACCACTTACCAAATCTGGACCTTCATATGGTTTAAGTAATGAATCAAAATTGGAAGTTGAAGAACCACTTAGCCATGAGTCGGTAGATCCCTTGTCACCCAAAATAACAGGCATCCTGTCTGTAATGATAAATTAATACTACACAGCTTTGGCAAAGAGTGCCACAACAGGAACGCACAAATGAACTAGTGGGAGCAAGGGATTCCACTTAACACTCTTAACAAGTTTGTGGGGCCAAAGAAATGTAACTACAAAAGTACAAATTATCAAATAAACTGATAGAAAAGAAATTATAGATCAATAAAGTAATGCATAACCTATAGCAGTATCCAGACATATTACAGTATTAGAAAAGAAATTATAGATCAATAAAACTGAGCAGGACCCACCATGCAGCCACCCTAGAGCTGAAGATGAAGACGTTGTAATGATAGTGAAGGTGTAAAGTTTCTCGCCTGCAGGGTAACATGCAGTGGATATATCATTGCCTAGATATAAACAAGCTTCATTTCAACACATATTGATGAACAAATTTCAGATAAAATTAATTTTAATGAAATTTAATATCACCTAGACCAAAACAAATACAAACATAACAGCAAAACAAATTAACAGAAGTTTTGGTGGTGGGGAGGGGAGTTTACTAACAAAATGTTTGTCACTATCTACCTTCAGAGTTCTCCCAAGAATCATAAAGAGCAGCAAACAGAAGCGGTCGGCCGTCATTAAAGTGGACGTAGTAAGGCTGCTTTTTAGAACCATCTTTTTTCCATTCATAAAATCTGGCCAACGCCAAATAAATAATTTAAAATAAAATAAAATAAAATAAAATAAAAAACTTCAAGCATTGAATAGAAAGAATAAAAAGGAAAGATTCACAGAGTCCTCCAACAAGACAAAAATTGAAAAGATGTCAATCATTAATAGCACAAACATACCCTTCAACTGCAATGAGGCAGCGGTTTTTAGGAATTAGACGTCGAAAAGAGGCCTTTTCGCAAATGGACTCAGACCTAGCATTAAACTGCAATTTTTTTTTCAAACACAAATCACATCTCAACGCAATCCAAGCTTACTTATATGGAAAATCAAGATTGAAATTTTAAGAAAGACAACAAATTTAAACTACCATCACTGGAAAGCATCAACCAAAAATGTAACTGCTATTACCATCTTATAGTGATCGGGCTTCTCGGTTTTCTTGGTGAAACTAGGGATCAGCCCCCATTTCATACAGTGAACAACAACGCCGTCGCCGTCTGCTCCGTCTTCTCTACGAACAACAGGCAAATTCGACCCCGGCGACGCATTGAACAGCGGGCGAAACCTAAGCACATACCAAAAAATTCGTTCCAATCAGTAAGATTAAGCAATCAAAGAGACCATAACACGCAAGGAAATCTGTTTGGTTGCTAGGAAAGTAGGAGAAAAGTAAAGTTCGAATTATAAATTAGTAAAGGAAAAAAATAGGAGGAGTTTTGAGTTTTGCTCACCGGTCCATGTTAACAGTACGGACGGGGCCATGGCTGCGGTGGCAAGCCCTAGGGATGTCGTCGGCTCTGACAGTACAGCGAGCCCTCCCACACATTTTCTCCAAGAAACTGAACCAGGGCGGGAAGCGACTGTTCTGTGCGCGGTGACTTTTTCTCTGTACCGCACTAGCTATTAGCCTACTGCTGGAGTAACTGGTGACCGTTGGATATCAACTGAGATCGAGATTCGAGTTCCTCCCATACCCTGGCAGTTTTCGCGGTTTCCAAATATTTGATGCTCTGATTTAGACACGTGTAATGGATCGTTACGACTTTCGAAACATTAGTATTTGCGCTGGGAGGGGTTACTGTCTTTTCCAGCCCAATTGGGTCTGCCCAATCCAATTTAGAGGTTTGGGCACAACTTTTACCAAGTCCGGTCTAATTCATGGTAAACTAAAAAAATTCGGCCCAAATTGGGTAAAAGTAAACCAAATTAGGAAATTTGGTTCAATTTCCTCCTCTTCTAATAGCGCTTATATAGAAAAAAAACTCTTACTCTCCATTGTTAAGCGATTTAAAAGAAGTGGCGCCCACACCACGTAACGGAAAGTCTCTTCATACTGACGGAACGAGTAACGTAAGATAGTTTTTAAAAGTGTATGAGGTATTTTGAGATGTTTCAAAGCACATGTGGTAATCTGAGACAACTTTGAAAACACAGGGGACATGTACATAAATAAGCCAAAAATAAAATATTTGTAACCAAAACAAACTAAACTACAACTTACAATTTGGAGACCGACTTCATTAAAAAAATTGTATCGAATTACTTTTTTTTCTACTCTTAACTTTCTAATAAGAATTTTATCAGAATTTGTAGTAATATTGCATTTCATACTTCATAATACCATTATAATTTTTAAACTAGAATTTCTTAACTCATCTAAATTCATTAACATCTTTGACATGAAGTTTTCTCGATATAATTTAAATGCGTAGTATGAAGTGGCATTTGATATATGCTAGAGATGTAAAGTAGGATTTGTTTGAGAGTGATTTTAGATAAATCAATCAACCCAAAATTGGTGGAGATTAGTTTCGACTCCTTTTCTTTAAGTTTAAATATAAATTGAGAACAAAAAAAAAAAAAAAAAAATATGAATTTTAAATCTTAGTATCCTTATAGTGTGTGTGAGTTTAATATATCATCAATTATCTTAATAAGAAAGGTCAAAAAAAAAAATAATTCAATTAAATTGGGCCGTAATTATAAAAAGTTATCCATAATAAAAATAAAAAAATTGGTTTTGTCGGACTGGGTTGCCCTCGAATTAGTAGCACTGACGCTATAACACTACTCAGCACCAAAGCCGCGAACTGTGCTTCCCAAATGCTCACCCTCGCAAAACAACTCAAGAACTCACCTTCATGCTTCCAATCCGCCGTCAGCCAAATACGGTGGGTCTGGACTGAGTCCGGCCCGTCCCGGCGCCGGCAAAGGCACAAGTCTCCGGCCCTGGCTATGAGGAAGTCGGAGGAGAAGTCCGAGCGGCGGATAGTCGACGGCGAAATCCACGAGATCGGTGATCACGTGCCTCCACATGAGCGGTTCATCATTCCCAGAGATAACATCCCCAACAAGCGTCGAAAGCAGTTCATGCGCGCGCACTAGCCTTGTTCTCAACGAAACGGTCAGTTCAGAATCAGTATAGCCCAGTATAGCCGCGCGGATATACCCCTTGCCAGAATTTTTAAACAAATAGTATAGCCATACGGCTATACTTCGTTTCGCTAATTTTTTAAAGGAATAGTATCGCCGCACGGCTATACTCGGGTTTTTATATAAATTTTTAAAAAATGCAAACAGCATAGCCGGGCGGCGATACCCGGTTTTTAATGTAAGAAATAGAATAGCCGCGCGGCTGGACTCGGTTTTTTCCAAATTTATAGCCGTTCCCATGCCATTTTAACTATAAAATTAAGCCAGATTAACTCAAACACAATACAAAAACAAATGTGTGAATTTGAGATCAAGCCAAAGTAGTGAGAGAAAAAGTATGATTTACCAAAAATGAGAATAGAGACCCAGGAATAGCCAATCATTTGCATACCTCATGTAGAATAGAAATCATAGCCATGTTTGTTTTGCCAGCTCCTGCTGGAGCACAAACCTGCAAGTAAATGGAAATCACGTTCAAGCATATCATATCAGCACTTTCACTGCAATGGTTTGGTATTCATATAATCAACATCATCATTAACTAACTAGTATATTTTCATTAGTGTAATAAATAGTATGAAATATGCGGCTCTGAATACGGTTCAGAGAATTATGTCCACGAAAAGCAGCTTGTGCGAATTCATCTAAATCCGTTATCTCAATCTCACAGCATAAGACAGTAAACAGAAATAGAGGTCAGCAGGGTGATAAAAGAAATAGCAAGCAAGGACAATCCTATTTGTTTAACCACCAGAAAATGCGCAAATTATTATGGCTAGTTTATACACTGATAATGTTAATGATGGCAATGATAAACTTCAGTATAATGATGGAACTAAAAATGGGTACCAGCTTTTCCCCAGGTTTTCATTTGTGGTGTTGGTGTTGGGGGAATGACCTCCTCATATCCCTTATGATGCTTCCTCTCAGTTCCACTAGGAAGAGCACTAACTGATAAAGATTAAGGCCCTTCACTAAGCGCTAAGAGATTCCATATGTTTTTCTTTTATGAAGAAAGGGGGAAAACCCCCAGACACCAAACCCCAGGACTCTCCTCAAAAAAACAGCAGCCCAGATTCAAGTTGTGACTCCAAGTAGCCAAACAATCAGCCACAGAATTCCTCGCCCTATATATACGCTGAAGCTTAATCCTTCCAAACAAATTCATGAGCCTTTTACAGCTGCTAACTGATTCTATATGTTTTTTATGAAATACTCGGTTTTTTCAATTTTGTTTTTCCTTTCAAAGAAATACTCGGTTTCTATAATTCTTTTAAAAGAAATAATATAGCCACGCGGCTATGCTAGGTTTTTTCAAATTCTTTTTTTAAAGAAATCACATAGACACGTGGGGGCTATACTCGGGGTTTTTTTTTTAAAGGAATAATATAGCCGGGTGGATATACTCGGTTTTAATTCTTTTAAACGAAATCGTATCGCCTTGCGGCTATACTCGGTATTTCTAATTATTTTAACTAAATCATATAGCCGCGCGGCTATACTTGGTTTTTCAAATTTTTTAAAGATATAGTATAGCCGTTCGGCTATACTCGGTTCTTTTTAGTATAGCCGATGGCTTTTTTTTTTTTTTTTTTTTTTTTCCAAAAATTCAACATCTCAACGCAATCCAAGCTTTGCTTATATGGAAAATCAGGATTGAAATTTTAAGAAAGACAACAAATTTAAACTGCCATCACTGGAAAGCATCAACCACAAATGTGACTGCGATTACCGTCTTATAGTGATCGGGCTTCTCGGTTTTCTGAAACTGATCAGCCCCTATTTCATACAATGAACAACAAGCCGCCGCCGCCGCTTGCTACGTCTTCTCTACGAACAACAGGCAAATTCGACCTCGGCGACGCATTGAACAGCGGGCGAAACCTAAGCACATACCAAAAAATTCGTTCCAATTAGTAAGATTAAGCAATCAAAGAGACCATAACGCACAAGGAAATCTGTTTGGTTTCTAGGAAAGTAGGAAAAAAGTAAAGGAACAAAATAGCAGGAGTTTTGAGTTTTGCTCACTAGTCCCTAACAGTACGGACGAGGCCATGGCTGCAGTGGCAAGCCTTAGGGATGTCGTCGGCTCTAAGATTATAGCGAGCCCTCCCACACATTTTCTCCAAGAAATTGAAAGGTCAGTTCAGAATCAGTATCGCCGCGCAGCTATACTCGGTTTATGAATTGTTTTTTAAGAAATGGTATAGCCAGGCGGCTATACTGGGGGGTTTTTAATTTTTTTAAAGGAATAGTATAGCCGTGCGGCGATACTCGGTGTATATATTTTTAAAGAAACCCTATAGCCGGGCGGCTATACTCCTTTTTCTACTTTTTACCAAGGAATAGTATAGCCGGCCGGCTATACACGGTTTGTTTTTTCTTTCTAATTTTTTTTGTTGTGTCAAACCGGGTTTCCTTCAGATTACTAGTACACAGTACTCGGCACCAAAGCCGCGAACTGTGCTTCCCAAATGCTCTCCCTCGCAAAACGACTCAAGAACTCACCTTCATGCTTCCAGGCCGCCGTCAGCCAAATCCGGTGGGTCCGGACCGAGTCCGGCCCGCCCCGGAGCCGGCAAAGGCACAAATCTCCGGCCTTGGCTATGAGGAAGTCGGAGGAGAAGTCGGAGTGGTGGATAGTCGACGGCGAAATCCACGAGATCGGCGATCACGTGCCTCCACGTGAGCGGTTCGTCATTCCCAGAGATAACATCCCCAACAAGCGTCGAAAGCAGCTCAGAGAACAGTTCATGCGCCGCACTCGCCTTGTTCTCAAGGAAACGGTCAGTTCTTTTTTTTCTCTTTCACAAATTGTGTGGTTTGGAAATTGGGTTGTTTGGTGTTTTTGTAAATATGGTTTTACTCTTTTGCATTGAAAGGAACATGAGCCTTGGTGCAAAAGGTACATGGAACTCTACCAGGAGCTTCGAGAAAATTGGGAGAGGCTGTATTGGGACGAGGGTTACTCCAAAAAAATTGCCATGGACCATGCGAATTACGACTCTGCTGAAGATGATGACCATGATTTCTCTCCGTACAGGTGTTTCTGCTTGACCAATTTCTGGGATTGTTTTCAGTATTTCAAGAATTAATATGAAAGAAGAGAAGTTAATTGAAAATCCCAACTGATTTATTTGTGTACAATCTCACTTTCCATTGTGTTGTATTATGACATCCAGGCCCTGATTTTACTCTGTTTCGCTTGTGTTTCAGGAGCAAGCGGTCCCATAGCGAGCCATTCAAGGTACGAATTTGATACAATCAGTTTTGGACCTGATAGATAGATGATAGAGCTCTGAAGATAGTTACATAATTACATGAGTTCTCTGTGCACCTACACCTGAATAATTACACGTTAGGAATAATAAGTAGGCAGCCCCACATTTCACATAGTTTTCCATTATCAGCAGAGTTTTATACATTCATATAACCTGCAATCCTGAACCTAATATATTGTTTGTATTATCTTCAAAAGTTTCTTCTTTGTGTTGTTGTGAATGTTATTTTTTCTCTCTGTCCGCATGCGGTAAATGAAGCCATTCCAAGCAAACTTTGTAACCAAAGTAAATAGGATTTTGTCATCGAATAGCCAGTTCAATTAATTTGATCAGTCACCTAGTTGCCTGTTAACGCTTGTACTTCATCATGTCATGGTTCTCTAGGTTCCTTGTCATGCTCTTGATTATTGATGTGACACCATGATTTTTTTTGGGTGTAAGATACCCAGTAGACATGGTACTGCTTACTATACAAGAGGGTTGCTTGTGATATCTCTTGATTTAGATCTATTTGAGTACTTTGGTCCTTTGGTTATTTATGTGTGACTCTTCACTCAACTGACTTGATTTTGTTGCAGGACAATGGTTTCGGAAACAGGCAAGGCGATACTTGGGAAAAGGTCAACCAGATTCGAGATAAGTTCGAGTATGACAGAGAAAGGAGAATGAGAGAGAAAGGTCAGTTGAACGTAGTTTGACAAGTTTTGTGTTGTGAACTTTTGCTTTTGTGATTTGGTTTTCAGATTAAAGTTGGCCCGTTGTACTACAGTAGTTGAAGAATGTTCTTTTACAGATTCTCTATCAATATCTTCGATTGTAGATTGAGCACGGTTAGATTATTTGGTATTCATTAGTTGGATTCTCCAGGTCTATGCTCAAGTCTTTTTTAGATTGCTATTTTTGGAAGGGCTATAGAACTTCAAAAATTATGTTGATTGACAATTTAGTGTGCTAAGAATTCCAGATTTTGACTATTGATCCATTCTACATATTGTAGCCACTAGAGAGCTGACTATTCACATTTCTATTTCTTGCAATTTGAGAAAGATGGTCATATGAACATACAATTTGCAAACTGTGTAAAAGGATGATGTATTTCAAATTGACATTTAAATATGCCCTAGATATGCTAATCTTCTTTTTCCTCATTTCCTTTTCTGTTCAATAATTTCAGTTGGAAAATTGTCTAAAGTGTGCAGTTCTCATTAGTTTCATGTATTTGAGTTGCAGCATTTGCACCCATGTCTGGAGAACGTGCTTCTTCTAACTTCCATGATATGAACTCCCGGAGACAGCCATTTGACACCCACAGATACTTCCCAGATAATGAAAGAGAGTGAAGAACTGCAAATGGGTTCTATGCAGTTGTATATGTATCATGACTCACGAGAGGCTCGGAATGGTGCTCCATTTCCATTTCATCTCTTCCTCAACCGTCACCGTGACACTTCTGACATCTATCCTACGACTAACATCAGGCAGCTTAATCTTGTAACCGTTGGCATTTTTGAATTGACTGATATTGTGCTTCCAAAATGCATAGGAATTTTGAGATTTTGCACAAAATGTTGGGAGAAGCGAAGGGGTTTAGTCTTGAGAACCATGAGTGTTGCTTGACGTTGTCATATGTTATGCAATATACATGGGAACAAAATCTTTTGATGATGCTATTGTTTGTTTTGTAGCTCTATAAATTTTTTGTATGATCGGTTTTATTTTAATTAGAAATAGTATATTTTAAGTGAGAATAGCAATTTTAATTTTCTAATTTTCACAATTAAGATTGATTTGATCTTATAATTACGAATTTTGTAAAGCTGTCTTTAGCTGCCAAGCAGTTAAAACTTTCATGTCAATTGAAAACGAAGCGAAAAGGACAAGTTTGTCCACAACGTACAACTAACAGAAGCACGTAGTACCCATCATCCGCCGAAATAACAAAATACAACCGTAAACGGCAAAGGAAAACTTTGAATTAATTTTGAGGCAAAACAAAGGAGACGATGTCAATTTGCAAAGGCCGGCGCCAAAACGTCCCAAACTTCACTTTCTCTCTCTGTCGCTGACAAAATTTTCAAATTGAAACCTGAAACATCACGAGATCTGATTCCGAGGGACCGCCATTGGCGACAGAAGAAGAGCAAAGATAAGATAACGATCGGGAAATGAGCGGGGCGACGCTGTGCGCTCTGTTGGGTGAATTAGGGTACGAAGGGGCTGATGCATTGGACCCTGACAGCTTCGAATGGCCTTTCCAATACGACGACGCACGACCCATCCTCGACTGGATCTGCTCCAGCCTTCGACCTTCCAACGTTCTCTCTCTCCCCGAGCTCTCACAGTTACTCTCTCTCTCTCTCTCTCTCTCCCAATTTGCTGTCTTTTGGTTGAATTTTAGATTTTGTAATTTATTATTAAGCGAAAATTTGTATTTGTTTTTTCTTGTTTAGGTACGAGCAGTTTCTACAGGAAGGGAAGCTATTGGAGGTAGAAATTACCATGGTTGAGTTTTCATATGTCGTGTTCAAACTTCATAAGTATATGCATTGATACTTGGTGACTTTACAGGGGGAAGATTTGGACTTTGCTTATGATAGCATTTCAGCTTTTGCTTCCAGGCCAGATAACCAGGAGGCAGTTTTCGCAGCTGAGGAGGGACTCAAAGATATCCGGTACCATACTTTTACCACACAGTTTTCACATTTATTTGTGATGCATTAGTTAATATGTATCTTCTGGCCTACATTGAGGATTAAGATGATATTTTGGTGTGATAAATCACTGCGGTATCCTGCTCCCGCTACTAATGGATTTCTTTTCTTCCTTAGGGATGCAACTCAGGCATATAAAGCTGAAGCTCTACAGTTGCAGAGACAGCTTAGGCACCTGCATTCTCAATTTGACATGCTTACTGGTCAGGCTTCTGCTTTGATCCAAGGGAGACGGGCTCGAGTTGCTGCAACATCTACTGTCAATGGGCATCTGGCAACTATAGATGATAGTCTTTCCGCAAGAAATTTGCAGGTATATTAAGGAAAAAAAGCATTCGGAATGGATTTTGTCATTTTCTTGACTATGTTGGAAAAGGAATACTTTTGAAATCAGTTGTGTTGCAAATTGAGGACAGTGGTTATTGATAAGTTTGATGCATATAGTTTTTCCAATATTATCAATATGTTTGATTGGGTTTGGTTTTCCATAGATTCATGCATACTATATGCATGCATATATATACATATATTATAGAACCATTCGCATGTGAATGTCCATTGGTGAGCATGTGAGTGATCGTTCAAATGCCCACTGAAATTTCCGCACGCTGACATCTGCAGTTGAACCTGCATCTATGTACACACACATGCACAGAGGCGTATGTGTGTGAATGTAAGATCAATACAAGCTCATAAAAGTACTAGTTTGATGCATGGATTTTAATTAATTTTTCAAAGAGAAAAGTGCTTGTAGAAATATTGCTACGTAAAAATTCCAGAATTTTTTTAATTCTTTCATTGTATTCTAGATGAATGCAGTTCTTGGAAGGATGGCTTCTACAGCACAAGAGTTGGCTCATTATCATTCTGGAGACGGTATTATTCTTTTACCTTATAGTACTTGTGTTGACTAGTTGAACATTTTGGACAATCTTTGTTGTTTAATTCTCAGTTTTATGTTCTGCATTGTATTACGAGAATAATCATGCACAACTGAAGGAAGAATCCAAGATTTTTTTTTCTTTGAAAAGAAGGAAGAATCCAAGATCACTTTTCTGCTTCCACCTAATGATGAGTTTTAGCGCTACTTGCAGGGGATGGCATCTATTTAGCTTACTCAGACTTTCATCCATACTTAATTGGAGATTCATCTTGTATCAAGGAGTTAAATCAGTGGTTTGCTAAGCAGTTGGATACGGTGTGTATTTCCTCCTTCAAAGCATTGCCAATCTTAATTACTGATGATGTATGAGTGTGCATCTTTTTTCTTTTCCAGCTTAAAGCATTGCTAATCTAATTGGTGATGGATCAGTGTGTCAGTGTTGCTTTCAATTAGGACAAAACTTTAGCAATTGTTGTTGCAACTTACTTTTCAGATATCCATTAAAACTTTGTGCCAGCTGTTATTTCTAGAATCCTCTGCATTGGGAAGTAGACTATAAACTCTCTTCCAGTTTTCCAGTCTTTGTGAATAATTTCAAAATTGCTATTTATATACAGAGTTCTAGTATTCATATTTCAAAGTAGCTCATCTCATGGAATTATATCTTTGTTAGTATTGCTAATCTTCTGGATGAGTTCTTAAAACCTCGTCTCTTGTAGATTTCTTTGATTCCTATCTCTTAGGTTGTATCTGTTTTGTTTTCTCCAGTTTTTCTCGTGTTCTCCCCCATATACAAGAATTGTCCCTTTAAAAAAGAATACTTCAGTTACTAAAAGATCAAAAGTCTTACTGTGTGAAATGAACAGGGACCTTTTCGTTTAGTTGCTGAAGAGGGCAAGTCTAAGTGTTCGTGGGTGAGTCTTGAAGACATCTCAAATATCATTGTAAGAGGTAATATTTCCTGTTGCTTTTACAGCTTTATTTTCACACTTTTATTTTTTCCCTTCTCTCTCCATTATCTAGAGTTGCCTGGGTATCCAGATATCTTATGATGTTTTAACTTATATAAAGTAGCAAATATTGACTCCTTTTATTTGGCGTGTTGATTGCAGCAGATTTAGAAAAATCCCATCATCAGCGTGTCTCTGAGTTGCAACGGCTTCGTTCAATGTAAGTAACATTTTTCCGCTATTCACAGAGTTTCTAATTTATATTAATTGATATGTATGATATCTGCTTATTTGTTCGGAGAGGTCTCAGATTCACTACATCCTCTATAAGAAATTAGAACAATGGCTGTTATCATTTACTTTGATCCCTTTTGTTGATAAAAAAAATTTAGAAAGGAGGTACAAGAAGTTGACAGTTTGATTTTCATAATCAGAGTCAGAGGGCATATTCTAGTAGTTAATTATTTTACTCTTCTGAGACTTGAGATGTACAACTTTTTTTATATATTTATTCTATTTTATCATTCTCCTACACATTCTTTGATGTGATGTGGTATTTGATAATTCAACCCTACTTTTGTTGTTTGGATTGTCTTTTCTATTTCTGGTTCATTAGGTTTTAAGCCTTTCTTGGAAAACATGAGATCAATAATTTTTAGAGGAGCCACAGTTTGATTTTTTCTCGTGGTCAGGTCATGCTGACGATGTTGTTTTTGATAATTTTACGATCCCTGCTGTTTGACTTAATTGTAACTGTTGAATAATGTGCAGTTTTGGGACAAGTGAAAGACAGTGGGTGGAAGCCCAAGTTGAGAATGCTAAACAGCAAGCAATTCTAATGGTGCTTAAATCTCAAGTATCATCAGATGAAGCACACATTCATCTTGATCTTCATTCCCTTAGGTACAATGCAGTTTTACTTGTCAATTCATTATGCTTTGTAGTAGACTTTTAAGTTTCTTATCATCAACATTTCACAATAATTTTTGGAATAAAGAGTATCTAATATATGTGTACAGGAGAAAGCATTCGGAACTTGTTGGAGAACTATCAAATTCTTATCACAAGGAAGAGAAGTTGTTATCTGAGGTTTGTTAAGTTTACTACGTTTTACCTGCTATATCCGAATTTTCAAAATCTTCTGCAGACAAATTGAATTCCAACTTTAGTCATAGGGAGGAGTCGCATAAGGAAAAGTATCATGGCAATGCTACCTGCTAATCACGTTGCTTGTATTTATTCTTTTATGTATTCCTCCTGGAGCTTATGAACTGGTCAATTTAAGCATTTAAAATTTCCATCCATTGTTTTGTCCTTTCTCCTCTTATGAGGTTCTCTGTATGCTTTTTATTCTTGGGGTGTAGAGTGCATATTTTGATACTCTTAAAAGATTCTTCTTTACAATGTGCTTCTTTCTGCCTTCAGAATGCTTCATTTCATTGATTTAGTTTGAGTGTATAATCTTAGACTTACTGTATATTTCTTTTTAAGACTATTCCGGATCTTTGTTGGGAGCTGGCTCAACTCCAAGACACATATATATTGCAAGGTATTATTTGTAACTATACCATTCTAGAAGTGCAGAGTGAAACAACATCAAATTATTTGTCTTTATTGCCTAGAAAGCTCTTTTTTGCTAATGTGATCTTTCATCAATTTGTAGGTGATTATGACTTAAAGGTCATGCGACAAGAATATTATATTAACCGGCAGAAAGCGGTATGGTTAGCTACCTGTCTTTTTGTTTTTGTTTTTGTTTTAATATGATTTTTTAGATGTTTGTTTGATCCAAAGGT